AATGACTTCAAAGAGGAGTTTCATTGAAATTTTATGCTGATCACAGGACTGACATACACTTTTTATAAATGCAAATATCCAAGTCAAAATTATCATAGAGACTCATGAAATATTTCATTTTCTTCAGAAAACAATGTAGTGTTGCTTTTTGAATTAGTTATAATACTTAAAAATACCCCATTTTTATCCAATCACGTCATGTATAAATTGAATCATACCCTTTTCCCTGAACTTTTTCAGCCAATTGCTGGCCAAGTTACAATGCGATACTCTGACCATGTCAAAGCATGCTAGACACCGAGTTAAACCCACGTGACTAGACTGAAAGAGAAAACATAGAGAGGATATTTGTTTGTTTTGCATGTAAGATTGAAATATAATTTCACTGAGTGAACACCAGATGCAATATTTTCACGAGTGGCGTAGCCACGAGTGAAAATATAATAGCTGGTGTTCACGAATGAAATATATTTCAATCTTACATGTAAAACAAATGAATTTTCTTTTTATTTCATGCTTTTTAAGTGATTTTAAGTTTTTTTTTACTGATTTTGCCGCGTAACGTCGCGCATTCTCCTATGTGACGTCATCACATCATGACGTCACATCATCAATTTTGAAATATAGTTCTTTTAAATTTCTCTAATTTTGTTACGTTTTTAACATGATGTAAGGTTCGACTTTCTTTTCCTAAAGAAGCAAAATTAACGCATGACGGCATCTATTTCTGCCTGTTAATCCATTTAGTTATGATTTTTTTTCATCCGCATTCTGATATAGTCCGGCTACAGTGAAAATTATATTTTATAAATTTCACTAGTGGTTTATCAGAATATAATCATCTGATATATTATAATAAAACACTGGAAAGCATGAAATAAATCATATTACACAACAACATGAACTATCTTTTGTTCCGTTAGCTCTGTTGGCAATTAATATAATTAAAGTGATGTAGTATTTTGTTTGGAAGTCAAACTACTACTTTTGCTACTTTTAAGAAGACACATTTATGCAAACATTTAACGCTACTTACTTCATTTGTTAAATATATTACATGCTCTTAATCCATTATTGAACACATGTTTGACATTTCTAAAGATTTAAAATATATAGATTCCTAAGGTTTAGTGTGCCTTTAAAGGGTGTAATATATATGTGTATAATGTTTTATTAACAGTAAATTTATTTATGTGTTTTTTTGCATAATCTCATGGTCGTTTCTCAAAAGAAATGTCACATAGATTGTCTCTGTTATTTAACACACATGAATAAAGATCTATATATGTAAACAGAATAAAATTTATCAAGAAATATTATGGAGGTATTTTAAATAGGTTTTTAACCGTTCAATGATTTCGTGCATGCGCCATTCGCTCTTTTAAAAAATATATTAATATATTTCTTTTATACCGGAAATATGGAAAAATATCTGTTCAAAGTTTGAACAATTCGTTTGTAAACTACAAAATGCAGATATATAACTTATTACATTTTACCCACTTTCAAAGTGTTGTACCAGTTTAAGAAAATACATGTTCTAACAACTATTATGGTTCCTTTCACAACTTGCACAAAATTATAAAGGATGGATCACGGAAAGAATATAAATCTATATATCGTAACAATTTATTACAGTTAAAGCAAAAAATGTGAAAAAAGATACATATGTTGTTTATATAGAACTTGCCTGACTCTTTTACGATATTATTTCTGTTGGGAATTGCGCTCATATTCATGTGCCGTTAAATGACGCCAACGTATGTGTGACGTTAAAGTACGTCGCTTCCTATGTTTTGTTATATAAACTTTGGATGTCTTGAATAGACGTAAAAACCAGACACAACGTATTGTACATTATTATCTGTAGTATAGTACCCTATCCGCTAATTTCTTTAAAATAATCTATTTAAACTTTGATATTCGGATTAGAAAACATCATCTTTTATAAAACAGAAAAAAAAGTTAAGGTAAACGAAGTTTTTCTCTCGCATGACATGAACCTTATACAGTGCATGTACCTATAAACTCAAATTTCAGTGAGTTTAAAGTCGCTGCAAATAGTTGTATGCTACCATCATTGTAAACCAGTTTTGCTATCAAATACAATGGATTTGAAATTGCTAGAATTTGACCAATACATGTATACCAATTAAGTATGGTGGCTCAAAGGTGACATGAGTATGTTTTTATTTATTGATTGCCTTTAGTTCCTAAATGGCCAGTAGAAAATCCTATTGATTTCGATGTCATTAGATATAATGTCAAGTCCACAGAGACACATAATGTATAATCCTTAATAAATAAGCAATTGTTTATGTTACTTGGCAGGCAAGTAGATGACAACTTCTCATTTTCAAGTCATAAGGTCAAAGGTGAAGCTTATTAAGCATTGGTGTGTATATGCCACGGTGCGCACGACTTACTAGTATTCATCTCGTTCGCATCACATAGTAACTCATGCACACGACTTAATTATCTAGTGCGCACGACTTAGTAACTCGTTCGCGCGACTCAGTAACTCGAGTGCACGACATAATATCTCATGCGCACAACTTAATTATCTCTTGCGCACGAATAAGTACTCCTACGCACGACAAAGTATCTCGTGCGCACCATGTAATTATATCGTTCGCACGACTTAGTAACTCGTGCGAACCTATGTGTTACCTGACTTAAGTCTTGATTAGATATGTTTATATTTAGCTTATTGTCATCATGTGATTTAAAATTGTAGATGTCAATTACTCAGTAGATAAACGAAATCACTGTACCCGGTCTTGCGAGCATATACAATTCACTGTGTACCCTGATTGCAATTACAAGCACTTGCTTCTTCCGATCACTGTACCTTTCTTTGGAGCTTATATTTTTGAACTTGTACCATTCATGCGACTTCCGGAAGTTATTTTGGAGCAATTGCCCTTGTTATTTTTATAAATAAGCTTAATTTTTATTTTTGTCCAAGCTATAACAGTATATAACTTCATGGTTGATAGCTCTCATGTATTTGTGATATTGCCATTTGAAATGCATTTAAATGTGGTCTTAAAAACAAACTTTTCTCCTATCCGGCGGGGGATTTAGCAGTCTTTGACTGCTTCTCGTTTCATTTAGTTGTTCTACGTGTACAGGTTTATCAATAAAATCAACTCTTTGTATGTCAACACAACACAGTTTAAGTTACATGTATAAGGCAGTAACCTTTTGAATAAAGTTTAACATAAGCAGATTTTAAAAGAAAAGTACACGAATTCATGGAACATATACTGTCATTATACTTCCTGGTTTTGTATTATGCGGTTAATGATAAACTAACTTAACGCTATATAACATACAATGGTTTTATTTTTATAAGATACATGTTCAAATAAATGATAAAATAAGACATATACCCTAGGTTTTGTAGTGTCCTTCAATATATTTACAGTTAAAAACTCTAATTGTGACAAGACATGACTCTTTGTGTTTTGTAGATATCATCGCAAAAATAAACAAACAACATTCTCGTTTAACTGATTGTGAAAAGAAAAATCTTCCATACAGTACATTTATTCTATCATAACGAATTCCAGCGATATTAATAGTCTGCTGATATTTAATCACTTTCATAAAATGTACACCTTTGGAGTTTGTAAGGAAATGGGAACGTATGTTAAAATATCAAAGAAAATCTTTATTTTTTACATTTTTTCTAAGGACTTTGGCAAATAATGAATTTAAAATATATCCATATAGAGTTTTTTTCCTTCTATAGCAGGGGCCGTTATAAGCCTGCTTTTTTAAAGAAAAATTATTTAAAATCATGCAGTTTTCCCAAAAATTAAATTTACGTTAAGCTTTTTCCCTTTTGCAAATATACCGTGTAATTTCCCCCCCCCCCCCCCTGCTTGAAAAAGGCACTGCAATATTATCAATGAACTATGTACAACAAATAGCTTTTAACTCAGTTCTGGTTGTCTCCGATTTCGACTCTATAGCATTCAAAACTATTTACACCATATTACTCCCTTTGATAACATGCTTCCAGTGCCTTCAAATTGTAATGCAGGCCACACAATGTTTTTAAATGGTTTTCCTTTTATAATGTCATATTTGTTCTCGTCCATTCTGTCTGAACATTTGTCATATACCATATCAATTGGTGGGTCCTCAACACACATTAACCATGTTATGGCAGCACAATCACGTATGAACAATGCAAGATTTATATTCTCTTCCGTCTCAATATTGTAAGTTTTAAAAAGGAATGTTTTAACTTTTTGTAAAAGAAGCTGAAATAAAGAGAATACAAGCATTGTCATTATGTTCAAAATAGGATTACAGGCAATGTGTTGATAATTAAAACAATCAAATGGATTTTCTTTAAAACCATTTAAGTTTGAAGAATTACCTTTTCATACAAACATATTTAAAAAGCCGAAATTAAGGAATTCAAAATAATCATTTAAAGGGAAGCGGTGGCGTAGTGGTGAATTTGTAAGCCTATCAGTACAGGGATTGTGGATTCGACACCTGTAGGTTACCACCACGTTTCTTCATACGACGCCTGTATTTGTTAGTTTAAGAACTGGAGTATGCTCTTAAAATTAGACTTTTAAATACAATTTAAAGGCACACTTACAATTAATTAGGAGTACTGTTTGAATTAATCTTCTACCTTCAATATGTTAATTGGCAGACAATAATACACAATAATTCCTTTTGGATCAAAACATTTTTCGCACTGTTTAAAATTACACTTATTAAAAATGAAAAAATATATGGAAATGAACATTACTCCTTGAAGCCTTTCTGTTGACATATCTGCATGTATATATCTATATCTACGAAGAAGTTCGTCTGAGGATTCCATATGCTTTGAAGAATGGATATCGTCAGTAGACACCTTCAGAAAGTAAAGGACAATTAATTAATTTTTTCGAACACACTGATTAATGGAATTTGCACAAATATTTTCAGATATAAAAAACACATGTTACACGAAACTCGTCTGAAACGTCCCTATGATTGTGATTAGGGTACAGTAAATATTGTTAGAATAACAGTTCCTTTAGAATATAATATCCAATACGTTTTAAATATTAACAGATAAACTCCACTAAAAGGCGTGAGAGGTGTTACACATTTATCATCTCTTTAGCAATTAATTTATCATTTTTTTCCTGATTTCTATGGTACTGCATAAACACACTAATATGTGTCTGACATATAACATTTAGATTTTAACTTCACAGATTTAATACAATGCAAAGTAATAGAAGGTATAAAGATAAATCTGAGTATGTATACGTACATCCTCAGTCTCCCCAGTCTCTACTATCTGTTTTGCACACTGTCTTGCATTACTAATCTGTTTGGCAGCCTCAATCTTACTTATTTTAAACGCTTTCTGTTGAATATAAGTTAATTGCTTATGTAATGAATAGAAATTTAGCAGTCAGTTTAAAATACGAGAAGAAGCAGGGCAATATATGTAAGAGTCACCTGTATGTTTTTATCTAGCACATCCAGACCTTTATATACAATAAAAGCCTCTCTAGATAATCTGAACACGTTCGAATATCATAAGTAAGATAAGATATTGCAAATTTTGTCCATTTCTAATTAGATAATTTGGATATATAAATATTTTTAAAAAGTAATACATGGTGCCGCCGCGCCTCTGGCAAAATCCACTCGTCACCGGTAAAAAAACATCAAGATAAAGATACTCTTACATCTTTCATATACTATATTTTTAAATTTTTTACCTTTACTATTTCCATAATGCATTCAGTGCTCAGATGCTGGGAATTTGTGCGTTTCGAGATATCATCAAACAGTTTTTTCCAATGACCATTCAAGAAAAGCTCTCGAAATGCATCAACAAGTCCGTCTATTCCTCTTTTTATTGATCTGAAGTTAAACAACAAAAATGTGTTAAAATGTACCGTATCCAAGTATTGTTTAAAGGAGTGTTGGGGGATAGCCTTTTGAAAAAAAAAAAATACTATGTTTTAGATACAAACTATGTATAATGTAAATATATATCTGATGCATCTCTCTGACACAATAAAATATATGACAATGAATGTGGAGTGCCATTTTCTTTTCTTTTCAGATAGGAAAAAACACATTTTCAAATTTAATTCATTGAATATATTTTGGGTAAGACATATTACATGTATATCTTTTGAATAGTCTCGCAATATTGTTTAAAATTTTCAAAAAATACAATGGTCCTACAGTATCGTTAACTACATAAGTGCATGGCACGAAAAGCTTTTTACACGCATAATTCGTATAATCACTGTATTATCTGAACTTACGTGTTCATATCCTGAAGATGTTTTGTTTGTAGGGTATTATTATCTAATTTTTGTTTCTCATTCTCGTTTGTTCCACTGAAGTTATCATCATCTTTGTTAACAGGATCTTTCTTTGAGCCTTTATCAATATCAGATTTTGTTCTTTCTTCCTCCTTAAAAACAGGTAATATACAATTGTTAATGTATTAACAGCGTGTTAATTAATTAATACAGTTTAACTTGATATATGAATTTGAGAGTCGGTGACATGAGAACTGTGACAAAAAGTTTTTAAGTATTTATGTTTTTAGGCTTTTATTTAAATACATTTTGTATACAAAACAAACCCACACCGGGAGTTGTAGTTCTTCTACCCTGTATTATATAAAAAAACCGGCTAATTGGAAACAATTTAGCAACTCTTTGTTTAACTCAACACATAAATAGTATAATATATATACCTCCAAGAATGGTTTTACGTATTCGTTAAATATCGATAGCACTTCCTTCACCTCTTCTCGCTTACATACTCTCATATGAGCAACATCATCGATCAATTTTTTAATTGGTTCTATCTTTTTCCTGTGTCCTAACTGAATTTTTCTTTCTATCATGCTGACATCCTTTTCTGCCTCATAACAAAGATTCCTCAAATCCGATGACATTCCTTTCTCAACACCAGACATAAGCTTCGAAATACCAAAATTTCCCCATGGTTCCATGATTTTAACACGTCTTGTATTATTTCTTCCTTGTTGAGACACGTAATATATTATGCTATGATTTCTTGGAAATGCAAAAAGAAATTTTATTTAATTCTTATTTACTTCCGCATTTGTAACATGATAAAAGTCCACCACTTTTATGTATATCTGTACGGTAGTTTATAATAATACGATTTTAGTCATTCTAATCCTTAATCTCTATCGCGTCATTAAAAACTAAAGTCAAATTTTGTGAATTTTAAAGTAAATTTTAAATACTTATCTTATCTATGTATATTCATAGAAGGCAGTAAGATATCCGATAATAGTTATATACAGGAACGTTTTAAAATACAGTGGGTAAAGATAATGGTATGGAAGGGGATGAAAGGTTAAGTCGATGTAAATTGTATCTCTCCATGAAATCCTACAAACACATTTGATGACCAAAGTTTCAATTGCATCGTAATCAAGCTTTGTTATAATATTTATTTTCATAAGTCGACTGAGGTTCACAGTTTGATGATAAGCTTGGATCAAAGAAAACTTCGATGACACTCTAGAAACCACAATTTTATCCTGTCTAATTGCAACCTGCTCAAAATGCTGGTCTTTTCTAGTTCAATTTAAAAGATCGGTCATCAGAGACACGGTAAATATCATTTTACAGGACAAATTATATTAACACCGTGGTTAAACTTCTACCTTCGACAAACTTTATCAGAATGATTTGTGTTGATTTAAGTAAGTTCGAGAATCAAGTCTTTAAAACTATGCCACTAGAAAAAAATGGTAATCATAATAAAAATAAGTGATTAATTTTTTTACCTTAAACATGGAAAATGAAAATCTTGATATTTTTGTCATTGCATTCAGCACGACATAAAATCAAATCAATTAGTCATTGAGGTGAATTGTAAACCTCTCGTTAAAATGTTGATAATACGATAAAGATGAATTTAATAGATATTTGATAATCTATGAATTACGGTGTACTGTTAGGGTCATCAATTTTTCGCATCAGAGACCTCTGATACACTCTAAAACACCAAAGCAAAAAGTACAAATGTTGAGCAATTGAGAAGCTCCGCGCAAAAAAAATGCGCTCATTACAGATACTTTATCAAATTATTGCTGCGCACAGGTCATGTTATATTCAGAAGTACTATTGTAGATTTTTTTCCGAATGTTTTGTAAAACATTTTTTGCATAATTATATTTATCTTATGCACTGTCCATAATTAAAAAGAGGGGAAAAATATTTAATATAAAAAATGCTTTTACTGATGCCTACCTGGAAAAGAAAGTAATTCCATTGAATACAAACAAGACTTACAAGACTTGTAAGTGTTATGTGACATGACTGTACTATGTTCTGTTTGTGTCACTACTGTAGTCAGTAACATATGATTATAAAAATATCAAAGTCTATTTGTTTTTATTATTATAATTGTAATATACAATTTGTAACAAAAGGGACTAATATGATAATATAGTAATATTACATGCATTTTTTAATTTAACATTAAAAAAAAAGGTTTCTTTCAATACTGAAAGTAGAACTCATTCTGGAATGAAAAAATTGGATGAATTTCAAAAAGACCAAATTCAGGATATTTTTGTTTGTTATATACGCGTTAAATGGTGATACAGTATTGATCAATATAATAGAAGACTGTTACTTGAATTATAGGCAGGTATAAGGAAAGTCACTAACATCATGTTCGTGCGAGTCAAAGATATAAAAGCTATTTGACATTGGTGATATATAAAAAACTATTGTTAATTGATTTATTGGGAGATCAATATACTTTTTTGTTGAATTGCTTTAAAACCATTCTTAAAAAACATTACACTTCATGTTCAATCTGCAGATCAAGTTTCTTTTGTTATCAATGATGCTATCTATTTATAGCCTATGCTTAATGATGGTCCATCCGCTCGTAAGGCCACAAAATGCAGCTTTGCTGTCGAGTACGGACTCCGGACATGTTACCAGTCATACCCTTAAAAAGATAATTTTGAAGCACAAAGTGGTATGCAGTATCAGTGACGCCAATGAAATGTAACATTATATACTAAATTTAATTATTTCAAAACAACCAATATATCAACATGTTATTACGGAAGTGTCCTGGTGCCAATTCTTAATGTTCTATAAAAAAATAAACTCCTACGTAGGAGATAAAAAAGCCTAATTAGGAGTTTGTCACTCCTACGTAGGACTTTTAAACTCCTACTTAGGACTTAAAGTCCTACGTAAGACTTTATAACTCCTACGTAAGAGATAAAAAAGCCTATTTAGGAGTTTATAACTCCTACGTAGGACTTTTAAACTCCTACGTAGGACTTTTTAACTCCTACGTAGGACTTTATAACTCCTACGTAGGAGATAAAAAAGCCTAATTAGGAGTTTATAACTCGTACGTATGACTTTTAAACTCCTACGTATGACTTTTAAACTCCTACGTAGGACTTTTAACTACTCCTACGTAGGACTTTATAACTTTATAAGAAATGCATACAGAATGCCTTGCAAATCTCAACATTCCGGACCGGTATATCGGTGATGGAACAAGACACTTAACCCCCCCCCCCCGGCTTAAATTTCAAATCTTAAATATAGAGGACATTTCACCTTTGGTTCATACAGAATTTATTTAAGTTTGATTGTGTATGAAGCTATAAGCTTATAGACACTTTCGAATCCGTTCCTGGAACCAACCAGTACGTACTTAGCAATGAGTGTAAAGTTTCTTGCTCAAGGAAAGAACGGCTTGCGCCTAACGGGGTTTGAACCCATGCGGCTAGCGATCATTAAGATACTAGTCACACGGCCATGCCACCACACTTCATCTTTTAATAAAGTGTCTCAGGTTTCTAGAGTGTACAGTGTCTTAGGGTGAGGTGTCTGTAAGCATTAGCGATGTATCCCGAAAAATTGCTTTACAGCTATACGTAAAAAACTTACTCGACAACAAGCATATATATCACAATTTTAAAAGGCTTTAACGATTTCGTTTTCCATACGAACTAGCTGAACAAAACGAGCAATTTATCCATTTTCGGCCGTTTCAAATGATTAAATCCTTATAGGGGGCATGGGGAGTAGTGGAGTGTCTTGTTCCTGCTCCGTAAAGTTTAGATGGATGACGGTTTGCGGAGCATTATGCATGCATATGTTTAATAATGAATTACATTGTATATCTTACTTTCCCCATACATTTTGTGTACCTGTTTATAATAAATATAACTAAACGTACATAATACAGAATCATCGTAGAATGACAAAATCATCTCTGGCTACAGACTAAAGGTTATTACTAAAGCGGCTTGCACTTTACAACTTGACACATATGAGCCGCGTCATGACAAAACCAACATAGTGGGTTTGCGGCCAGCATAGATCCAGACCAGCCTGCGCATCCGCGCAGTCTGATCAGGATCCATGCTATTCGCCATCAGTTTCTCTACTCGTAATAGGGTTTGTAAGCGAACAGCATGGATCCTGATCAGACTGCGCGGATGCGCAGGCTGGTCTGGATCCATGCTGGTCGTAAATGCACTATATTGGTTTTGTCATGGCGCGGCTCATATAATTTATTTTCCTACATAATATGCTATCTTTAGTTATACTCTAGCATACATGTCCGTCGAACTCTGTGCTTTCAGTACTTTGATATGTATCCTACGTAGGAGTTATAAAGTCCTGTGTAGGAGTTTAAATGTCCTACGTAGGAGTTACAAAGTCCAACGTAGGAGTAATACAGTCCTAATTAGGCTTTTTTTTATCTCCTACGTATGAGTTATAAAAATCATAGGAGTTATAAAGTCCTACGTAGGAGTTTAAAAGTCCTACGTAGGAGTTATAAACTCCAAATAAGGCTTTTTTTATCTCCTACGTAGGAGTTATAAAAAAATCTGGAAACAAAGTGATTCCTCGGAAGCATTTATCATAACAAAATTACGAGAGATTTGCAGACTCGGTTTGATTGAGTCTGTACATGATAAAGTCCTACGTAGGAGTTATAAAGACCTGCGTAGGACTTACAAAGTCCTACGAAGGAGTTTAAAAGTCCTACGTAGGAGTTACAAACTCCTTATTAGGCTTTTTTTATCTCCTACGTAGGAGTTATAAAGTCCTACGTAGGAGTTTAAAAGTCCTACGTAGGAGTTATAAACTCCTAATAAGGCTTTTTTTATCTCCTACGTAGGAGTTATAAAAATCTGGAAACAAAGTGATCCCTCGGAAGCATTAATCACAACAAAATTACAAGAGAATTGCAGACTCGGTTTGATTGAGTCTGTACATGATGAGTTAAAAAATCCTACGTAGGACTTACAAAGTCCTACGAAGGAGTTTTAAAGTCCTACGTAGGAGTTACAAACTCCTAATTAGGCTTTTTTATCTCCTACATAGGAGTTATAAAGTCCTACGTAGGAGTTACAAAGTCCTACGTAGGAGTTACAAAGTCCTACGTAGTAGGAATTTAAAAGTCCTACGTAGGAGTTACAAACTCCTAATTAGGCTTTTTTATCTCCTACGTAGGAGTTTATCTTTTTTATAGAACATTATGAATTGGCACCAGGACGCTTCCGTATGTAATTATTAAACATTTAATTTCATAAATATAAATTAAGAATAATTATCAAAAGCGAAATTATTAAAGTCTTATGCCTGAAATCTTATTTATATTGACAAATTCAATCACTAATAGTATACTTGATATGCTGTGTGTAAATGTAATTAAAAATGTAACAAATTATAAATCTATGTACTACTAAAAAAGGAAAATAACAAATTTATAACCTAAGTGTCAAAATTCAGAACTTTTATAGCTATTTATAGCTTTCGAATTCATGTACAGCAGAACTGCATTCCAGTTCTCATTCATTGATATGACATGTTGCGAATCACCGACGGGGAAACCAATATAGAAATCAAAGGGAGTTCTTGAATGCGGATCTATTTTTAGTTGTAAATCGAAGGGATTAATTGATCAAATCCGGGCCATTGGACAAAAAAATAGTAAACACAAATAGCTCCGCGCCTGTGGGCGCGGAGCAATGAAACGATACATCGGAACGACGATCGAGTCGATACGCCAAAGCTGCGAGACGACTGGATGACGTATGATGCGTAAGGCGTATCGTCTCGTAGCTTCAGCGTATCGTCTTGTCGCTTTGGCGCATTGTCACGTTTCTGTTCTCCTTTCTTTTCTTTGCTTTTTGTGTCGTCTTTTTGGTGCATTGTCTAATGGCTTAACAACGTGCTGTTACTTCAAAGTATTGTCGCGTGATTCCATTGCGTTATCGTTAAGTCACTTTTGTGCAGTCTCATTGCTTGGAAACTATTCGCCAAAGCGATGAGACAATATCACGAGCAAACAAGAAACCAAAGTGACAAGACAATATATGCAATACAAAGACCCGATAAGACAATCGCCGAAGCAGAGATGATGATAAAAAGTGAATAAACAATTCACCAAGCGACTAGACCAAAAACGATGCGTCGAAGTGACGAGACAGTGCGTTGAAGCAACGAAACAATAGACACAAGCAATTCCAGAAGGTTCACCGGAGTAACGAGACGATTAGACAATACAAGAGAGCCACTAAACTATGACACGGGCGATATATATTTTGTACATTCCTATCGTCTCATCGTCCTGACTCTTTAATGGATCATCTCGTTTTTTTCAACGTATATTCTCGTCGCTTAAGTGTTTTAGGTTTATGAGAGGTCAGCAATACAGAGACACAATGGCCTCAAACGAAATACTGTGGCAAAATAACTGTAAAATGAGAAAAACAACATTGAAACTTATATTCTTTAATATGAAATGAATAATAATGCTTAAATAACTAATAATATTCAAAAACGTCAAATATACCTGTATAACTCAAAATTGTACTAGCTGCTACAATGTACAATGTCAATGAAAATATATAAAAAGTACAGAACTGGAGCAGTGCAGTTTGACTAAAACATTAAGGCAGTTCAATTTTATTCTAAAACATTAATACTGTTCTAAGGCTGTTCAATTCTTATTATTATTCTGTTTTATAAAACCATTAAATTCGTATAGGGCTGTTCTATATCATAAGTGAAACATGCCAATTCAAGAGTCCATATGTATCAGTATTTTTCAACTTAAAAACACAATGTAAAGAAAATACATTCATATAAATGTATATCAAACCAAATATTTTAGACGTTTAATCTCTAATATCTTATTCAACGATGCAAATAATATGACGATCACATAACCGTATAAAACAATAATAAACTAGCAAATGAACAAAAACAATATAAATGAAAAAGGAAACAAACAAAATCTAAGTGAGGTAAAAAATACAACAGCAAACAATAATCAAACAAACCAATATAGATTGTCTGGTACAAATTTCATTCAGAGTTTTTTGTTCATTAGATGTCATGTCATATGTATTATGCCATCAAGCCACTTGTTATTCTATTCAGGAAAAATGATTTACATGCCGTATTATATATTTCGGCATTGTTTTGTTTTGTTTGTGGAAATATCAGATCATTACAGTCATTTCTTCTATCTAGAATGGTATCATGGATGTTCTTACTGTTCTTACGTAAGATGATCAGATATAGTCGTTAGTAATTCTACAGAAATTTTGAAATAATAATTAATAGTAATAATAATGGAAATGATGATATCTTTTTTTTATAAAGTATTGATATTGTGCGCCACTGTTTCATCCTAACCTTAATTTATTTTTTGAAAATTATTCATGTATTTTCTGGTTTTTATTTGTTTTGTCAAAGATAAATATTCTTTTATTTATGCAGTATACATAGTACTTAAACAATGATCATAGAAAAATTATATTAAGACCTGACAAAAAGTAATTTCATTCCTAAATCATTTCATCTGCCTGACCCCAAAAAGTCGAACAATAGTCAAATAAAAGTATACGAGTAGTAATCGAAGTTGATTCCTGGTGTTGATGATTGGCTCAGATGACTCATGTAAATCAAATGATAATTACAGAACAAGTCGAGTAAATATATAAATGTAAGTAGTCATTTGTACTGTACAACACCCTTTGCCAATATACCACCACTTTTATGCAGCTTCAATGGCGGCCAGACATAAAAGTCTGGGATAGTTCCTGATTTGGTATAAGCCCTGTAGAAATCGGGGTTGAATTTGTCTCGAGATGTTACCATGTAAACAGGGGGATCTTGTACACACATCCACCATGTAAGTTCTACAGCTTTGTTACCATATGTTATCATTACACTCTTATCTGTAGGCGGCTTCCCACTTACAACTTTGGTACACATCTTTCTTACCTCGACAGCAAAGTTCTTTGAATTTGAAAAAGAATACACAGATAAATACTCATCAATCCTATTTCATAGGCCTGTTCTATTATCTTTTCAAAAAAAATATTGCATTGTAAATATCAAAACAGAATAAAGCATGTGTTATAACTTAAATCAATAGTAATATTTTAGAAACAATCACTTATGCTAGATTCTCTCTTTACAAACACAATGTTTGATGTAATTGTCAGTCAAAAACACATAAAACAGGAAAAAAGTAAGGTTTCGACAAATTTAACTTGATGAGAAATATTATAACATTCCGTCAATTACTTGACGAGAATTTGGTTAGCTCTAACTACAAGTTTCTTGACAAGTTGTTGTTTGAAATGTAGAATATACGTATTTATAAATAAAACTTACTGCCTGTAATCTTTTTATGGACCTTTCTGCATGCTGTTTGCGAAACTGGACTAACAAGCTTACGTCATTTTGCATGTCTTTCTGTATGAAATAAAATTTAATTAACATCAGTGAATATTAAGGACGAAATGTCTTGATTCATAAAGAAAGACATATGAATAAGTCTTCCTATTAGAAATATAAACAACTTGATGTATCAGTACAATCAGTTTTGAGTGCATAAACGACGATAAAAAATCAATTAAAAAAGGGGTTTTTCGTGGTTTCGTTATTTCGACATTTATCAACCTTTTCCGTGTTTTCGCTGTTTCGAATTATGCATCTATCAGGATGGCCCGAATAGAATACCGTAGTTATATGAGATAAGATTTAATATAAAAATCTTACTACTGAGGGTTTCCCTTTCGTATCTCCACTTTCCAAAATATTCATAATGGTCGAGTTCATCTTAAGTATCTGTTTCTCAGCCTCTTTCTTTGTGAAAATGTATGCCTCCTGGAACATTGAAACATTGTTTATAATACAAAATGCAGTGTTATGTATATGACTAAAATCACACAACCGGAATCTGACACTATCTCGTTGCTATGTACAAATACTGGGCTTATATTAGAGCTGCATCTATCAGTCTTAAACCTAGTAAACAGTTGTCTAATATGCAGTAAATATATCTAAATACATCATTTCATTTCTAGCTTCAAATTAATCGATGAATTTGAATAGATTATAACCATGTCTTAATAAAACTTTGTTTTGTTATCATTTAATTTTCACTTATGTACTGTTTTCAAGAAAATAAAACAGTTGATATAATGACAAAAAAAATCACAGTGCATTGCAAATTAAAATAAAAATAAGGATAATAAAATTAAATATTTACATAACTTATTCAGAATCTTATCAAACAAAAGGCAGATCAGCGCAAATTGATAAGAAAGGAAACATCATATTACAATAGGATTCTTTGCCTTTCTTTATGATACAGTTACAGAGAAAAATTACAATTCAAATTATTCTACACATAAAGAATATGGTGAAACAGAATAACTACATGTACTACTGTCGCTTTCTTACTTCAATTATTTCCAAAAGAAGTTGTGTTATTTTCTTTTCTTCAGTTTTCTTTTTCTCACTTAATATTTCAAAAGCTGTTGTCCATTCGTTGTCATAGAATTGTGTGTAGCGTTCAGCAATTTTGGTTGGTCTGTTATGATCACTTAGATCCGCTATATCCGGGTTGTTGTGCCTCATCGCCTGGCTAGCTTTCTGTCTAAAATTGTAAAGGTAGAATTTTAGCAAAATAATTCTCGAGGATATTGCATACTCTTTTATATGGTATGATGAAGAAATAATGCGCTCACTATCATTACATATTGAACTCGACAGGCAACTCTTCAAAAGAAAAATGCGTATGTTTAATTGTGAATCCAGTTGATTTGCATATTTTAACAAGCTAAGCATTGGGGTAAATGGACAAACCCCATCTTAAAATTGGAGATGGGCAAAAATAATCCGCGACTCATTTTAACAAGTTTAACATATCTGGTTATAAATTTTATATATTCCTTTAAATTAACAAGGAATTCCGAAAACACGATCATTTTTTCATTATGTGATTTCTTTTCATTTTCATATACTTGACTTCATTATTGGCACATAGTTACGGTCGTGTCTAGTCAAGTCGGTTCGAATATGATGGCATTAACAGTTAGAAAAGCTATTTGGTGTGTTCATCATGTCTAAAGCAATTTTTTAAGAGTACTATTGCAAAATTTACCCTCTCTGTCTATCATATTCTTCAGCTGCTGCTGCGTTTATTTTTGCATGATCCTGAATATTTCTGCTACTTTGTTGGCCATCACTTTGTAAACTTCTTTCATTATTGTTTGGTGGTTGATCATAATCGGGCTCTGGTTCCTCACGTAACTGATGTTCAGCGGCACCGCCTTTGTTGTTATTCTCGAAGAAAAAGATGAAACCATTAGGAACTATCATTGAGTAATGAAATAACCGAAAGCTGCATATGATAGTAGTATTTGAAATTATCTTTACACATAATAAACACAATTAATGTGCGATTCATTTAGAAATGGGTATGATACAATGAATATTGTCTCCAGTTTTAACACCATAAAGCATGTATGTATAAAATACATATCTTTCTAAAATCCGGCAATTCCCTCTATGCTGCATTATTAATTTTATGTGCGATACCTCTCTATTGATTCATATAACATACACGTTTTTTCTAATTTAGTCAGCCAGTCAATGTCGTATCTATTAGTTCGTTTTTAAAAGTATTTTATATTACAACAGAATCATGGTGTTGAACTATGTAAAACGCTATGTTTACGTATTTACCGTGTTACATTTTTGTTCTTTTCTGTGTTTTTCTGGTTGTGAAGCCGATTTTAACACATTTTTGTTCAACCTGGATAACTAACCAGTATTTACCGAGTACTAACTAATTCGACATGATAACTGAATCAGAGGTGAGAGGCAAATGACCATAGAAACAATGTCCGAGAACAGTTGCCATAATTATAGTAACTTCGTCTCGCCCAAGGATCAGACTAGTAGCCGATGAATTTCTAATTTTATGTTCTCCATAATCAGCTAAGCGTGTGGAGCTTATCGTTAAAGTAATTCGGTCCATCTCATATAATTCGCCCTCTAGTAAAATCGATCTAAGAAATATTCATATAAATCAAATCCAAAAGATGAATTAAAATCATCTGCTTTTTTCAGACATCTAACCGTATACATTCATATATAATCTATGTTCTCCTGTATTTTACTTAAAACGTGCTTAGTATGTTAGTATAGTAACTTAAATCTTTAATACAGATGTGTACATAATAGGTCAGGTGTGTAAAATATACCAATATAAGAATCTATTTATATTTTTCACGGAAATAAGAGGTCGTATCTACTTCCTTGAATTATTCAGTACGGAGTTAAATAATTTTTACTATACATGTACTAATTCACACACACATACACACGCACACACACACGCACGCACCAACGAACGCGCGCGCACGCACGCACACACAAATATATCATATTATTTTGTTTTCTTTAACTTTTGTTAAATTTGAGTCTTTGTATTTCTGTTAAAGATATATAACTTTTAATAAATGAATATCTAGTTTTAAATGCTGTTCTACCAAGCTGAAAAAGACAGCATTATTTATTCATTTAACTTATAAAAATATCTCCTTAAATACCTTCAGTAAATAATCGTACAGTTGTTTTCTTTTAATCAAAAACGTGTTATTCCACAAGACTTGGGTAAAATGTATGCTTACCTTTACTAAATATTTCTTGAGCAGCTTAGCAAAGTCTCTTTTTAAATGTATCTCTTTGGTGTATTTTTCCTTGGCTAAATTATACTCACGTTGAGAAACTTTCTTTACAATCTCATCGACGATCTTAAAAGTTTTCTCTGCGTTAGAGTTTAGTTTCTCATTTCTTAATAAGGTTACCTCTGCTTCTGCGTTGTTAATGCAAACATCATCAAGACTTGCTACTTTTTTCATCTCTATGGTAGCGAAAACACGTTCGATTGCACATTCTGTGTCCATGATTCAAAACATACAATAAACTTCCTGGTTTATATAAATAACCGCAAACTATATTGAATCCTGTGTGACCTGTTGCGTTTTAAAGATAAGGTCGTAAACTCGTACAATGAAAATAACTTTTCCAACAAGATATATAAGAGACCAGTTTATGAAACGTTTAACTTGCTCTGAGACGGTTATCAGTAACGATTATTCATTTATAAACGTAGACACGTTTGAATTAAGTTAACTTTATACAGTGTAACACTTTATATGCTTTGCTTGTGCACTTTCTATATCAATATAATCAATTAAAAAACCCGGCCTTTAACCGTGTAGATTGTATAAAAGCTGTCTTAAAACCGCAACACAAACAAAATGGACTTGCATTTTTATAACAATAAATGATATAATTCTGATATGCAACCTGAAAAGCTGGATGCCTGTCCAAGGATATGTTTAACCTTGTCCTCTACTTCGAGGTTGTCAAATTTCTTTAGCACCTTAAATTTACTAAAGTTTTTGTAAATTGCACAATTGGACTTCTGTATTTTTAATATCTTTCATATTTCGATTCACTTGATATGTCATTTCATAATCATATAATATGTAAGATTAAATTATATTTCATTCGTTAACACCAGCTACGCCACACGTGAAAATATTGCATTTGGTGTTCAATATTTCAATCTTACATGCAATGCAAACAAATATCCTTTATGTATTTACTGATGTCAATATTGAACTTTTCCAGCCTAACATACGCGAAAAAGCAAAATATTGCAGTAATCTGAACCTAATATAAACGTCGTAAGCATCGTTCATTTTATTTCATATACCTAGGTTTAAGTCAAAGTCACGCGGTATCTTTATCTTATACCATGCTTGCTTGTGTAAGGTATTGAAATTTGACTTTTTAATAGAACAACTGAACCTTATATAACTATTTGGAGAATACCCTTACTATAAACATGTATAAGTGAAAGGGCACAATTTTGTCTTCACAATTACAAAAACTTCATTTTGTCTGAATATTTATAACATTTTTGACAGATGTAATTAATTGAAGTATTATATTTTACAACGAAACACAAATGATATTTGTTTAGAACGTGTGATACCCCCCCCCCCCCCGGTATTTCCAGTTATATCTAAACTTAATAGTAATAGCTATGTTTTCTTCCGTTTCTTTATGGAAATTATGAAACAATAAATAATTCAACAGCTAATTTTTAAAACGAAAAATGCAAACGTAATAGAGCAAAACAAACCGGTTTCATTAATTACATCGTATGATTCACATGTAAGAAACCAGTAAACAAAAATTATTTAACTATTCCACAAAATTTTAAAATATAATCTCCGCACTGACTTAACGGCCATCTGAAAAATATAGAACTGTAATCAGAAAATATTTGAGAAAGATAAAAAAGTCTCGAATCTTCTAAACTATCAAACTGAAATCCGAGAAACATAAACTACTTAAGACACTTTCCTATTCTAATTGTGACATATGACATGACTGTGTTATTAACAATTAGGGAATATCAAAGTCACTTAAATTAAATGTTCGTGTCGTCGGTATCCTTTCTTACTAGAAACACTTATCTTAAGATAGTGTATGATTGTTCAATCTGAAACCTGGAACAGAAATTGATGAGGATAAAGTCCGCATTTGAAAATATGTGTCATAAAAAGAGCTTAATTCGCAAGTATACGTGACAGAAAAATATATGAAAAAAGAAAACTCATTCGGTTGACAGTTGACCATATTTGACGCAACCCTGTAGCGTTATTTTCAGGAAATTGCATGATACAGTGTGCCCTGTACTGAGGCGACCCCAGTCTGGTGTTCAGAAAGATTTAAGAATCAGGATCAAATTTAAAAACTCAAATATTCTCCATTGTTTACCCTCATAGATTAAATTTCTAATATTTACTTGATAGAACAGAATTTGAAACAGGGTGTTTTTGAAATTTTATTATAAATCTATTGTTATTTTTGCAAGATATGGCATTTAACAGTGATCCAATTATCGAGCTTCATTCTAGAATGTATCCTTTTTGTGATCCGATTATTTTTGTATTCGCTTTTTTATTAGTTGATTTTATGCTATGCCAAAATATGGTTTCTTTGGTACTCAGTAGGTTCTTTTACATTTTGAATATGTGTCACTTAATTCTAGCGACATACGATCAATGTAAGTGTTATAAAACAATGATAATAAAATCAGGATCATTTGATCCTGGTCTTTTCTTAGTGGACAAGTCGAAAACACGCCTGGTTTAGAATGCTTCGGGTTTTTAGGGTACCAGATACCATTTATTTTGTTGGCGGTGAAGCTTATGTCCCCGGTTTTCAAGTTCAGCGCGTTACCACTGAATTACTGACCGTTTCTGCGTTGTAACAAGCACGAGGTTTCAAATCTATACTTCAAATAATCCAAAATGATTAACCGAAAAGCTCTGTTAAATTTACAGAAACAATTTCAATGATATATGTAATCATATATTAGGTCAAAGAGAGAGAGAAATACAAATAAAACCAACAAAAAATAACGAGAAAAAAAAATAAATAAGAAATACAACAACAAACAAACAAACATACTCTTTAAGGCACATATTGCCATAGAAACAAATAATGTTTTACTTTTTTTAGGAAGGGTAAACACGAATTTATAATGTTTAAATAAAATGGTTTTAGAGAAATGTTAGATGATTGTTCCTGGAAAATGTAGCGATAGGTGTGAAATAATTTGTCACAAAACTAGCAAATTGTAAACAAAATAGTATTTTGACTTCCTTGCAAAATACTTATTCTTTTCGTATATATATTCACTATATATATCAGATATTTTTTTCAAAAGCAATGCTTAAGAAATGAAATATTATACAACTATTATACAACTCTGCCAGGGCAATGCTGTAGTTTTGAGTTCTCGCCAATATGATCAGGGATATTTTCAAATCGCAGTGCCAGTGCTTATAGCGTAGACGGAGAATAGACCTCATTGTCCTCGCAGACCAGCCCTTAACTAGGGTTATAAGAAATTCAGAAGTTAAATATTCAATCCAAGAGCGTGTCTATAGGCTTGCACATTTTCATTATCCCTCATGAACAGACTCAATCAAACCGAGTCTGCAATTCTCTTGTAATTTTGTTGTGATTAATGCTTCCGAGGGATCACTTTATTTCCAGATATTTATAGATTTCTACACAATCGGACTTAAATAAATTATGTATAAACCAAACAAAATAAATTATGTATAAACCAAACATATCTTACAATTATGTAATTATGTAAACATCTTGCTTTCAATATCATATTCTGTATTCTTTTAATATAAATACTCACTTTTCACAAACTGCATCCCTTTACTGGGATCAAAATTATACAAAGGCTACACAATATTTTTCTTTTTTTTTCTTGTAAGTATTTAATACCTAGTATGAACTTCGGGCGGGATTTTAGTCTCTGCGGCTTTAACAAAACTTCCTTGCATCATGGTTGCACTCAATTGGTATTTCAATTAAACATTCAAGTACCGACCTGATCTCTAAAAGTTAATAGGAAATATCAACATATTATCTCATAACCAAAAAGGATATTGCACGGCCGTGCATATATTTGACGTGACGTCATTTGCGATATTGCATATACAAACATAGCGTTAAGCAAACTCGAGTGAGATTGGAGCACCACACTAAATACAGTATTCCGGTATATACAGGACAAGGCGCTTGAATGATAAAATGCTAAAATCTTGCCTTTTTACCTAACGGAATGAACTTTAAAAGGTCTAAGTCATCTTTTTACCCCGAGTTTTGAGTGTAGATGCATGAAAAATGTAATAATTGGCGAAAAACCCCAACGATATTTGTCTATTTTGTGATCATGAATTTTGCAAGCGTCTAGAGGTACTGTTCCAATCCTGTAATGAGGCAGCACACCACACTAAATGAAGCCGCAGCTTCGAATGGCCAGGGAGGATTTCATGGATATAGTGACTATTGTGGATTTAAATGACTGGTTGTCTTTAAAATGCATTTTCAGCATGAAATTTGTTTTTGTGACATGTAATATGATCATTGGCAAATTCGAAAACATGGTTCGAAATCACATGCTGATAATTATTGATGTCAAGGTCGCCATTGTTTGTAAACATTGCTTTTAAACAGCATGCTCGGTGAAAAAAAAGTAATTTTACAGGGGGGTTCAAACTTTCAGCAATAGCAAAAAATCTACAAGGCCAAGCACCTATTTCTTTGTGATATTTTGCATGCACAGGGAGTTGCTAAAGCAGTGACAGAGTTTTTGTAGACCGTATATTTGCAGGTATTTTTTACCGGAGGGACGAAAAATGTTGTTTTGGGTCTCGGACCACTATAGATTTTTGGCTTTTACGGAATGAATTGGATTTTTTTAACTGCCTGACTGTTGCACATGGGATGATTTCATTACAGATTTGCAATGGTATGACATATATGTTCTTAACAAAATGTGTTTTCTTTTTCCAGGTTGTGTAGTTTGGGATCAGATTTATCAGACATATTGCTTGTAGGACATTGACGGCAGAAACTTGAAATTTAGTGTGGAGTGCTACCTGAGTTAACTCCCAGTATTACCTCCCTTTGCAGCTTGTTATCTCTGTACTGATAAGGGGAGATCACTGCATAGAGTTAAGCCTCGCTGGATTTCAGCGTTATACTATAGGCGCGTCAATGAAAAATGGTTCCTTCAAACGATCTTTATTTTTGGCATGCGATAAATAGAATATTTAATTCGTGTAAGTTCATTACTGAATTTATTGAACTCGTTAAATAAAATAATATTATGCTCGTTCAATAAATGCAGTATCAAACTAACACTCATTCAATATCCTCTATATAATGTCAGAATCTAAATCACAATATTGCACAACTTAAGTTGTCAAACGTATGCAATGATGTTCAGGCGAGTGACACCATGGCCTTCCTTCTTGTTACAGCTTTGACTTCCATAAAATTCTTCTTTAAAAATACATGTATGCTCAAGGTTTATCTTTACCGTATATGGTATGCAATCTTTGCATGTAGTCGTATGACTATAATTATGTTTTTGATGTAATGCATCATAGTCCTAACTTACTATATTTCTGTCTTTAATTTGTTTTTTCTATATTGCAATATAAATACTCATGAACGCATGTGATTTATTCTGCTTTTTATTTTTAAATGTATTTTTATTCATAGTGAGCATTATGATGGGTGTGTCATACCTGTATACCAGTTTTTAAGTTTTGGACCTCAGTGGAGTTCATTATTATGAAAGTTGTGTATGAGAATGACTAGAATGCATCGTAAAAACATTCTTTACAGCTGATTTTATTTCATGTATTTCATTTCATTCATTTTGAACATTCTTTATGTTTTGTATGTTAATAACTAAAAGCTTATACATTGTTAAACATTTATCTCGAAGATAAATAATATTTCCTGTATTTAATAATCAAGCAATTGCAATAATCATTTCATTTTTTCATCCGTACTGTATTGATATGTGGCACTACAAAACGGATGATTATTTCCCTTGTGCTACTCCTTTGCACAAAATAGGGCCATTCCTATGAAGACGTACAACTGGCCAGACACAATAATCGTATAAAGTTCCAGGTGTCGTATAGGACATGTATAAATCAGTTTTAAATGACGTCCCCTCTTGCTCCCTGGTCAACCATTCCAGATGCATAGGTGGGTCGTGTACATACATTAACCATATAACTTCAATACACTTCTCGGCATAGTCAACAAAATGGTTACCGATCCCTGTAAATCTTCTTGGCAGAGATGTTCCAAGTTCAGATGCGATCGCACGTCTTATCTCCTGCAAGTCAAGACACAACTCGTGCTTTTAATTTTGAAAATGTGTTTACTTGTAGTCTGTTTATGAAGAACAGCAATATTAGAGCGTGCTCCATTTAATCATAATGTTAAGTATAAAACTTAATACATTGGCAAATTGCAATACATCTTTCAGGAAAAGGATCTGCTTGGCTATTTTTTTTTAACTCCTCTCAGTCAAAGGAGAAAAAACAACAATAGGTGATGTACAAAAAAATCCAAGATAGAGAGCTAAACGCAGGATAATTTGAAGTGTCGACAAACACCATGTAACGTAATATTGTTGTCAATATTAACTGTATTTACTGCACCTGTATAAAATGGTAATTACGAATTGTATACTTTTGAAATAAATGGCAGTAAGTAATCAGTTTATGTTAGCATTTTATTATTTACATACTATTTGCTGACAGATCAAGATAGACTTTACCTTTTGTAACATAGGGATAGACAGTTTTGAAAGCTCTCTTCTATAATCTACAAGCATACTTCTTGCTTTTGCTACAGCGTTTTCGTTTCTATTTGCTAATGTTTCATCAATCAATGACTTCTGTTAAGATAATTGATTTTTTATTTGATATGGTATTACATGCAATGATTCATGCCTTAGTTTTTAAACATAATTTACTTCAAATTTTATAAAAACAGCTTATTACACAGCCAAAATCTGTTAAACTGTGATACTCAGGCAAATTATTGACAAAAATATTAAAATGATCGTATGTACTCAAATCACAATAAAATGACATTTTTTAAAATCCCAGCATGAATTTCTGTATAAATTCTGTATATTTTGCGTTTGGGGCTTAAATATATCTATACATGTTAAACAAAATTTAGAAGCCGACAGAACACCGATTAGTTTTAAAACATGTCATGTAACTCGAACAAACCCTGAAAACTACAATGATTGAAACAAGTGTAAGTCATTCAGTTGACATGTTCTTTACCGTTTCTAGAGTTATCTGTGACAACTATTGAGAACGCTATATTATAACTCTCTTACCTGACCCGCGTGGGTCAAGTTACGAAACCACCAGTTTATTCTTTAAAAGAAGAACAGTTTTGTACCTGTGACTGCCTAGTGGATTCATTTTGAGGACATTTACAGAATAATGATTTAAAATTCAAAACGAAGAAATGATAATTTTGCCTGTTTTCCCAGGACAGTTGTGGAAACCGTAAGTTCTAAATAAAGTTTGATAAATGCCGAAAACAAGCGGATTTTTGCGCTTAAAATTCATGAAAGGTGGTAACATAGAGCAAGAGAAGTTTAATGTATGACGAAATGTTGTGTTGGCATACACTCAAAAACAACACATTGAAAATTACAGGTAAGATGATTTAATTGAATTATTCGGCAAACATCAATACCTTGTTTAACGGATCTCGTGACACCATAATACCAACAACTGAGTTTTCCACATCTGATAATTGTTGAGTTGCTAAGTTTGCACATATAATGGAAGATTTCTGAATAAAAGATATAAAGAAGTTATTCTAGTAAATAGGAAGTTATCCTCATTTGTGCTTTTTTTACAGAAGGTATGTGTGTCTTAAATTTAGATAATACAGGATTAATTTGTTTCTGTGCGTCTCGCACGGCCAACATTGGCGAAAAGATTTGCACATATCTATAATGTATATGACAATTATACAACAATTATCAATCAATTCATTGTATTTACAGCTTAATAATGCGTTTAAGGTATAAAAATGCAAGTGACAATTAATCAAATAAAATATTTTTGAGCTATCGTCATTTACTTTTGTATTTTTCTTATCTTAATATTCAACGTTGTCACATTTTGAAAATTACTTTACTTTTTTTAATATATTATGCACCTTTAACTTTAAGGTTTTACAAAATTAAAAAAAAATGTGCTTAAAACCTTTAATTCAAATGCATGATATACAAGTATGGTATGCAAACGTGTGATAGAACATTTATACATACTGCAATAATCCACAACATATGTCGTATAGTCTGTTTGTTACCGAGAACAACTTCGAGTTCATTATAAGCTGATTTCCATTCGTTCTTGTATATCTCTGTGAACTTGTCAGCAAGCACTGCAGGACTATTTGATACATACACTGTCTCATAATCAGCCTTGCCATTACGCTTTCTAAATGTTGTGAGATACGTCATCCTATGACTTGATAAAAAGAAGCAATATATTCAAATTGTTGTTTACTTTTTTAATACTAAGATAATAAAAGTGAAAAGGAAAATCATTGTTGCAATTACCTTATTCCAATTTATTAATATTATTGTCAGTTTGTTTATAGGGCTTTTTCTTTATTCATTTTTAACAAGCGCAATAAAATACTAATTTTTATCTCTTTCTCGCGTCATTACGTCACTTAAATGGCTGTATGTTTAATTCAAATTGTTATTTCTTTTAAGTTTTACGGTGTGTTTTTCTTCTGTTTTAAAACTTGTCGGAACATCTATATTACTGACAGATATCTTTATCCAGTTCACTAGTATTAAAGTTTTGAAATTAGAGACCTTATAGTTGTCACCTTTTGGAAATGGTACATACGAGTATGCATACAGTAAATTTTGTATGTTCACATTTTTTAACAATGAAAGCGTTATAGATGATGTGTCTTTAATCAAGTTATTCATTACAAATATCAATATGTTTTCAGTTTACCTATTATTGTCTTCATCTCCGGTGCCTTTGCCATTAATGTTCATTGTGTCATAATCTTTTGATACAGTTGGTGATTTATTATTCCAATTTCTGCTATCGTCTTCATTGGGTGTGTGCTTTACAGCTGGAGGCGTAGGGATATCATCGGGTCGCACGGGTTGTTCCCATTTTTCTTCCAATATAGACGGTGATCCCGCTTCTTCAATTTTCTACAAAGATATGAAAATTATTAAACATTATAACTCCCAAACATATGCTTACACCCATGAATCAGTGCTGGAATGTTTTGATATAAGGATCAAACAAGTCTCTTACATGACATAGTTATGTTAATAAATGTGACACCGAATCATTCAAATTAAGATAAGTTTACCTTCGCATGCTTTTCTTTGCTCTTCTTTGGAAAATAACTCATCATCTCTTCATGTTCTTTGTATGCCTCCCCTAAAAGTTCAATTGCTTTAGCAAATTCCGATTTTTCCACGTGTTCAATGAGATGCAACACTTTGTCAAAACTGACGTCACCTCTGACGTCATCGGGAAGCTTTGCTCTTGTTTCCTCATACTCAGTTTTGGCTAGCCTGCAGAGCTGAGGTGTTAATTTAAACATTTCCCTGCTTTGCATATAAAATATCATTAAGTGAATACTTGATTTTGAAGTCATGTTTACTTCTCTTCTTTGTCTACCAAAGTCTTCCAAATGTTTAAATCAAATGTTCTTAACACATAATTAAAGCAACTAAAACATGAGATAGATCTAGTCCAATATATTTAACAGTAATTTCAGAATAAACAGCGACATTGCTTGTACAATGTATTGTCATTTTTCAACCATTTTGTTCAATCAAAATATAATTAACAGACCATGTGATATTGATTAGTCGATTTCTTTCCTTTGTTCTTTGTCAATAGACGAGTGAAATAACGCGTGTATAATTCGGATTGAATGTATAATCACGTGATCATGAAATAAAATGGCTGTTTAATTTTGTGAAGTTAACCCAATGTAGAGGGTATTTTTTTTTATTAAAATCCATGACGTGGCATCAGAATTGTTGCTTCTTCAGCCTGTGGGAGATGATTTATACTTGTATGTTTGACAATCTAGTGATCAACTTACATTATAGTATATATATAAAAATTCGTTCAGTGTAATAAACTATACGTGAAATAGGCATACGTGAAACAAATGGAAAGGTTAATTGTTTGTAAAGACACTAAATATAAAGGCATTAATTTTTTTAAATTATGTACAAGTTTTGAATCATTATCTGTAGCTGTTAACCGTACGAGTCATTTGTTTCTCTTGTTCACCCATCCTGCCATTTAAACCCCTCTCCCCAACACCTGCTACATAAGCTCAAGAGACATTTAGATATCATGTGTTAGACTAAAAGTCAGCGATCTACACGATGTCAATTCAAAAACTGAGATTCAAAAATAAGTCCCAAAACAGATGAGAAAATGCAGACTGCAGGAAAACGCCCAAGATTGGGCAGAAATGTTAATGATTACCAAGATGTTTACATTGGGTTACATATTGTGAACAAATAGTTCAGTTAAGATATTTATTATTATTGAATCGAGTAAATCCCTCCATTTGAATGTCATGTTATTGTTTCCTATGACATTATCATATATTTATCCGGGAGTATGTTACATAAAATCTTCCATCCGCATATTTCTTTTCAGTATCTCTTAACGAATATTTCTATAAAGTATCTCTTTAAATTAGACCGTTTTATTCAACATTTCTTATTTTACTATATTTGCCATTGGACAAAAATTGTGTACTAAATAACGTACTACGCAATGAAAATATATTGAAAAATATCTAATAACATATTGGATGTCTATAAATTTTTATATAAGGGTCGCTATTCCTCTTAATTCCTAGACGAACAAAGATCAATAACAAAAAAAAGCAAAGACACTATCGATAAAATGGAAATGTTTTTTCATGTTTTATTTCATTCACACAGTCATTTACAAAATAAATATCACAGACTTTCAAATATATAGGTATTTGTGTATCACAATAACAGATTAAGAATAGCATACTGTACAATGTAAATATAATATAGTAATAAAGATAGAAAAACAATTATAATTTTATAATGTTCACATACCTACTTCTATCATTCACAGGCAATGTGCAGTTATCTTTTGTTGAATGTCAAATGACATAGTTCTTTTTTACATTAAATAGGTAAACGTATCTTGATAAAAAAAAATAAAACACATTCAAATTTTCTCTTATTCCAAATTTATCGAAATGATAGGAACACTAAGTATAAACTACTAAAGTTCTAAAAGGCCTATTGCAAACAATCAAACATGCACATGTCAAAAGAAAGTCAGACACTTGTATGAAAAAATAACTGTTTTCTCCCATAATGCTTCCTGCTTTACTTGGCTGAAAATTATTAAAGTGTTAAAATAGAAAACATACACTGTTTTCAGGCTGCAAAATTAATCTAGTGCATCTTTAAATTCAGAGAGTAAACCGTCCACGAGACAATAATTCCGTATGGATTTAGATAGTAATTACTACTATGATTCTATCAGTATGAACGAGTTATATCCCTTGAGCTATTCCTTTGGCTATAATTGGTCCTTTCTTGCCCTGTCTAAGCATTGGCCAGACTCCATAGTCGTAAGTGTTGCCAGGTTTCGTGTACACATGGTAATGTTCAGCGTTGAATCGAGCTCCCTCGGTTTCCTTGGTGATGTATTCTAGGACAATAGGAGGATCCTGGACAGACATTAACCACGTCAGTTCAGCACATTTGTTAATGTAAGCAGTTAAACGTGATGCATCGCTGAGATAGGACTTGGGAAATCCAGATGATTCAATTAATGTTTTACTGATCTTTTCTCGACATTCCTAAAATAACAATACATATTCTCATATAAACTTTCAAAAACAGTATAAAAATATTCATATATTTTGTTAAATCTCTTCATTTGAAGTATATAAGTCATTAAAACAATAATTAACCTGCATGTAATTCACTAGAAGAATTAAGTTTGACAAATATTGTTTCATAGACCAATGCTAGTATATAGATAGCTTAAACTGACATTGGTGTTCCCATTTCTAAATACTTCAATTAAAAGACGACATTATTTTCAGACATAAGGTAAAATTTAAAAAAAAATGTATATTTTTTATCAATTTTGTCTAACATTTTTACCTCTTTAACATACGGTATTGACAACACAGCTGTTTGCTTCCTGTACTTCAGTAGAAGCGTCCTTGAAGCTGGGAGAGTGTCTCCAAGTTGACGGGGAATAAAACTACCATGCTTTATAAATTAAAAATTATAAAAATAATTATGATCTAAACAGACTCAGTAAATTGAGTATTTAGTATTCGATGTGTAGACTACTTTAATGGTAATTTTTAGGATTTATATACTAAACAAAAATACTTAATACAGCACATATTTTACTTCATCAAGGAAAGCTTTGTAAGATTATTAAATACAAATGAAATTATTTTATACAAAAAGAAAAGTTACAATTATAATAAAAACAAGATAAAAGCTAAATACTGAATGATATTGCCATTGAATAATTGCTACTAAAATATTTGACATGTTTTTACTACGAAGTCTTTCTAAAATGGAAAAGAAGAAAAATCTGTTGTTTTTCAGCTATGCACGATAAAAATTTTGAAAATAAAAATGATTAAGCATTATCTACTTATATTTGCAGTAATCACAAGAAGTAATTGTAAGTATAATTGTATTAAAAATGAATTAATTTCATGAAAATTACCTTGTGTTATAAGGTGGATATGATTATGTTAGTAATGTGTTAAACGGAATAAATAAGATAGCGGTGATGCAACCTCGATAAACAGCTTCTTACAGAATCAAAATGGATTCAAAATACCATGTCGCATTTATTCATTTATTACTTCCTTGAAAGACATTTACCGAGATCTTTCAAATTAATATGGCTAGTCATGTTGAATCAAGTATCAGTTTTCTACCATTTTGATAATTAGAGAAAGTTCATTATCAGTTTGGCACCTGGTTTGCCTGGAACTTCTTGAGTCAACATGAACGAAGTGTTACTAACAAGCTTGCCTACATGAAACATAAGGAATTTATTGAAACAACACAATCGACGTGATACTAACAAGCGGTTCTGATTAAGCTTATTTCAAGTATTACATTATCAGGCGTAGGTGTAGGATAGGAAGATGAAGAAGGAGTTGGTGTAGGTGTAGGGGTCGTCACTAAGATTTCTTTATTTGGAGTTTTCATTAAACGTATTGCAGTTTTTTCAAGGTCTTTAAGCTGTTTATCGGCAACATCTCCGGATATCAACCATGCTTCCTGTAACAAAACGCACATTTCACTATGCCATCTAATATATTATAAACCTAGGATTTTACAAAGTATATTCATTGAATAGAACAGTATCATCACCCACACATTAAAAAAATTGAAGTTATTATCCAATTTGTATGTTTTATTATCTTTTTGCTACAATACATAATTTATTTGACATGTACCCTTTTGGTATCATGTGTTCTTATTATCAAAAGGCAATTAACTTATGGACCGAAATTTCAATAGAAAGTCGCTAGAATTGTTTAAAAAATAGCGAATTGTCAACGGATAATTCGCCAGGTTACCAATCAGAAAAGAACACAAGAAATTTAAAGAAATAGGGAAATTGAAAGTTCTGTTTTACAGAGTATATAGTTGCTATTCAAATCATCTATCTTAAAAGGTGTGTGGGTAATGGATAATATTCCAATCAGTGAAGGGACTTGAAATCATGCAGTGCAAGAATTACTTCGACATCACCGGGGGTTGTCATTACACCAAATGCTTTTTTCTCTAAAATTCTGAGCTGATGATCAGCGACATCATTTGCTATCAATGAGCATTCCTGCAAATACCGCCAGGTTTGATATTATATGTAATATGTTTCGACATTGGCGAAAATAATGTTAATATTAAAATTTGCTTTGTACATGTGATTAATAATTGATAATAAAAAAACAAATAAATCTAAGTATAAAAATATTGAACGTGTTTATGATATTCAATATAGCTTGATTTAAAATGATATTTATTATATCTATAAACGATTGAGAGTGTATAAATTTATCTTGTTTTTTTATTATTATCTTAATAACAAAAACTTATTTTTGGTAATTAAGAACGATTTACAATGTTTGTCACATATATAAAATATTAAAACTATTTAACTTTGTAAATATTTAAATTTACGAACATTATAAATTGAATTCATTTTACAAACTTTTTTTAAATCAAATATAAGACTATATTATATCAAATATAAGATAAGTTATTACATATGAATATTAGACTGAAACGTACGGTTACAATCCAAAGAAGATGTCGCACGGTTTTCTCGGAACCAAAGTCCTTACATATTTCATCATAGGCATCTGTCCATTCATGAGTGTATAGTTCTCTGAACCGTTTACCTAATTCAACAGGTCTGTTATCGTGATCTGGTGTTTCAATATGGCGTGCATGTTGTGCCGATCTTCTTAAGAAAAATCAAACGTCATGAAACATTTTTTTTAAAAAATCACATTTTGCATCCGTAAACGAAACAATGTGATGAAATTTTTCTGTGTTGAAAATGATTTTCATTGATATATCGCAAGTTATGTGATTTCGAACAATAGAAAATTAATATATCAAGATTAAAAGCGTTAGGAAGAAATGGAAACAACATTTGAAAAAAGTGTTTTTGAAAATCAATTATATCTGTAAATACTGACGTAATACCTACCTCTGATCTCCCTGGATTGAACCATCATCGCTATCTCGGCGATAAATATCTCTTTCAGCTAACGAACCGAAGTTTTCTCTATATCTTTCCTTGTCTTTACGTTCATGATGGTCTAAAGCATACGTTGGGAAATCCTGCCTGTATGTACTGGACCCAACTTTTTCGCTTGGTTTGTCCCCAAAATCACGACCCCAGAGTGCCTTTGATGACGTCATCTGGGATGCGCTAGTGAGAACTCCAGACACAGGTGGTGTTTGCCTGTCTGCACGATGACTGTTGGGTCGGCTGCCATGTACGTCATGTGAATCATTTCCCGTCGAGTCGTATTTCATTGGTTGCTCAGGTGTCTTTAGTCGGAGATTTTCATAATTTTGCTATGGTAAGAAAGATATCAATATCTTAGATAAAAAATTTAAAACATTTAAAATTTAAATTTAGTATTTAAAAGTATTTTTCTATTAAAAGATACTTACATTTTAATGAGAATACACTTGGACAGCTTATAATAAAACGGGCCAGTATGTGCTTCACAAAATGTTGAAGATATGAAAACGGACAAGGCAAATTAAGGGCCGATTCGAGTGAAAGAAATATGACCTGAAAAATTATGAATGAATGAACACAAATTCGGTATAGTGCTTTTACTTTATAATGTAAAATGATGCATAAAAGTTACGCTATTCTAAAACGAAAGAAAAATACAAATACGGAATGAAAATTATGAAAAGGTACGCGTAATTTATCTTATTAATAAAATAACTTATCAAGTGACCTTATTTATGACTCACCCTATGTATATCATATTGAGGACCTTGATCATGTTGATATTGAGGTGTTCTTGGATGTCTGTCGTGTATTTCCTATATTAAAATACATCATTCATATCTTTATCATTCAAACCGAATTTCTACTCTGTAATTTGTCTCAAGATATAAAAAAGAAATGTAACATTAAAACACGTCCGTTACATATTACAAGAAGGTATGTGATAAATATCTAAGAAATATCTCAGCTATATCTAGGTTATGATTGAATCTTTCTTGTGTGCAACAAACAATATTTAACAATGTTCATTTGTGCCTGTGTGTGCTATAACTACTCAGCATAGGACATACGGCGAATATGAAGCTTTCGTGTTGAGGAAAAAAAAACACGGTAAGACACTGAATTAAGAGTCACGTGATTTCCGTATTCAAGATGGGTGACTTCCTGATATCAAATATACCAAGAGATATTAGAATCTGCACATATCGTGAAAGTAATTTGAAGACATTTAAGCTAATGAATTGACAGACTAGTTAAGAATTGATTTTGCTGGCCCCGGACAAATTTCAAATTACCTCATGTCTTTTAGGTGTTTCATATCCTGGGTTGCCACGAGTATGATCTTCACGTGGGTTTGTAGAACGTTTTGGTGGAGTAGCTAGATCTCGTCTATCAGGGGTATATGCATCACGTCGGTTATAATGATCTTGATGTTCAACTGGTCTATGCGGCGGTCGTCTTGGGGAAATCTGTCTCAATAACAGTGTGTGATATTATTTAACTGACATGAATTACAGAACACAACATTAATGTCATTCATTTTGATTATGAGTTAAATTAAAGAAAAAAGGCTCGTATAAATATGGCATCAAAGTTACTGGAATGTGACAGGGATGTCTCCATTTCATAGAAATAGGTAGGTAGGAATGAAAATTCTTTTTTTATTTTCTTTAGAACTGAAACAATTTGTGAGTGAATGTAAGTGACACGACAAAAAGTGTATGTATATATGTAAACTAAAGAACATCATACTTCCAAAAAGACATATATGTTATCACCTCGTACATTACTTCACATATCATTAGTTTAAAAGACGTTTGACAGCTTATATGGTCAAGTATAAATAGCGGCAGGAATCATATAGGCTTGCAGCCGGTTATACTCTACCACATACCATGCCAAAATTTTTAAAACTAATTCTTTAATACAGCATTTTGGTTTTTTTTCATTTGAAGAAAATAATGGACAGCAGCCTTGTATATTAACTTTATAAACATTACAAACGTTCAGTAATTCAAATGTCAATGATTTGAATAAACAGTCATGTATCAGACCATTGACCTTCTATAATCGCTTCATTATTTTTTTTCTTCAAAATAATTATAACTCTGCCCGTTTGTAACGTTGATACTTATTTGAGAATCATGATGGTTTACAGTACATCTTTACATTTACACCGGGCTTGCTGCAAATTAATGTGAAATCATTTCTATTTTTTATCAATCAATGGGAAAATGTACGAGTCATAACAGCAAACTCCTCTTACATAAAGCCTTTGTTAATGTTTACGCAGCACCCGCAGCTGATTTGTGCTACTATAATAATTCCTATGATAAAAAATTTCAACGCCCACCCTCATATTGATAATGTGTTAATAAACCGCTTGTTTAGGTAAAATTAATACCTTATCGATGATTCAGCTCTGGTTAAGACTTAGGCGAGTGTGCCGAAATCATATGTTTGAGTGTCTTTGTTAAAGCTACGATCAATAAGATTCTTCGCCTCACTAAACCTGCCCATTTCTGAATATTCAATCATAAGCCTAAGATTACGGAAGACCTCTTCATCATCATCTAGCTTCTCCATGAAACTTTCATATTCTTTACGTACATAGCTAGCGAAATGTGCCGACACATTATGCCACTGAGACTTGTTCAAATACGTCATCAACTTCTCAATGTTGGGACTCGTTACCGGCGGTATGTAGGGCATTTTGGCTACGTCTAAAAATCGGAAATTATTGAATAATTGATAACAGTTGGGAGACAAAAAAATCTTCTTTATGTAGAATGTTTGGCAGATTAATATAGTATTCAATTTATAATTGTTAACATCTTTATCTTTATATTTTAGAAAGGGTAGACAAATATGATACAAGTAAAACAAGCAAATAATTGTGACAAAGTTAAAGAAATGTACGATTGCATTGAAGCGAATTTGTAATATGTGATAATCATCATTTAATTAATTAACGCTTAGTGTTCAAAACTATACCCAAAATTGTTCTTCTCTATAATAGATAAAAAACTTTAAAAATTATTTTAAAAAAAGGGGGAAATAAAATTTCACATCATGATATTTAAAAATAAGACAAAAATACATGTTTTATAAAGTATACATATTTTTCAGTTGGTGGTATTTGTTACATTGTTACGGTGATGTCCCATTAGAGTTTAAATTGCATTGATACGTGTACATTCATAATATATGTTTGGAAAGATATCAAATTGTAATAAAATGTATTTGACAATTTGGCTTAATATCCATATACCAGTCAAACATTCAATGTACAACTAGGTATCTTAATTTAACTTAAAATTCATGTTTATTGTCTTATTAAAAACATATTTGCTGTAGTGTTGCGAGTTTATAGCTACAGTCTGAATCTATAGCAATATTTGCATATCAAACAAATAAATAAACAAACGACTTATATGAGTTTAAATCAAATAACATAAAAAAATGTTCAATTATTAAATGCATTACAGACATTTCATATTCTTTATTAATGTTATTTTATTTCAAGTTAAGCTTTTTAAAGTATTGTTTACAAATGTACTTTCCGTAACTATAATTTGAGTTAAATAAAAATATGAATATTTTCAATGTTTTTCTGAAAGAAGTTGTTATTAGATAACTAAAGCAAATGAATATTTTTAAATACTCACCTTGTGTCCTCAACTTGTTTTATGAAGAAGTGAAAAAAATATGAGCAAATGACTCAAAACTGTGTATCCAAAATTGGCAACTCAATAATATGTCAATTTCCATTCGATACAACTTTCGCTACAAATAAATATATTCCCATAAACATACCTTAATTTAGTGTTAATGCACGCACTAAATAGATTGGCAGTTGTTTAAAGCATTGATGATTTTCAATGCCTTTAGTTTTACGCTTTGTAAAAATGAATAGAATCTTATGACCCGTGTATATCGATTGTAGTATTTGACATTGTTTAACTACAACGCTATCATTCAAATTGTCATTGTTGATTAAGTATTTTAAAAGTTCCTCTATATATCGAAGTTAAAAATCTGTTTGAAAAACAATAACAATTGTAAACTATTTTGAAAATAAAAGACATATTGAAAAGGAATTACAAAGGGTCAAATTTCAATTACCCTGGTTAGAGAAGGTTATATCCCTTGTCTTGTTAAAACATTAACATGTATACATGTATTTAACTGTATATGCGAAACTAAAAGCGAATATAAAAACTATAATTTTATATTTTAGAATTTGATAAAATTATTAGGTATGACACGGTCATGAACATTTGTTTCATCAGAAGATTGATGGTTGATAACTTGATTGTTGTCCAGAAACCTATCAATTAGTTTGCTGACGGTCACACTATCTTAATATTTCAGGCATTTTATTATATTTAATAACCCTGGTCGTGTCTATCTTGTACGAATCTTGTAACATGAATGAACAATGCGAGTATCTTCCAAATAAATTAAGTAAAGTATATTATTAATAGTGCATGTCTTTGTTTTCATGATGATATAACAAGATTAAGAACAATAGTACAAAATAAAACTACGATAAAAAATACCATATATACGATATTCGCTTTGTATGATGTGGAAACTAGATTATTTAGGATGTAAAAATAAAGCTAAATAGGGCATGTTTTTAGCATAGATTTCATTTACAATATGCTAATTTCGGTCAGTTTATAAACATATCTCAGACTGGTAAACAACTGTTGATTTATTGGTATTTCTCCTGGCATTGCAAATGTTTTACCAATAATATCACTAAAGCGGCGAAGTGTGTACATATAAAAATAATTAGGATTGTACGAATTTGAACGCATATATAACAACATCTAGTAGTTTTGTTTATATTTCACAATTATTTGGTGCATAATATAATTGTGTTTTATAAAAAAAAATCTTAACCAGTGAAACAAATGCAAATCAAAACTGGACATATCTTAACAAAGACATACACACAAGTTCTACAAAAGAATGTTAGCTATGAATAAATAATATTCTTAAACAAAACATGGATGCACATTCACATACACTCAGCTTTATAAAAGATTTCTCACTTTTAATATTTCTTTATACATATTATAATATATGTGAGAATGAAAAACAAAAAAGTTCAACGACAATAAAATCCAGACGAACAGTCGGTTTCTATATTGAGAAAATTGTTTTAAGAAATTTATCAGGCCCGAGTGACATATGATTTTAGCAGTGTACACGCATTATGAACCTATGACCAATCATTCCGCATAAACATCCAATTCATGTTTTCATCTTTGAAAATTCATAATGAATAATATTCGATTTATATTCATTTTTATTTATCATGTTTGTATTTCTGTATAGTAACTGATTTTGTTTCGGCTATTTGACCGTACATCACATCCACTATACCCCTACTCATGACTGGGCCTCCTTTGTGCCGAAGGACTACTGGCCAGATAGTCCCAACAATTGTACTACCTTCCCCCGAGTAGGGCTTGTATTTCTCCGTGTCCAGAATATCTCCAAATCTTACCTAGGCACATTGGAGGCTCCTGTCAAAAAAAAGAAAAAACTCAAACCGAAGTTACTATTATTTTTCATAAAAAAAATTGAATAAAACACTTTAACTTCTTATTCACTAACTAAACGATGTATAGTAATTTGAAACTGAGACATAATGATATCGTCTCTTTCTTGCATTAGTCGTTGAAAACGTACTTTATATGGATAATTATAATACTGCACGTTTGTAACGTCGCTTTTAAGTGGACAAGCGTGATATTTATATAGTTTTATATATACGACTACTGTCAATATACGATAAAATCTCTCATTTTCTCTAAAAAAGAAGTTTGTTGTATTAGAAATTTATGATAAAGAACCCCGAGAGGTTATATGGTTGTATATAAACGTTGTTTTTATTCGCAATTTAATGAATTATATATGCAAACAACTGTTTATGTAGCGCCATATAACCTTGAAATAATCTTACGTATAACTAATATGATAATAACTAAAAGTTATGGAAAAATCATTGAAGTAAGAAAAAGGTATTTGCCTTCTTGAACATCTTATGATAATAATTTCTTACTCTGACTTTTTATTGAAATTGTTAATCATATTGCTGTAAAACTGATATTTTTACCTGTATACACATTAAGTACGTTTGCTCTACAACCTTCAGGATATACTTCTTCACACCAATTGTCAATGTTCCTCCTTTCTGAGGAGGGGATCGTGTCATTAGAGTTATAAATATCTTTAAAAAAATAGATATTACAAAGAAATATATGACGGCTATGTTGCTTTGGGTTTTTTTATCTATGAATATTTATTATAATAAAATTCTCTCTTTTTCCTGTAATAAAGAACTGTTAAAACAAAAAATTATTGTAAGATCTATGAAACATTTAAGGCTTGATAAAAGAAGAGTCAGTTCAACAAGCTACTTGAGAACAGCAATTCGTCGTACGTAGTGCTCTAGTAACTGTTAGTATTTACCTGTTTTACACCAGGGACCGACGTCCGAGCTAGACACCTTCGATAGTCTTTCAAAAGTTGTAATGTTTCATCCCTCTCAAACTTTCTGGCTGAAATACCATCAGCTACCTGAGGAATGTAAATATTTTATGTATTTACGCATTTTGTTTTAATTGAAACCATAAAGTAAAAGAATTTTGTATCAATAAATGGACACATGTTCAAAATCAATTTAGATGTTGTAATATATTGCGATAAAGATGTTATGTTAAGTTGTAACAAAGTTTTGCTTTTGCAAGTGTTCGTTACGAAATAGAATATTAAATCGTAATGTGTTTACTATTGGTTTTCGTTGTTCTTTCTCCTCATAGCTTGGCTTTGACATTATCTTAAGAATCTCCATTTCCTTTCTCATCAGATCCTCAAGTTGCTGTTTTGCCATATCTTTTCCGAATTCATAGGCAGCCTTATGATAGTGTGAAACATGTTAGCTAAATACATTTCACTTTTCCATACACAAATGAAATTGAATGAAGTTACGGAGCGGCGGTGGTTCTATTCAGGTGCCCGTTTGTGTCTGAAATAATGTACATATGGGCACCTGAGGTCTTTCTCCGCCAGTAAAGAGTGAAGCTATATGACCTAAATTGTGTTGATGCGACCACAAAAATTAAAAAGGTACGATATCGTACTTGAAGTTTTGGTGAATTTCCTAGATTAAATATCCAAGTTCTACCAAATTCTTCTTTAAAGTTTTAAGACAAACAATTAATTATTATTGTAAATGCAATGCTTATTTGTTGCTATCAATACTTTTAACATACCCATGTTACTGCCCATGCTACTTTGCAAAGATACAATATCGTCTTTCAAGTTTATATGAATATCCTTAATAAAAATAAATTTCCAAACTCTATTTTAAAAACATAGGACAAACTATAAATTATTACTTGACAATGCATTTAATAATTTATAATATAACATTTTATTTGCGAACAATTAACAAAACCTTAGACATACCCATGTTACTTTGCCAAGATATACTAAAACCTTTGCTTCATCAAGGGCTATTGCAAGTTCTTCATACGCTGTTTGGTATTCATTATCATAAATTGCTCTGTAGTTTTCTGCTATATCCACTGGCTTAATGCTATCTGTAAGATCACTTTTCTTCTCATCTGGTTCAACAACCTGAGTACCGAGTATAGCACTTAATCTGAAGAGGATATCATCATGTGTGAGAATTAATAAAAAAAAATACATACCATTGGATAACCCTGCTTTACATAGATAGGAACATTAGATATAATGTTTACTTGACAATAACAGGCAAGATATGTAAATTTCCATTGTGTTGCATAAGATATAAAAGTAAAATATAAAATGTCTAATAAACGATAACTTACCATACCTGAAACTTTTACAGACACTGAAACAAATCAATGGTTTTTTTTCCAAAGCAAAAGAAGTCAGTACTCGATGCAATTAAATTCTTTGTTTTATAGCTGGGAGACCTTTTCAATGTATAAACAGTACTGTAGAGTGCGGTATAAGATACCATTATATCAGTTACAGACTGTCCGTTGGAAGTAAAAACATGCATTCAATGTTGGTTCCAGGGGCGCTTACTAAACTGACTTCATGATACGAGATATAAAAAGACAAGAATAAAGATAGCGAAGTCTAGTATCAATTTAATATGCATGGAGATTGGCAACAGGTTTTAGCGTTCTGTAAGGATAGAAGAGAAAGAACATACATAAATCCGCTTGGCTATCTGAGTTTCTACTCATTAAAATCAGATTACCCCGTATTTGAATACATATTCTGTGACTTGATAAAGATTAGACAAATCAATTATGAGACAGCAATACCTGAGAGACATTTCCGTCACCTTTTGTTTCATTGAAACGATCTCTTTCTCCTTTGCTTCTATTATTTTCTTTGTTCTATCTTTGAAACTTTTTTCTTGCATGTAAAGGCTAGATGTCATCTTCGGATATCTCTGTATATTGAAAAAAACAAACAGTTTTCATTTTCTATATGCTACAAATACTTATTTAGACCATTAAATAAGATTCTTACATAAAAACATAGACCTCGCGCCGTTGCGGCACGTTTTCAATATGACTGTGTAAGTCAAGGCAATTTAAGGACAGCTTAATGCAATGGTGGCCCGGTAAAGTTATTACCAAAACATAATTGTCAACTGACGGCGCACAATCATGGAAAATATCAAAAAAAGCAATGGTTTCTTTATACGAAATGCAAGTGATGCAGAAACTCGGAATAACCGATTTGTACTTGCATGCAAGAACCACACATATGCACCATGTTCGTACATTTACATCTGCAGAAGCTATCGTCCTGCGGTCTCGGGTTTTAAATGCGTCCTCGTGCTTTTGCAGATGTTAATGAACAAAGACGCATGATACAAAACTGCATAACTTTTATCACAGTACTGTTGTATTTAACAAGCATTTTGAAGACGTCCATGTGAAAATTAAAGAAAAAAAATCACACAACAAAACAACAAGAAGTAAAAAGGTTCCTCAGTTAACATTTTAAAGTTTGTTCCCATTAAAAAGTATGGGTTATAAATAAACAAGTCAACATACGCTTTGTTGTCGAAAAATACATTATTTATATAAAATGAAACTATATTACCGAGGGTCTGCTGATAAGCGTTTGTAGTCGTCCCATTTCATTTTGAAACTTTCTGTACTGCTTAAGAGCATCTGTCGCTTCTAATGGAGTGACTTTTATACCATCTTGGAGCTTGGCTAAACAAGTGGCTACAAGGTCATCATCGTCCTCTAGCTGAGAACTTGTCGTAAATTTTTCTCTTTGAACATATTCCTCAGGAACCTTTACAATCCCTTTCTTCTCAATCACCCGCATCATAGCCTGTGTCATCTTGTTCTATTTTATCTTCTTTTTTTGATCAAATAATGTAATCCTGAAATCTTAAATCTCTTTGCCAATTTCTACAATTTACATTTCACAATAATAAGTTAATTATTATCTTGTGATTTCAAATTAAATCAATATTAGTGACAAGAGTTTGTTCCATCGAAAATGCTTATTTAATTAGGTTATTATATCAATATGATTTAGATTTAGCACTATTGAATTTCAGAAAAGTTTCATGGACCGATTATTTTGAATAGTTTATGGTAAAGTTATATAGTCCTCTCTAAAAATAAAATGCAATGTATAATTTAAAGGTATTATATCGATTGGAAATGAAATATTTAAAGATTTCTTAAAATGTATCGAACCAAGACTATCTACACCACTTGCAGTATGTCTTAACTATCGAGCAATACAATAACGTCCTAGGAACTATATCTAAGCAATTACTCAAAGCTGCCTTACTATTCTAAGTTTCTTATATAGTGTGTAATTTAGCCAGGCAAGATTCGAACGTTAAAGTCTGCTCGTTGTCAGCATAATAGAAAGTAATAAATCTGTCACTTGACATTAAATTTGTTATACCAAAACAGACTCTCTCGTAATGCAATATGATTATAAAGCTGTTCTGAAAATGCCAACTGGTTTGAATTCTACTCAATTGTTTCTCATTTACCCATTTGGTTATATAATGTATGAATACACATGGTCGAACTTAGTGAGGTCTTTACAACACAAAATATTAGGAACATACCGGTATTTAAGATATTGCATTTGATGAAAGAAATAATTTAACGAATTTATATTTTACATATTCTAACAATTAAGGATAAGGCATTAATGTTGTAGGTCTATGGGAATTCTTTTGTGCAAAATCGTCGAAATTGTCTATCAGAGTCACGCCATAAAAATGAGTCAATCAATCAATCGTTATGTGACTGTAGCTTTATTGCTGAGGTTCATTTACCGGTACTTTATATCGATAAGAGGAAATTTGCCGATTCATATTGCTTACCAAAAGAAATAAACAGTGCAAGCCATTGCATGTTACCTCGGCCTGTACTGTGTCAATGTAACTAAAATGTAACATATATGAGTTTTGATATAATTGATAACATTGTCAATCAAACCGAGTCTGCAAATTTCTTGAAATTTTGTTTGGATAAATGATTCCGAGGACCAAACTTTCGCCAGATCATTATACTTCACAACAGCAGGTGTCAAGTGCTATATAACAACTGTAAAATGTTGCTTCGAACTTCACTTCAGTATTTTCTGGTCATTCGGGATAATTGATTCTAGCATTTTTAAGTGTTGAAAATTGAATACCAATCAAACCGGTGCTAGGGTCGTGAGGGATGTTGCACTTTTTTCATAATCTCTCACGAGTACAGACTCAATCAAACAGAATACTTAGTACGCAATTTACATGTAATTTATTTGTGATTAATGCTACCGAGAGATCAGACTTTCTCCATATTTTTATACTTCCCAATAGCATGTGTCTTGTGCTGTGCAACAGCTGTAAAATGTTAGTGTTAGTCCGTACTTTACTTCAGTGTTGTTATATACACTTGGAAATACGTTAAGCACACAATTTATAATTGGTTGTGATTGAAAGCACTGTCATGAGATGACGATTTAATTGAGCTTAGAAATAGTTAATTGATAAGTAGCTATACAAAGTGACGGGAGTAATTTGTTAATCTCAGACTTGTTAAGCAAATTGTTTAAGCAAATATGGAAACATTTTTTCCGGATAAAAATTTATGAAAGGTATTTTTCTTGTCAGGTTTATGTTAAGAAAACGAAATACATTAAATAGCGTAATACAATAGATAAATTTATTCAGTTTATAATATAAATAACAATAAAATAAACGGAAGCTCCAAATAAACTGTACATAATTTCATAAGACTGCTTTACTTTATATCAAATCTTCATTTGCTTTTATGATTTGTTAGGAAAGCCAGTTAAGAAAGTTCAATTTTGAGATAAAGCCTGAAATGTCACTTCACAAGGCAGATTCCCCTCTCCGCAAGAGTTCCATCTTTATGGTCAAGCAATGCTGGCCATACTGTATGTATAATTGTTGCACCTTTCTTGCCATACGGTGTAAACCAATCTCTGTTCATTAATTGGCCACCACGTGGCCACACTTGAACTAACGGTGGTTCGTGCATACTCATATACCAGCTGACTTCAATGAGACGATGAATGTATGGTCGTGATGCCTTTGGTGTAATCCGTAATGCTGTATGACGATTTAGAACATCTCGTTGTACTATCGTTTCAAAAATCTGAAGAAAATCAAGTTTGATTAACATATTTTTGTTCAACCAAAATAATTATCATCTTACACATTTAGTTATGTATATTTAATAAAACTGAAAATTGTTTTCCTAGACTTTTACAATATAAGTACCATTTTTCGTATCAGTACACATGCTTTCGATTGAAATTTCAGTAAAATGAATGAACATTTGTTTAAATACTTCTTATATCTCTATCTAGGACTGATAGTTTATAAATAACAACAGTAAGATGTACAAGTACTTTATGGTATCTTCATGTCAATGTAATTTCAAATATATTTATATTCTTTTAATAACGAAATATTTAAAGTATACTTCTATAAGGCCTGGAATGGGAAACTTGGCCATTGCTCGTCTATAATCTTTTAAAAATCTGCGAGTAACTTGATAACCCTCTTTGTCTATTATTGATTTCGACTTTGGTATCTACAAAAAATAGAAACAAATACTAGATATAACGTTTTATCTGCGACGGTATGTCGAAATGAACTTGACAGGTTAAGAAATAACTTTTAAAAATTTTGAGTAAAGTGATGAAGATAACAACAGCAGCATTAATCCTAATTTGTTGAGTATCACATATAAATAACAAAATAAAATGAATAGATAAATGAAATTTCTTGAGATTGACAAGGCTTCCATTTGGCTATTTTGTTGTCCAGAGTGTTATTAAAAGACGTAATGTGGAATGATTAACGTTGCAACAAAGAGTAATAAGAATTTCTAGTTTTAAACAAGTAAAATGACAGTGTGCTCCGTTTCTTTTTTACTCACCATTGTATCTTTGATTTGCGGTACATATTTTGGTTGAACAAGTACATCTATCACATGAGCATGGGCCTTAAATATGTCGTCAAACTGTTGTTTTGAAGTGTTTGTGCAAAATGTATACGCCTCCTAAAATGAATATGGCAGATTTTATTGTATTGAATAAGAAGCCACATATTAAAATGAAATCATGCTTGGTGAATAAGTTTTCATTTATATGGACAAAGTAAGTTGTGAATGTTTTTAAAAAACGATGCAAATTAATGATAAATAACGGGTAAAAGTGACTGACAGATTATAAAACATTCTTCTTTATGAAGTTTTAATCTGTAGCTACCATTGTTATGCAAATTTAGAGAAAGATCTTCAAAACGCAAATTTATGGAGAATAAATGCTATACCAGTAAAGAAAGCCATCTCTTAGCCGATTTTACCTTTGCTATTGCTGCTAGTAGTTCGGTAATATTGTCTTCCTTTAGTTTATAATGATGTTCAAGATCATGGTAGGCAGTCTTGTATTCTGTGTTATATATTTTCTTGAATTCCTCCACTAATTGTGCAGGGACAGGTATATCACGCTTTTGTAACAATGTAACTTTGTTTCCGTTCTCCATGACTGCAACGGCGTTTGGTTCCCTGCATAGACCAAAATCAAACACATCTCATCTATAAGATATATAAGCTATAAACTTTAAGCGTTAATTTTGTTTACAGCCAAAGGCTTTCTAACTACAATTTATCATTTAGATGTTCGTGTAACATTTATCTTAAATATAAATATAAATTATTAGCTAATGATTAAGTTCTATACTACTTAAAGCAAAAAAAACATACTGTTCTTTTATTTTAAGATTTTAAAATAAGAAAAGTAACATATTATAAACGAGAAATACGTACATAAACTACAAAAACTGAATAGGAAATAACCTTAAAATGTCTTACTTATTCACTTTATTATCTGGCGTGACCTTTGTTTGAGTAATTGGTAGCTTTAATCTAGATACTTCTTTATCTTTCTCAGGTGAGTCTGGATTATTTGGTTTTGGTATTCCTGTAGCTCCATTCTTTGTAACAAGTTTAGAAGATTGTGTCCCTTGTGATCTGACATCATCGGTGGTCGAAACCTTTGACGGACGTCTCGGAGAACGTGAAGATGCTCCTGAAGTTCCGTTAGTTTGTACTGTGCCATTTATATTACGTGGCGGTTGTCTGGATAGTGGGCTTTGCTGATTATTACCATTGTTTTGGGAATTAATACTATTCTTCCTTGTTATTGGTACTTTACCCTTAGTTTGAGGTATTGGCCGTGCTTGTCCTTCCTATGTTTAATATACCAGCATTTTAATTATAATTTGTTAAAGATAAATTAATATTGGTTAATTTTACAAATGAATCACATAAAATGTTCATTTGTTCCTAACATTATATAATTTCACGAAGAAGCCTGTTACAATCAACATCCCGAAAGCATAATATTTGAATCTCGAACAAAATTATCTGTGGCACTTTTAACGGAAAGAAACATACCTTTTGTTCTTGGTTCGCTTTGAACAGTTCTATTTCAGACTTAAGCGCTTTGATGTGTTCTTGAACTTTATAATATTGTTGTAAAGCTTTGGTCGCATCTTCTGGTCTAACAGTCTTCCTTGCTTGAACCTGTTTCAGTACGTCTATTAGCTGATCGGACTTGCTACTGTTCATCGTGCTAGCCATTTTAATACAACCTTTATACAGATAAATTAGGATTAGAGTCCATCAAGAAGAAGAAGAAACTGTTATAAATAGAGCGTGCTTAATTTCGTGACAACAATGTTTAAACAGGGATGAGCATAGTTTTCAATTGTATAATATTGCTTTACTTGTGTGTTCCACCTTTAAGTATATCCCTCACTGTCAATCACATCAATAGAGTAAGGTAGCTACAATAATCTTATTTTAATTGACATAGATTCGATCTGCCAGGATATCGAACCCGACATTGTTTCAGGATATTAGGCGGACACTATGACCATGCAACCTTATGAAATATGAAAAGTAACATAAGACATTAGCCACTAGCAGGGATTAACAATTGGTTAATAGACTTTTAACCCAGATTAACCAAGTGATCTTATAGTATACAAGCTCCACTGAGATCACGAATGAAACCAGTACTGGTTGGATCCAGAGAACAGACTGGTGGGTGGATCAAATAATCATACCTGAATAAAGTATGTTTATACTAAATGTATGTTTGTGTTTGAAATATATCCCGGGTAACGAGTGGAAAGAAGCAGATCTGTATAGCTCTAGCAAGCATCGTTGTGTTCTTACATAAACGTATTCAGGACGCACATATTTATACGTTCAGTTTAAAAAACCAGATCACACCTACTTACTTATATACATGTTCGTATATTTTTTACATATTGAAAAGTGGAATACTCGGACAATGATAGCCCCATTCATCATATGACATAACTTCGTTGAATTTTAAATAAATCTTATGATAAGCATACATCATCAATTAGTAAAAATATGGTTGAATATAGTTTAATTAATTAAAACTTGTTAAACCATAAATAAATTACTTACCATTTTTATCTCGTACTATGCCAGTTGTTCTGCCATGTTTATTCAATTATACGAGTGGTAATTTAATCCCTTACTATTATTATTCGGATCAATATCCAAAGTATAAAAGCGAAACACTTTATAATTGTCACTATATATAATTGTTTTACATGAATGCATTATAAAGAAAATTAAACTTTTGTTAACGATTTTAAGGGAGATAAAAATGAAATATTTATGACAACGTTTAAAGTAGCATGCGTTCACATTCTTGTTAATTTTCATTTAAATTTGAAAAATGTATTTAAAAGTAAAATATTGTGAATTGAACAAAATTATTCGAATATTGCAAACAGCACTTGCAAAAAACGTAAATTACCAAAAATGCGGTCAAAATAGTAAAAAATAGCTCTTACTGCGTTAATAACGCAGTAGAAATATCGTGATAAATACATTAAAATAAGTCCTTAATCGCTCATAACATGCAAACTATTATTTGAATTTTAAATCTTTTTACTTTACTTTAAATCTTTTTAAAAAAAATCATTTTAATGTTTAATTTTCTTGAAATATTGAGGATCATCTAGAGGCATGACGCTTTTAGACTAGGTATACAAACTCACAGCACAACAGAGAGGAGCTGTATTGGGATTTGGGTGGTTCAGGATTTGGGATACAGTTGGTACATAATGTTCAACTTCAGTATCATTTTGCCAGCATAGTCTAGCCATCAGGTACGGAATACTGTAAGGGCCATCGTGGCTATGCATTATAATCCAGAGGGCGACAATGTGATAATGCGATGACGACAGTAAACAGTGCGATGACGACAATGCCAAAGTTTGATGGCGACAGTGCGATAACGCGATGACGACAGTACGATAATGCAACGATGCAATAGTGCGCTGGCGACAATGCGATAGCGACAATACGATAGTGCGATAGTACTATCGCGTTGTCTCCATCGCATTATCGCACTGTCGCCATCGCGTTTTCGCAGTGTCGTCATCGCGTTATCGCACTGTCGCATTATTTTACTGTCGTCATTGCGTTATCGCACTGTCGCCATGCACTATCGCATTGACGTCATCACATTGTGGTCATCGCACTGTGGTACTGTCGTCATCACACTATCGTGCTGTCGCATTGTCGCCCTCTGGATTATAAAGTATAACCACGATGGCCTTAACGGTATTCCGTAATCAGGGCATACGTTCATGATATGCATAGTCATTTTTGCATACTATTTCTTCTTAGTATGTTTTGCAATAATTCGGTGTTATGTAGAATCATATGAAGCACAGCTATGCGTTAGTATACGTTTATGATGGTGTTAAGTCAATGGGATAAGTAAAAGTCTAAAAGATCATCATAATCAAAATTATACATTTATTTATTTCATATGATAGAAAATCAACAAATGAAAGTGACAAAAATATGATAATGCATATATTTAGAGCTTAAGTCTATATATCACAAAAATGTTATTTCATCACACGGCCTGCACAATGCCCTTGGACATAAGAGGCCCATTTTTATGTAGTGCAAGAGCTGGCCAAATACATTGCTTGATAACGTCTCCCCTTCTTGTATAGAACGTAAATCTGTTCTTATCAACATTTTGTTTGGGTTCCGCCCAGATAAATGCCATCGGTGGCGTCTGCATCTTCATCATCCACACAAGTTTTACAGATTGGACAATAAATGTTTTAAGACCAGCCGAAGAAAACTCAGCTCCAAGCTGTTTTTTCATATGGACTTCATGAAATATCTGAAAGTGATAGCAAACTGAAACATACAATAAACAGCAAAGAAAGTTTCCAAATTGTATTTTCCGTGTATGTACGCGCATATGATATAATATTTCGGTATATATAATTGTGCGATATACGATAAATCGAAAATGCAGAGAATAGATAAAATAGATTCGTGTTTATCATCAGAAGAAGAAAGAAAACGTACGATATTGGACAGCAACATTGTCTATTACCTTACAGAGACTTTGGTCAATAGCTTACAGTGGTATTTGACATTTTTCTATTAACTTACATTTTCAGAAAACTTACATCAATGTGTGGCATTAACATTTGACATTTCAAATATACTTACAGCTACATTTAACATTTTCTATAAACTTACAGCATCATTTTTATTAAACTTACTGAAAGGATTTTTATTAACTTACATTGACATTTGACACTAACTTACACTGACATGTTAGTTTACTAACAGCGACAATTAACCTTTCTTTTTAACTTACAGCGACATTTTCAATAAACTTACTTATACTGACATTTTCGAGTAACAGCGACATTTGACATCTTCAACTAATTTACAGTGACATTTTAAAGTTCCAATTTAATTAATTTACAGCAACTTTTTCAATTAACTTAGAGTGGCTTTTCATAATCAATTAATATGCCATGTGTCTGATATAATACCCTAATAAACAAACAAGTATCAGACCTGTGCTAGTGGCCCTGTTGACAAAATACCTAACGATTTTCTTAAATCCTTCAGAAATTTATCTTCGATGTCTTTTTGTGACGACGACATTTCGGCTCTATGTTTTCCTGCCTAAGTAGAAAAATCAACAGAAGAAATAATGTAAAAATATACAATAAACAATTCAATTTTAATTTGATAATTAATAGAAAATATTTACTTTGAAGTTTATGCCTCTGTATGATTTATCATATGAAGTTTAAATAACACGAGCAAGTGGGCGGATTAATCTCAAAACAATCGGGCGGATTAACTTTCAAATCAATAATAAGCGCTATATTACCATTACAGTTCCGTTTTCAAGTTTATATTTTGGATAGGTCAGTTCATTTTCAATTGCTGATTTCAGTGAAGCAAATTGATGGGAAGACACCTCTACACAAAACGCTTCTATGTTCTGAAAATTAAATATGTTTATCTAAGATAGAATCAATAATAACCACGATATTCAAAGTGTTGAAAGTGTATCAGGATTAGGTCATGACAATGTGTCCTTTAATAAATGTTATGATAAGAAATAACGTCATGAATAAATAAAGGAAAGTAGGAAATGAATAGCTGGGCTTAATAGGTTAAGGCCAGTTTTCTTTCTTTGATAATTACAATAAGTTTTAAAAACAGGTAGTAAAAAGCTACTGTTTTAAAGCGGCGTTCAGCTTTACTGAAGGTTAAATTCTTTGTATATTAATTCAAAATGTGAAATACTGAAACAACACAGACTTGTTTTTCAAACAGAAAATAAATGTTGAAGGTCGCTTTAAAGGGAACTATCCAGAATAGAAGCGACTTTTTAAAGGCATAACAAAAACAAGCTATTGGAAATTCAGAACGCAATGTGCAATATAATATTATGTAATTTAAAACCTCATTAAACAAATACACAAAGGTAACATAAGTTTACCATCTTGATTTGAAAATATTGATGATTTAAGTCAAACAATTGTATCAGTTATATAGTACAACAACAGCAACACATATGTTTTGATCAGTTAAGGACGAGTTTTAACATATTTCATCTTAATCTAATCAGAGAAACGGTACGTAACAATCCAAGTAATGCAAAGAAAAGCATATCTGAAAGAAGTGAGGTTAATTGAAACAGGTATCTGTCAGATTTGATAGAATAGAATAAGGATGGGTTCAGAAAACCGGTCATATATATTTTATCAATTGGGCATCGTTATATCTTCATATGGTAATTATCAAGATGCAATTCTAAACATTTGAGCTAAGAATAAGGGAGCCTTACTATCCCGATTTGACAATAAAGACAGTTGGAAAACTACTTTATTTTTACTATTTTAACCATACAAAGCACATATCAATTTCCAAATATTTCTTAATTCAACATTTTCAGAAAAAAGACAAGGACAAGACAATCTGAAAAGACATCAAAGTAACAATAAATAGCAGAAAACATTTTAAAATGCAATCAATCAGGGTTAAACTCACATCCCACGTAAACTCTGTATACTCATTTAAATTGAAAAGTTTTCTCAAACTAAGGAGGTTTTGCATTAGGCACCTCATACCTTAATTTACAAATACAAATACCTTTAAAATCGACAAAAGAGAGTCAATTATTCTCGTCTCGTCATTACGATAATGCTGATCTAGTTCTTCATAAGCTTGTGTCCACTCATTGTCATATACTTCTCTAAATTGCTCAGCAATATTTGTGGGTCTGTAGTTATCACTCAAGTCAGCGATGTTCGGATTATCTTTCGTCATCTTGTGACCAGCTAGTGTACTTAATCTGAAAATCAGTCACAATTGTGTTTTAAAGAAAACGAGTAATATACATTTGATACAGTATTGTAAATAAATTCTAATTGTTTTAATGAGACGATAAAATTTCAACAACTATTTACAGTGATTATTTATAACATCTATGCGTTTCAGCTTCATTTAAATAACTAATGGCGATGTGTAAACTGAAATGCGTTATTACTTAATTTAATTACTTTTATATCCTGCATTTCGACACAGAGACAACACCATTTGTTCTAATGTGTCGTTAGAAGACAAAAAATGTATATTTTTATAAATCAAATTATATTTTGTTCGTCGGTATTAATATACATCATAGAATATGAAACCAGCACAGTGAAAAATCTTAGTGTAACGTATCATGGTTATTTCTTCTAAGAAAATTTGAGAATATAATTTATGTATGATATACCTATTTCTCACTTCATGAACATCATTTTGAAGTTTCCTATTTTCTTCTGATAACATTTTTATTTGATTCTTCTGTTTCTCAATGGTACGACGAAAGTCTTCGAAGCGTTGTCGTTCGCTATCCTGCTTAATATTAGTTTCATTTAATAAGTACATGTATCTAAATTCAGTCTACATTGTTTCGAAGAAGAGTACTTGGAAAAACACGATTTGATTTAGAAACTTAAAAAAGCTCGTCTTTTGTTTTTTTCATATGATTTGTCTTTTTTATCAAAATCAATAAGTATATTCAGAGAAAATGACAGTTTAAAAATAAAATTACTTTTATTTGAATGCAATGTAGCACTTTTTTTTACGTAAAACTAATTGGAGAAGTCATTTTTATTGTTTCCCCAATGAAAGATATTGATAATATCACGCTGATGAAACAGTGAAAGAGTGACTAGCTTTAATTAAATCATAATAATTCAGTTACATTTTCCCTCTTATCGTAACTGCTCTCTGAGAGTTTTCGCATCGTATCTTTCGTTGCTCTAGATTCACTATCAAGTCCTCGACTTGATCTATGAAGTCTTTCTTTACCGAGATGTTCCGAATACTCCTGCTCTATGGATTTTGCTGACTGATAAATAATATGATAAATAATAGCCGATGATAAACGTAAATTTTATCAAGAATATATTTATTATATAATAATTATTGTATATTAAGATTTTCGAAATAAATATCGAATCCTTATTACTGTCTGTCAGTATTCAAACTGAAATCGAAATTGAAATTATGGATATGCTAAAGTTGTTTTTTCTGGCATATGAAGTCTTATTAACGGGTTGCATGCTTATTGTACAGAAAGATTTGAATAAACTTGTTGCTTAATATACATTACTATAAGATATCCGATTGATTGATTGAATATTCATGTTATTGTGTGCGTATCTGAAACAATTTACTTCTTGATGGTGAATTTGAGATTCTTAGTAATATTTAACTTATATCTTTCTTTTTCAGAATGTATTTAGGATATAAAAAAAACAACAGCAAATTATTTCATACACTGGATTTAAGCCTGCCTCTGTCTTCGTGATCGTGTTGTTGAATAGCTCTTTTCAAATCGCTTTCCAATCTTACGTTTACACGTTCCAATTTGTCCAATTCTTTCTTCAGTCGGTAGTAATCTTCTTTGTATTGTGATACCTTTAAGACATGTTTCACAAGACCCGTATACACGTAATAGAGTACTTTCTATGCTGATACTTCTATGTCCGTAATAAGAGTTACTAGATTTACATAGATACTTTCAATTCATACTTTGAATAGCTCTCATATCATAAGACTTGTAATTAAAAAAGTGTATAAAAAGGAAACTATTTGTATAAATATTCATAACTTATTACTGTTTTTTAATAATTTTTTATTTTTAGCAATATATTAACAGAAGATATATCTAGCCGTTATACTATAGCGTCGAGTAATAAGTCTTCTACAACTAGTACAAAATACTTTACACATACATTTTGTTCATCTCTGCTTTTTTCTTCAAATAATCTTTGCAAACGATCTTCTGTTGCTTTTAGTTTCCTTTCCGATTGCATATATTGTCCAACTGGAAATCCGTAGTCTTTGCTGTAACCATTTCCTCTGAATTCCATTGCCTTTAATAATGATAACAATTCAATTAAAAGAAACCAAATAAGAAGAACCAAATTACAGGTCAACGACTTGAGTGATTTCTATGTATAAAAGTCTAATTAAGTAGCATTTTAAAACAAACATATAGTGCTCTTTCACTTTCCAAAAGTTGTTTTTACAAAATAGTGCCAATGTTATTATGTAAAGGGCGGAGTACAATTTAAACTTTCATTTGTTTTATTTTGTTTACAGGCTGTGTCATCACTATGCATTAGCTACAAAATATAAAACGTCCTAAATACTAAAAAAAACTATTTTTCGATTGAAGCTCTTACATGGTGGTTATCTTTTTCTTTGTTTCTTTCTCCTAATATGAGTTCTAGTTTGTCTCTGGCTTTTTGTAAATCACGTTCAAGAATCACTTTCTCATCCTTTAGTCTTTCTTTTTCTTTCACAAGTAGGTTGTTTTCCTGCTTATAGCGTACTACCTTCATAAAACAGAATACAGGTACATTATTAAGTCATTAACAAAATCATTTAGTTCATACAATCAAACTTTCTCCACATTTAAAAAACATATAATCGCAAACCCAACTAACCCAACAAAACAAATATGATTTCTTTAATGTATTTAATATGATTGCTTTAAAAAGTTTTTTTTTTATTTTACATTAGATTTATATAAAGAAATTATCCATAGTTTGCTCACATTTTATGAGGTTATTATTCATAGTTTAGTATAATACTGAATTCCTATGGACAAATAAACCTTCATTGGACGAGGCGCGTGGGGAAACGAGTCCAATTCTATAAGTGTTGCATTAATAATGTATAATGATATTTTAATTAGAAACCAATGTTTTGACTTTTTGTTGTTGTTGTTGTACTTGGAACCAACAATGATTTATATTTGCCACGCAAAACGTTAGTTTGCTTCATTTTATAAGGTGTGAAATACGGTAAATTTAGAGTGTCTTTCTGTATTACTTTATTACTTTCATTAGACTCTAAACCATTATCCAAACCTGAAAAACAATCAATTATTCAATGTTTTATTTAAATGTGTAGGCAGTACGTATACAGTGTATTTATGGAATAGGATTGATTTTTTTTTTTGCATTTCAAGAACTTTCAAAAAAATTGTAAAATACACTGAATCCTTAATAATTATCAACTTACTTGCTTATAGCTGATTTCCTCTTGTTTTCTTTGTTGATCCCGGTCATGTTTAGCATATGCCACGTCTTGCTTTAGCTGTTTCACATCATGTCTTAACCTTCTGTTTTCTTCCTGTAGCTCATGGGTTTCATTCTTATTAAAACTGTCAAGTCTAGGCAATTGTTCCTTAAGTAAAATAGAATAGAAATACAAAAACGTTTGATTGTCTCATTAACCTTCCTAATATAGTCCACAGATAGATAATAGAGGACTATTAAGATCCTAATATAAATATACTAGTCTTAGAATCGACATAAGAAGAAAATAAAGTTAATTAAATATATATTAAGCCATTCATCCAGAAGTATTCCCTGATATATATTGATATTGTTGTAAATATATTACACAGATAGTGCTAGGCGTCTATTTATTTAGATCTTATGAATACCCTAACAACATATTAAATTTAGATATCACGTATACATCTCTGTATATGCGTTCATCATATCCTCTTTGTTCTTCTCTATCCTTCTTAGCTTTTTCGACCATTTGCGACAATTTCTTTAAGTCGTGTTTAAGCCTTATATTTTCCACACGTAACTGTTCCATCTCTCTCTTTACAACATCGTCTTCTCTTGAAGTTTCACTCTGTTTGTTCGAACATAAGCGTATTACCATGTGAACAGTATTTCATAAAGGCATTATGAAGATGTTTTAATGATATTTGTAGTGTCCATCCAAAAGTATATAGTGAGTGAACAGGTAAATATCAAAATAAGTTTTCATTTTGCCATAATTCCTTTGAATTTAATAATTAACTTCGCATAAACAAAAATAACACATAGGTCCAAACGAAATTTCTGTTAATATCCATTAGAATTTACCTGTGACTTTCAATTTATAAAAAGAGTTGGGCAGTCTTTTTATATTGTTGGCAGATTTGTTATTTTATCCTAAACATTTTCCGCTATGGTCAAACACCATTTTAACACTCAATCTTTTGACATATAAAGTCAGTTCAGCTCAACTTGGCTAAGGAAACTAAGAGCATAATGTCATTTTAATAAAGTTATCTTAATGTGGAATGTGTGCCTTAAATACTCCATCAGACAAAAAATTAAACAGCACTAGAAACGAAACATAAAGTATCTGATGTATATTACCTTAACAGTCATCTCATTTATTCTTCTTGTAAGACGTTGGGTCTTTTCATTTGCATGTTTCAATTCCCCTCTCCAATGCTCATTTTCAGATCGTAAGTTTTTGTTTTCTTCTGCCATACTGCTAACTGAGACCACAGCAGTATGCTTCTCTTCGTCATTTTCCTGTTAGAATAAAAATGTACGAATTGTACGCTATGTTTTAATATATAATGTATCCATAAACATTCTATTGCGTTACCTGTAAATTATAACGATAAATTATATATTAACGTGAATAGTAATATCAGTCTCATGTTCTCATTAATCAATATAATTCCAATACAGAAATTACGCCGCTTACAAATGAAAATCAATTACACTATATGAAATGCGTAATTGGAAGATCCCTCAATAGCAATGAAAGCAAAAACTAAACACTAGTGGTAGACTTCCATTGATTACATGTATTTCCATTTTAAAAAACGATAATTTTATAATTCCACCATAAAATACCTTTCTATGCTGGTTTAGTTTATCATTCTCTGTCTTCAAATGTGTATTTTCATGTTTAAGTTTATTGTTTTCATCAGTAAGGTTGTGTAGATCATCTTCGAGTGCTTGGACATGCCTTTCTTTGTCAGTCTGAAAAGAAGAAGAAATAATTCACAGAAAACCTGCAAACATTCAACGGATCGAAGCTGGAGGCTGAGGTCTGTTTAATGTTTGAGGCTTAATGGGAGATCACTGTGGTGTTATCAGGTACTGTTAGGCGATCACTATAGCTTTTATCGAACCGTTGACGTCATCTTGAATATTATATTTATTCAAAGCCTTATCTGACACTTATATAAATAATTCAAGGTAAAACACTTTATCATAATAAATTGGTAAATTTACATAAACAAATATTTAACAGTTACTGTAAAAGGGATATATTATAGAGATCCAATTGTAATGTGACACTAGGCATATATTTAGAACTACTTGTATAGTCTATTTTAATAAATAACAACTTCCAATTTACTCACTGTTATCTTTTGTTGAAGCTTAATGTCTTGGTTCAAGTTTGTGATTTTTGATTCAAGTCGTCGATTCTCTTCTGACAGCTTACTCATTTCCTCCTTTAATGTCATCAAATTATTGTCCAGGTCATGTACAGACTCATGCACACCTTTTTCTTTTTCCTGCAATATGCCCGGCCAATTTTTTGCATCATTTCCTTTATGATATAAATCTTTCTCTTTATCGTTCATACTATTCTTTTCATCATTCAAATCCTCCTCTGCTCTATTAAGTACCATCTCCTCTTTGTCTTGTATGTCATTCGTATTATCTTGAAAACCTTTTTCTAAACCATCCAAACCATTCGTTTTACTATGTACCGCCTGTACAATATTTTGCGATTCTTTCTCTTTGTAAATGAGATCACTCTCTTTATGAGTATTGTCATCCACGTGCAAAGTCTTGTCATTATCAGACACATTTTTCTCTGTTGCAAGCATAGCATTCTCAACAATATTCTCGTTATCATGAGAATCATTCACTTTAGTCTGTACATCCTCCACACTATTATCCGACCCATTAACTGTATCCTGCATATTTTTCTCTCTAAAATTCTCAGGTCTTAAGCACTCTATCTAAAAGAAAATATAAAAGTTGTGCTTTCTAAAAACATATTAAAGGAAATTGTCTAAGTTTCACTTATCCAATTAAGTAATGACATGTTTTACTTTAGAATCAAGGGGATACAAACGAAGATCCGCTGACCAACAGCAAAGTAGTAGACAAATTCTTAAAAGATACATAATTCAAATATAAAAGACTTCCGGTATTTGTAATTTGTAACTTTTATTGTCATGTCAAGTTTCGTATTACTGAAAAGCTTAGAAAAGAAAGAGATAGATAAATAAGATACATGTTTATATGATTATCAAAAGAAGAATATTTGCTTTTTATAGTACAAAACTAAAAATAAAACATATGTAGCCGTGATTCTTACCTGTTGTTTCAAATCATCAATATGTTTTGACAAGAGTTCAATCTCGGAATTTGCTGATTTCAGCTCTTCTCTTAGACGTTCATTTTCAGCAGTATGTCTAGCACTGGCTTCCATCATCTTATAGATCTCAGTGCTACTTAGTTGCTCCTGGACCTGCTCTTCTTTGGAAACTTTGGCATTCTGAAGATGATAAAAATGATATTTTGCATTCTATCACTGCATACTGTTATGATCAAATTTAAATAATGGAAGGTAAAAAAGACGTTTTAAACGCTGAGAACTTAAAAATCAGATATTCTAATATAATAAATTTTGTCATTTATGTATAATTTTGTACCTTTACTTTCTTTATTTGGATTATTTCATCCTTGTACAGTTGCAATTCTGTCCTCAATTTAGCGTATTGTTGTCGTGCTTGGCTGATGATTGTTGCTGCCGGTCGCCTTCCAATTCTAAGCTTTTCTATAACGTCAAAAACGTGGTCGTCTTCAGTAATTAACGATGCCATCTCGCTGTTCAAATGTGATGTCATCAAAATCTGAATGTACATGCAAATTGGTATATTGTGGGTTGAAAGTTTTAAAGACGGAATAAATAGTCTGAAATGACTTGTATCAATTGTATCAAGTGTAATTAATTCTTTACTATTGGTTATATGTTATTCCTTTTTATATTTCCAAAGAAATGGCATTTCAAACTACTATTTGCTGTTTATGATTTTAATTTCACATATTATTTATCAAGTATAATCATGTGAAATAAAACACTGGAATGGAACTTTCTAACATGGCAAAATCTTAAAATTGATTAAGACTGTTAATAGACGGACAACGCTACTCCATTTATATTTTCCCGCTCAAATACCTTTTTCCATTAAGAAAATGTTGCAAATTAGAATTTAGAATATCTGCGAATATGTCATTACGGTATTGACCATCGAACTTTTAGTGTGAAACTGTCGTGACATTCCTTGAAAAGCGGTGCACGGTTTCAAATTACAAGAAAGAATGAAACAGAAACTTGTAGAAACGCAGACCTATCTTAAATGTAGAATGTCATTTAAATACTATAGATATGATAAATAATCATAATATACCTTAAGACGGTTCTAAAATCATATTTGTATCCAAATTGTCTCATATTATCACATTATAAAATATTGAGGGGAAAGTGTTAAATGTATTAGCTGTTTATAAACTTGAAACAATTGTTACATTCACAAGCTCGTTACGCTACATTCGCTGAATTGTTTTATACCTGCTAAAAGAGTGCGGTAAAATTAACGGTCTCAATTACACATTGTTTTCAAAGTTTGAAGTATTGAATTTATTAGTAATTTTGAAACTGTAGATCTAAAGTCTTTTTTTTTCTAGAAAAAAATCAAATATGTATGTTCAATAAAGTATTTATGAAATCTTCTTGACATCTTTAACATATCGTGCACCACATTTAATGTGTAATTAATAAGACTCAAAATGTGTTTTCGTTGAGTTTCAAATGTTAAACTATTCGAACGCTCGCGATTTTTATAGTATACTCACCTAGAAGTAGGTTTAATTTACATTAATTAATTTGAGTACAAGTTGTACGTATTGAACAACTCCATGATAGCGAATGTGTTATCATTTGAAAAATAACTTGAAAAGAGTGTGTATTAGAATCAAGAAAACTGACTCATATCACACCAGCAAGATAATCTAAATGTATCAACACCATATACAGAAATACTTAAACATACTGTTTTATTCGTTTCCCTGTATAAATTCAGATAACCCGTTATGCACAAAAGTAATAGATCGTGTCCCTCAGTCAATAACGTTTAGGATCAGGACTGCAGTATGGGCCAAAAAAGAAAAGAAGTAGTCGTGATATATAAACCATATATAAAATTATATGGTCCTATTGTTAAAAATGACTCAGTACTCCTAATTAAGGTCACCTTCTTGTGTTCACTCATAGTTGATGCTTTGAAAAAATCCTGCACGAGAAGCTATATATAACGGTCACATATGGCCATGATATTTATTTTGTATTTCAGTAGTTATAAAATAGTAAATAGTAGTTATTCAAATGGAGTAGTCCTTTCAGCTTTTAAAGTTGCATGCCTCCAGTTGAAACAAAAGCATTTCAAGACATTTAAATGTTAGATCTACAAAAATGTTCTAAGATTTTAAGAAAAGTAAAAATATTTGAGATTCAAGAAATAATTTACATATATAAATGCAATGAATGACTGATTTTGCAGTATTTATCACTATGACTAATGCAGTAAGGGCTGTTTTTGCATAGTTTGACCATTTGGTAAGTTGCATGTACTTGGATTGAACGTTGCATTGCAATGAGTAAATTACTTTCTTTGTTCACATGATAAAAGTTTATTTTCTAGTTCATTTCAAAGTTTTCATGAAAATGTTGCTTAAAAAATGTCTGTTGAGTTACAGTACTGTAGGCGAGCTGCTTTAACCTGGTAGATTTAAAGCTATGACTACTATCCTTTTTAACAAGTTCAAAACTTTTCATTCAGTTCGTGTGACGAATGATTAATTGTACAAGTGCTCCTGATTTCTCTATTACGTTCCCATAAATCTGAAGAAAAAAATCTGTCTTTTTCGTGGATAAATATGCGAATTCGACTCTTTTTCGTTCTTTAGGTTTTGTGATTTGCGCATGCTCAAAATAAACTTCCGGTGTAATAGCTAGACCTCAAAACTAACTTTATAAACAAATTCTCGCATTTTATGTTCAAAAATGGCAAATATAGCAGTGGCCAGGATAAAGAGAGAGTTTAAAGAAGTTATGAAGAGTGATGAGGTTAATCAAAACAGTGTTTTATATTTAATATTGCCCACTTTCGTTTCAGTTTTATCCTAAACACGGTCACGCAAATTTCAGTTATGTTGTTCAGTCTTCAGGACTTGTTTTGTAAAGATTTTTCAACATTTTATCTTGTGAAAAGTTAAGATAATTTAATAAACAAATACAGACCTCCTCTTTAAAACGTTTTAACAATTATATAAATTTCAAATGAATAATAATTTGCAAATGCACTGGTAAGTCAGACTAATAGTAATAGTCAAATCTCTAGCATAATCGTTAGGAAGCGTCTAGACAAAAGTTCTAGCCATATGTGAGTCATGTACGGCTAGCCTAGACACACTTTTTTTTCTCACCGTACGGCACTTTACAGAATTACATGGAAGTCGAAAATTATACATATCTTATTTTTGTGCCTTTAAATGTGTTAATAAAAACCTGCTTTTTTCCTCATATGTTAAATTTAATAAAGATGCTCTGCCAATTTGTCAAAAAAAAAAAAGAAAACGAAGGAAATGCAAGTGTTGTCATCTTGATTAAAGTGTCAAAGTTACATGAGGCATTATACAAAATACATTGTATATGTGTATGCAAAGTTTTATTTATGACTTAATAATAATAGTTTAAGCTAGAATGGTGATTGTAATTATTGAAAATTGCTGTACGGCTAGACAATACAGTGTGTCCTGACTAGCCGTAAGTGACTCACTTAAGGCTTGAACAATTGGCTTGCCATACGGGCCGCCTAGCCACCTCCTAATCATTAATGTTGTGTGTGGTCTGTTTATTTACCCTCACCAGGACATATGGGTGACAGGGTGAGCAATAGCTTTAGATCTTCAGCATACCAAACTTTCTGCACTGTCACAGAACGGGTATGCTGACGACAAAGCCATCAGGAGGCGACATTTAATCATGCACATAGTACTAAGTAGTAGGGGTGTAATCAATTCAATCGATATTGGTGTATCAACGATCTTTGTTATCCGATTCGATATTGATTCCATTTTTATTATGCCCCCATCATATAATGGCTGAGGCATAGAGTGTTACCCTGTTCCTTCATTCTGTCATCATAAGTTTCCGTTCATTATCTTAGTAATGGTTGCACACATTCAACTCAAATTTGACATATGGGTATGTCATTAGAAAATACAGGTCAAGTTTGAATTTGGTCATGGTTCAATGATTTTTGGCAGAGTTATGCCCCTTTTACTTTGAAAATAATATGAAATTTTCAGTTTCCGTTCATTTTCTCCCCAACGGTATAATAAACGGAATTACACATTCAACTCAAACTTGATATATGGATATGCCATAAGAAAATACAGGTCAAGATCGAATTTGGTCATGATTCAATGATTTTTGGCAGAGTTATGCCCCTTTTACTTTAAAAATAATATGAAATTTTCAGTTTCCGTTCATTTTCTCCCCAACGGTATAATAAACGGAATTACACATTCAACTCAAACTTGATATATGGATATGCCATAAGAAAATACAGGTCAAGATCAAATTTGGTCATGGTTCAATGATTTTTGGCAGAGTTATGCCCCTTTCACTTTGAAAATAATATGAAATTTTCAGTTTCCTCCCCAACGGTATAACACATTCAACTCAAACTTGACAACTTGACATATGGATACGTCAAAGGGATGCACAGGTCAAATTCGAAATTTGTTCATAATTCAATGATTTTTGACAAGAGTTATGCCGAAACATCTGTCCCGAGGTGACCTGCCCACCTCTATCTATCTTTATTTTCAACGCAGATTTATATCACTCCAGCGGTAACTATTTTCTAACAACAGCGTATGAAATTGCAACTTCATTCATAACCAGAAAATGATGTCATCCTAAGCGTGCCATTGTACAGCACGTGACTCATCTGGCACCCCCCACTCCCCAGATGAAATTTCCGGCATGGGTAAAACACACCAGTTTGCTATGCAAGAAAAAACAAGTTTTAACTCCTTTTGCTTCCTTAACGCTATTTTCATGAGCATGCAAAGACCAGTATTTTCATGTATATTTGATGAAACCTTTCAGTGTAATTTTAAAGCTTTTCATGTCTATAAGAAAAAGACATTGAAAAAAAATTCAGTTTTCTATATATTTTTGATATGCCTAGAATTATGCAAAATTTACGCGAACATGCCATCGGCATGCTTAATGCTGGTATGACAATGAATGCTGTTGCAATGACTATTGGATGTTCTTTTCATGCCTATTAAACACCTTAGGCAATGTTTTCAAGCAACAGGGCAGACAGAAGATCAACAACAAAGTGGACATCTACACATCATCATTCAAGACATGGCCCAAGACCGTTATATGGATGTCAACTATACTTTGGTTTTGTTTTGAAGCGACATTACCGCATAAATTGTGTAAATTTGGCACACACACCAACATGACTTAGACAGCTGTAGAATAGCGTTCTTTTCTATGATGAGTCGAGGTTTTTCATTCATAAAGCTGATGGCAGGGTTGGAGTATACCGTAGGAGAAATGAAAGTTTTGCCGACTGCTGCGTACTTGAACAAGATCGTCTTCGGGGTGGGTGTTCTATCTAGGTCTGGGCAGGCTTTGCACATGGCTTTGGCACTAATCTCTAAGTTATCGAAGGGAATTTGAATGCCCAGCGCTACTGAGATGAAATTCTTGGGAGGCATGCTATTCCAAGGTTTCAAAATAATGCCAATATCACTCTTTTTTAATGCCACAAGCCATACAGCTAGGGACACTGAATTTCCTCTGGGCAAATTTAACATTGCATTTATTGATGACTGGCCTGCCAAAAGCCCTGATCTAAATCCCATTGACCAACTTTACGATAATTTGGACAAGCGTGGACCAGATGTTGCCTTATTCCACAGTCAACATAATTCCGCTAAGACAAGCCTTAACAACATTCCATAGGCCGAAATCAAAACCCTGATCCATTCTATATGCCAATGATGCCAGGCAGTCCTTCAAGTTCATGCTGAAGGCGGTCATACCTGATACTAATTTGTGATTTTGTTGGGTGACCATTTCTGCAATTTAACTACCATTTCACTACTTTTGGATAAAAAAATTCACAAAAATTGCAATAAAATACATATATTAAGTCAGATAAATCTACTTAAATCCTGATTTTCATATTTGTGTATATCTGAAAATGTATTGGCTTCTACAATAACCAGGAAAAATGTTTTGTGGTATTTTACATTTGTTCTTAACAGCCAAATACAATGTTCATGTTATTTGTTATTGTTTTGAAGACATTGTGATTAAAAGACCCTTCTTCCTTCCCCTCACTCGACACAAGAAATACTAAAAATCTGTTCTTCTGGAAATGATGTTTAAATAGAGTTCCATAAATAGTAATACACGTTGTTAAACAGTTATTATATTTATTTTGTTGTTGTTGCTAAATGTATTTAAAGCAAAATGGGACATTCAAATGCTTAATTTCTTTTAATTACAGGTTGCTCAATGTCAAATACAAGTTGAATTAGTAAATGATAACTACACAGAACTTCGAGGAACAATACTGGGTCCACCTGACACACCATATGATGGAGGAAAATTTCATCTAGAAATCAAGATACCTGAAACATACCCATTTAACCCACCAAAGGTATAATATATTATTATAGTGTAGGGCCCTCACTCTGTTTTTGGGTAACTTTTCTTTTATCTGTTGGAGGGGAAATTAAAACATTGTTTTACCTTGAAGGCACATTTTGTTAATTAGAACATGTTTTGTTATGCAAAGAAGCAAATTTCAATATGATATTATGAATGGTCTCCTGCAGATATAGGCAGTCTAAGGCAGGGGGGAATTAATAAAACAATTTTAGGGGAATTTTAAAAAAGTGGGGTGGAAAATATATATACTATTTTAGGGGAGCAATAGTGTAGAATTTCAGCATTAAAATTAGTAAGTAAGGGCCCTGCAGTCACTGATGAATTATTCACTAGAACACTGTTACCTTTATAGCCATTTAACAAACAAAAAGTTTATCATTAGACTTATACCAGTAGTTGTCTTAATAATCATTTTTGCACCAAAGGTAAACTGTAATGCTTATATATCAATTAATTCAATCAAAGATGTACAGTTCCTTATATACCCAATATACCCTTAAAAAGCATACAGATGCATTGATACCCATTTTATGCCTCAAAGATATTATACAGTTGCTTTAATAAATTTTTTTATTCAATCATTAAAGCCCAGTTAAAGTATGCAGTTGCCTTTACATCCTTTCAATCCACCATATATATAGTATGCCATTCACATGTACTGTTTTTCAATTTCAGGTAAAATTTTCCACAAAAATCTGGCATCCAAATATTAGCAGTGTGACAGGAGCTATTTGTCTAGACATTCTCAAAGATCAGTGGTAAAATAATTGTTTAATTACAATGTATTTATGAAAATGCAATTCATGCAAGATTAAAATGTGAATATAATGTCCAGACAATACAGTTAAAGTAGTCTATTTTTACCCAAAAATTATCGTAATTTTGCAAGCGAGGAAAGTGATCTATTTTCTTTTTTCCAAAAAACTTTAATCTATTCTCAAAATATCTGTATTTTCCAAACTTTCAATTTTAACCATTACTCTGCTGGCAAATCATTGTATCTGTACTGACCAAAGACATCCGACACATCTGGGCTGTCTGATTATGGTCTGCACTAATTGCCAACATTGAAACATAATTTGATTTTTTTTCTTAAAGTGATGATTGGTTCTGTCTGGATTAAAAGACAGACATGTCCACTTAACATATTTAGAGATATAACAACTACAACTTGTACAAGGGTAATTTTACTGTATTTTTAGACCCACATGGGGGTATAAATGATATTTTTAGGGATTCATTGGCAGTTGATGCATAAATGGAAATTGAAACATGCAAGGGAATACATATATTGATTTATTATAAATTGATATTACAGGGCAGCTGCTATGACATTAAGAACTGTGTTATTGATATTACAGGGCAACTACTATAACTTTAAGAACTATGTTATTGATATTACAGGGCAGCTGCTATGACATTAAGAACTGTGTTATTGTCGTTACAAGCCTTGTTAGCAGCAGCAGAACCAGATGCCCCTCAAGAGTATACAAAAAAATACAAGAAAATAAAATTTTTTAACCCAAAAGAAGTTTGGACACATGCATTCAGAAGGTTTGATTTGTTACAAGTAAAAGTAGCTTTTTTCTAGTGGGGATAATGTAAAAAATTTTTAAATGCAAAAGTATGAGTCAGAGCTATTTTTGATTGAATATCCAACATTAGTATATTGTTATCAAAATCTTTGAAATTCACAATGAGTAGATTTTAAGTTAAAGCAGAACAAGTCCATTGTGAAAAAGTAAATGTTGATGAATTTTGCCCTTTCCTTGATATTATAGTATCAGAGTAATAGTTGCAGATCAAGACCTAATTTCACTACTAAATTATTCACTGTTGTTAACATAGAAAATTTACTGTATTGAAATAGACATTTTATGTTTCTGACAGCTCATGTGTTTACTGTTTAGACTATTATTTATCAGGCCTTTTAAAGTTATGATGATTTTGATGGAAAACTATCTCCTTTAATTTAGCAGATTTAAATACACCTGTCACATAATAATATTATTATAGAGAAGGGATACTAGAAACACTTTGTTGCATCAGTCAGTCTGTTGTTCTGTCTGTCTCGATCATGTCCGCTCTATAAATCCTTTACCGCTTAAAGGATTTTCTTCAAATTTGGCTCAAATATTCACTTCAACAAGCGTATTCACTTCAATATGTGTAGAACCAATGCCTCCACTCTGCCGACCCAAGGTCAAAGTCAGCTTTAAATGTCAAATATTTGACAATGTCATTACTCTTTGTAAAGATTTGCTTTAAACTTGGCTCAAATTTACACCCCAAAAAGGCGATGTGCAGATCCCATGCTGAGTCTATACAGAGTCAAGGTTAATGTCACACTTGAATGTAAAATATCAGGCAATTTTGTGTCTGCTATTGAAATGGTATATCCATAGAGGCATTCCTTCAAACTTGGGCCAAATATTCACCTAAACAGGCAATCCATTGCTCCCACTATGCAGACTCAAGGTCAAGGTTTTCCTTGGTGGTAAAAATTCAAACATTTTGTGACTGCACTATAAATTTTATACTTGTACTTTTCAAGCTTATCCAAAATGTTTTCTTAAACAATAATGGTAATTATACCCCCGCACAACAAAGTTGTAAGGGGGTATACTGGAATCAGCTTGTCCGGCCGTCCGTCCGTCCGGCTGTCCGTCGGTTTTTTCTTGTCCGCCCAATAACTTAAGATTCCTTTGACCCTTAGTCTTCATATTTGGCATGGAGGTTAGTCATGATTAGTAGATGACCCCTATTGACTTTGAGGTCACTAGGTCAAAGGTCAAGGTCACAGGGGCCTTGACTTCAAAAAGCTTGTCTGCCCAATAACTTAAGATTCCTTTGACCTACAGTCGTCATATTTGGCATGGAGGTTAGTCATGATTAGTAGATGACCCCTATTGATTTTGAGGTCACCAGGTCAAAGGTCAAGGTCACAGGGGCCTTGACTTCAAAAAGCTTGTCCGCCCAATAACTTAAGATTCCTTTGACCCACAGTCTTCATATTTGGCATGGAGGTTAGTCATGATTAGTAGATGACCCCTATTGATTTTGAGGTCAAAGGTCAAGGTCACAGGGGCCTTGACTTCAAAAAGCTTGTCCGCCCAATAACTTAAGATTCCTTTGACCCACAGTCTTCATATTTGGCATGGAGGTTAGTCATGATCAGTAGATGACCCCTATTGACTTTGAGGTCACACCTCAGATTTGGCAGGGAGGTTGTCCTTGAGCTCTAAATGGCCACTGTTGATTCTGACAAAGTGGTATGCGGGGGTAATCACGCCATGATAGTGGCAGTTCTAGTTTGCACTGCTAAATATCGTGTGTCATGGGGATCAGGTAGGGGTGTTAATTACTGTTGTGTCAGCTCTAGTTTATACTGTGATAAGAAATATTCAGCATTTAACAGATTCATAGATAAAAGTTGTGACATGAGCTATTGTTGAGAAAATAGTTTCATGAAATACTTGAAGAGATATAGACAGTATTTATAGAATTTGAATTGTCTAAAATCATGAAAATAATTCATATGCTTAACAGTCTGATTTTACAGCATTTATTTCCTAAATTCTTTTTTGAATAGGTCCACAAAAAGAGGCAGAGCTAGAAGACAAAATAAATCAAGTTAAAAGTATGGGCTTTGATGAGGTAGGTCAATAGGGGGGGAAAATCTGTTTTCTGTATAATTCTGTACACTGATTGTAAAAGATCCTCAAGTCTATATTTCATATATTTGAAATAGTGTTATTTAGCAGAAATTTTGTATTCCAGGAAGTAATATTTATAAAAATCACCTGGACTGTATCTTATATTTAATAAGCTATGTGACATAAGTAAATCAGCTATTGGGCAAGTGAATGGGAATATCGAAATCTTAACAAAATGACAAAGATTTTTAATCTGCTAACAATGAAATTTTATTATAAATTAATGACTATGGTATATCTTATTTATTGCTTAGAGGACTGCAGGGTTTTCATAAAAATTTCTAAAACAGTACGTTTTGAATTTGAGGTGGTCATTTTTGGTTTATTACATACAACACTGAACAGAGTATTTTCTAAAGACAAGCCTGAGAAGTGCCCGGTTGCATGAGGAGGAAGTGATGTTTTCTGCTGTCTCTACTGATAAGTCACAAATTGACCATATCAGTGTTAGTTGTACTGGTGCAACTTAAGTCCTAATGGAGAAAAAATATTATAGCATTATAAATATGAACAAAAATTAAATTGAAAATAGCTAAACCAACTTTATTGTAATAAAACTATTGTTTTATATGTCTTTTCAGCATAAAGCACGAGTAGCTCTTTCATCGGCCAACTGGAATGTTGAAGCCGCAACAGAAACTCTAGTAAATTCCTAACCCTGTGATAAACATAGTCTTCAAATTGTATAATTGTGGAATGATTCCTGGCCTTGAGCTACATAATCTCTTGCTGTCCCTACAGTAGGCTGTCGATGATCTACATGAGTGATTGAAATTTTTTATAAATGCATACATATATATATATGAAATATATACATGAACAAATCTGAGCCAGTTCACGATAACATTTTGTCATGGATAAAACATTCATTATGTTTCCGGTCATGGATTTGTAAAGACCGTTGTTTGTTTTATGGGTAATTATGTGTAATTATTTGATGTTACAGATTTATTCTGTTAGGATATGAACTTATAATTCAGTCGCAGTTTTACCCATTTTTAAAGTGATAAATAAGTGTTTGATAAGAATTTACTTAGCAAAATTTACTAGGAACCTCTAGGATTTGTTTCCAATTGGAAAGATAGCTTGACTGCCTAAATTACACCAACATATTGTGTGTTTTTACAGTAAAACATACAGGAATTTGATCATGTAGAGTTAAAATTCTTACTTTTTGCTGGAATTTGTTTATGTTTTTGTGCTTATTACCTACAGTTGTGTGTGTAATTCAATATTTTACATTAAAAAATAAAGTTTTCAGTACAGACTAACAATTATAAGTGAATCTGTCAGATGTTTGAGATGGCAGGATTTGTTATACAGGCTGAAGTAATATTACATATCTTCATTCTGCAAGCTAGAGCCTACTTAATTTTATCTTTCATAATTGAACAAGATCATCATTTCATGATAGGATCTTGACCCCTTATTTGGGGCGTTTGTTTCATCACTCATGATTTTACTGATTCCAACGATAATTACTTCTTTGCATACTAAATGTACACGTACGAGGTACTCTCATCCCAATTTACTGCCAGCATGTGCTGCACTGGTCTAGAGTAAAATGTTTGAGTTTCATACATACTTTGACTCATATTTAACTGAATGATTGCTTTAAAACATTGCACAAATATTAATTATGGATAGTTGGTGAACTTTTCATTATGATTCTAACTTTTATTGTCTAGCAATATTGACCTGAGACTGATCAGTCTTTAGGAAGTGTTCCATTAATTTCTTTGAATTATTATGATTCTAACATTTATTTTTAAATGCTAATGTGGTTTTCAAATCTTCATACTTAAAAAAGAGCTTGAATAATGTTTGGAACCTAGTGGTAATTAAAAAGTGTCTTTAGTCAGAGTACAATTTCACATCAGATTTTTTTTTAATGATTTTTATGGAAATTTACTTTAAAAAGAGTGGTCCAATTTCATTGAATGAACTGAACTTTGGAAAAATAGTTAGAGATATAGCATTTTACAGCTTTGAACAGTTGCATATTTCCATTGATACTAGCAAGTTATGCAGTATGTATAAGTTTCAAGTTAATACATATACTGACAGTAATACATATTGTTTCCCTTTGTGTCTTAAGGCTTCAGAATTGCAGCCACTGTTTATCCCTGGATGATTTATAAGAGGCAACTAAATGGGTTTGAATTACTTAAGTCTATGCGTCTCTAAGCTCCAGCAGGTGAGATAGTTTTGACCCTTGATGTTGCTTTGAGTTTGTAACACCTGAGGATAGCCAAAATCATTTTTACTGTTTTGGGTCCATAAGTCTTAAATTGTTTTGGTGCACCATAAAACCAGACCGAACAAATAAACATATTGTCATACCATACATTAAAGGCAACATATTTTATTTCCTTAACAGATAAAAAAGTCACTGGATAATTGAATGTCTCAGTTCAATATTGCCAAACAAAATAACATTCTTTTCTTATCTTAAATAAGGTCTTTAGTATGTGTGTTAGTATTATGAAGAAATGAATGTCTAATCTCTTATAAACTTTTACATGCCACTTTTGTTCAACATATTGCCATAAAGTATGTTTCTGTAATCATGTTAGAATGGAAATAGGTCATGTCAGTTTGTAAATGTATTTTAATTTTTGTTAATTTTTTTTTTTTTTACAGATTTGTTTGAAATTTCATGGTATTATTTTGTTGAAATGCTTTGTAGTTGAACTGTATGCAGTAAAAAAATACATATTATTTCCAAATCCAGAAGAGTCTAAAATTTTTGCTTTCATTCCTTTGTTAATTTTTTCCAAACTTGAAATACGTGATGCTATATTGTTATTGAAAGAAGAGGTTTTGGGTAATATGTTTTTTTTCTTCAGGATCAAACATTTCTAAAAGTAATACATACAAGTACTTGTTTTACAAGTTCATGTACAGTACTGTAGGCCTGCATGTATGTGAATTTCTTAATCAGATATTGTTTAGTTATATAGGGCAACAGTAATCCAAAGCATTTGAGTGCTTTCTATTGTTGTTCATATTTATATAAATTATTGAAATACTTGAAAATGTAATTGAAAACACGGTAAGTGCTATAGAGTGTGGTTAGAATAAGTGTTTTTTCACTCAATTTGAAAGTGTCAATTGTTTATGTCTTCTTTTTTTGTAAGATTTTTAGTTCAGATATTTCATTTTCATAATTTTCACTTTGATATTATGGGTAAATCTCACTTAAAGCTTCATGCCTTCAGATGATCAAAATATCTCAATAAGATCAAACTTGAGAAAAATGTACTAAGATATAAGGAAAAGTAAAAAGTTTCAAGATTAAAGTAATATTTTACATATTATGTGCGATTAAAATGACCGATTTTTCAGTATTTACAACTATATTTCTACTGTGTTACTAATGCAGTAAAGGTTATTTATGATTGGACCGCTTTTTTGTAATTTACGTGGGGTTTGTAAGTGCCATTGATAATGTGTAAATTGGTTCCTTTTGGTTACTTCACAATATTACACAATCAAATAAATTTTCAAGATTTTCACGAAATTTAGCATGAATCTGGAGGCATACTGCTTTAATAAACAAAAGTTGAATAAGTTGATTATACAGGACTATATATAAATTGTCTGACTGTAGTTAATTCATTGATCCATATATACATGTTCTTTAGTTTAGAAATGTTTTTATTTTGTTTCTAATCACTCAAGAACACTATAAAAAAGAGAATATTTAACAAAGTCAAGTATCACTAGCCTGGTATGAATTGAATGTGTAGACATATGACAGTGTAATGTGCACTCAGTCATTTTATCCTATTTGTATGTCATGATAGTTAACCCTACAGCAGGGACGTACAATTTCGTCACATTAAGTCCCAGCCTACAGTTAAGTCCCATCAGATCAGTGACAAAACTTTCGAAAATTGAAACATCATTTTAAGCATACATTTTACCGAAAACATTGTCATTTTAAATAAGTTATTGAGATACTTTAGTTATGTTTTATGTTATTTAACGTTCTGCAAAATAATTTTAAGTATTACATCTGTGTATTTATTAGCACTTAAACATTGCCATATTTTCTAGTATACTGATTATTGCCTAACTTACTATTCTTATACAATGCATTCACTAATATATATGAAGAAAAGTCAAAATTCTGTTTGTGCAGTTGAAGATTAGAAGGTCCCGAAAACTTTAGCTTTTAATCTGCCGAATCTTTGTTAGGGATTTTCCCAGTCATTTTTCATGTTAAAGGACTTAAATTTAACTACCAACAGTATAAATCCTTGTCAGCCTGTATGGTTTTATGTATATTGAGCTGCCTCTATAGCCGTGGCAAAGGCTCTTAAATTTGTGGCAAAGGTTCTATACACGTGGCAAAGGCTATAAACTCATGGCAGAAGTTTTATACTTGTGGCAAAGGCTATACATGTGGCAAAGGCTCTATACTAGTGGCAAATGCTCTTATACTCATGGCAAAGGCAATCACTTATGGTTTCTGCAGGTATAGATAAGAGTGAAACATAAATGATTCACAAAGCATGGTTAATTTTGTATGCAATTTTTGGTAAGTAATTCACATAAATTCTTAGCATAAAGTAATTTAGATACTAAAATGTACATGACTTCTATACTGGTGGCAAAGGCTCTATAATCTTGGCAAAGGCTATCATTTTTGGTCCTTGCAGGCCCGTAGAAAAGAATGATACATAAATGATTCACAAAACATGGTTTTGTGTGCAATTTTTGGTAAGAATTTCACATGAATTCTTAGTATAAAGTCTAGATATAAAAATGTACATGACTTGTGTGATTGTATTTTGTTATAATAGTATAGAAATCTTAAGATGAAATGATGTCACTGATTTTGTGGATGACACATTATTCCAAAATAAACAATATTACAGCATTCAACTTTATAATATACTTTCTATAAATGAGCATGTCATGACAAACTAGTGCGTTTGTGACCAGCATGGATCCAGACCAGCCTGGCATCCGCGCAGTCTGATCAGGACCCATGCTGTTCGCTATCAGTTTCTCTACTTATTATAGGGTTTTTAAGCGAACAGCATGGATCCTGATCAGACTGCGCGGATGCGCAGGCTGGTCTGGATCCATGCTGGTCGCAAATGCATTACGTTGGTTTTGTCATGACGCGGCTCATATGGTAATTAAATGTTCTCTTATATTCTAATTTCCTGTCTTGTCAGGATATTAGGTTCTTTAGAGTATTCTCTTTATGAATGTGGTAATATGATAGTTATTAACTTGATACATACACGCCTTTCCAGCAATACCTGTGGTAGCACTTGGATTTGATTTTCATGTAATGGAAATATTTGTTTGACCTATTATATAATTCACATTTGTAAGTGTAATCATTTACAGTTGAATAAATTTGATGATATTCTTTTATTTGTATTTATATTTACGTCCTATCGCAAACATAATTAACAGAGATCAGGTTATATCTAAAGTGATTTGTCCCCCATATGAAAAAGAACTCGAATATTTGCAGTGAAAAATATACTAATATAAGTCAGCTGTATTGCCGGTATATGATACAACTGACACGGTATTAGAAAATTATATTTATGCCACACAGAAGCAAAGTTTTAAATTCACTATGATCATTTTTGTTTGTTTTCCATCGGAACATGCTGCAAAGGGAGCTTGTATGGATTAAAATTCTTTAAAATTCCCTACGCCTCAACACATATACTGGTATATTGCGTTTTAACACCACAAATATGTGCTCAGTTCCGATCGGATCGTATTTCTTAAGAACGATGCAGGTAGCCATTTAAATGTTCTACTATTGTGCCAGCTAATGCTTGGAAGATACTTCAGCGACACCTTGCATTGTCCTTTTTCAATCACGCTTGATGGCTGCTTTATTTAGAGTGAACTGTATCTTACACAAAATGTTTTAAAGCAGCATGCCTCCAGATTCATGCTAATTTTCATGAAAATTTTGAAAATGTATTTAAAAGTAAAATATTGTGAAGTGAACAAAGAAAGTAATTTGGCACGTACAATCTACGTAAATAACCAAAAAGAGATCAAAATATACATAAAAACCCCTTACTGCGTTAGTAACGCAGTAGAATTATAGTGATTGATACTGCAAAATCAGTCATTAATCGCACATAACATGTAAATAATTAATTAAATATTAAATCTTTTTACTTTTCCTAAGATTTTGATACATTTTTCTAAAGAATGAATTTCTTGAAATACTTTGGCTCATCTGGATGCGTGCAGCTTTAAGTACAGGAACGGCATTTAAATAATCAAAAAATTTCGACGGAATTATTGAAGCTCGTAAAAACTTGTTACTTATACTATGAATTTTATAAATTACATCGGAATGCTATAGATTTAATTAAGGAAATCTTCAATGATTTGTTTTACTACCCTTTTCTAGGGCTCCACTAAACTCTGCTAAGGGGGCACAGAGGTATTAAGTGCACTAAGGACATTAATTTATAACGCTAGTTTAGTATAAAATAATACCTCCTTAGCAGTCCTTATGCCCTCTCGGTAACCTTTTATTGATAAAAACATAATTTATATCACTTAAATTACATTTTTTAGCTTTCAATATACCAATCTAACAATATCAAGGTCCAAAGAGACGTTTAAGAGTCCTTTGTGCCTCCTTAGCAGTCCTTACCAGTGTTAAGTAGGACTTCTTTTGTAAAGGAAATAAATTTCAATTTGACAGAGACATTTCATACGGACTGCTTTAAAATAATATATTATTACTTGTGTTAAATACATTTCTCAAATTATGAACAATATGACATATTTTAGGTAAGGAAATAAAAGTCATGCGTTTATTATTTTACAATGGATCAATGCCATCTTTTTTTAACGTGATTCAATCACCAGGTCCATTAATAAAATATGGTTGGTTGGATGCACGAATATGTGTGTTGGTGTATAAGCCTCTTTTTTAAGAGGTCTATCATCAATAAAGTACATGTAATCAATTTCATTTAGAAGTAATCAATCACATGATGAATATTTGTATGTTTTAAGTAATTGGTGATCATACCAGAAATTAAATTGAATATTATATATTCTCATAATCTTTTATATGCGACTAAGCATCAGTGCACGTGTTAACCTATCAAAGCAAAAACAGCTAGTTATTTCACCACAAAAAAGCAATTTATTAAAATATAAAAAAATACGAATAAACATGTAATAAAAAATAATACGTTAAAGTACATAATTACAGTAAAATTGTGTTCGTAAAGAAATTGTTTAATTTATTTATTTTCAATATTTTTTTTGTAGATATCAACTCTCCACGTGTATTTAATTATAAACGGACAACAACTGTTTTGCAGGAGTTCTGATCTACGACATGTATTTATACACCTTGACAATCCCTTCTGTGTCCCCAACCCACAGGAAGCCTTCACTGTCAACAGCTACGGACCATGGTTCTCCTAAACCATCCTTCTCTGTCAGTAGAAGTTTTATAAAATTTCCCCTTTATCAACAGGGGGTACGCACGATTATGGGGAATCTGCTTTTAAATATCGACTTTTTTTGTCTGTAGCAAAGCTTTGGGGTACAAAGGGCGGATGCAGTTCGACTTTTTTTTGGCCATAGTACCCCCTTTTCTTTTTCCCCACCCCTTGATTTTCAAAAGCGACCACGTGTTTCTTTCCTTTGCCCTTTTCTGATATGAAAATTCTCTTTGCTTAACCCCATATATGGTTTAGAAAGAGAGGGGTTTTTCTGCCCTTTTGTAAAAATTTTTTCCCCCCTTTCCCAAAGTATGTTTCTTAAACAGCTCCTTTTGATCCGGCCCCCCTTTACGGATTCCCCGGTTTTTTCCATAGCGCAACAAGCACTCGCCTTTTCTCATTTTTGCGTGACCCCGGGAAAGGGAAATTTGGGAAAAGTTTAGCAAAGTTAAACTCCCCATTTGCCCCCATTCTCCTTTATTTTTCTTTGAAAAGGGAAATGACTTTCATGACTGTGTATCAGATCCCAACAAAAATATCCCCAAACCCCCTGAACCTGTTCTTTTGTACTGTGATCGGCATTGTCCGCTTTTTGTATACAGGAAAATGTGTTCAGATAGACTATTGCATATCCAGGCATTACCTTCCTTAGCGGGTGCAATTGATATAATAGCTTTCCCTCCGAGAACAGCGAAAGAGCTCAACTCACGGACAATCAGTGCCATAGCTGGACCTATTTGTCGAGGAATTGATATCGCTACATTAGCCGCCACATCGGACGTCCAGTTTCCAAAGCAACTCCAAAGATCCGTCGATGGTATCGGTCCTGGCCGGAATTTAAATTCAATAAACTCAACGGATTCTCCAGGAATTTCTTTTGGCAAATTTTCTACCCGATTTTTGATGTTGACGGAGTTTTCAATGATGTCATGATCGCTGCCAACGGTCATAAATGATTCAGCTGCCAGTATTATAGATTCCATAGAAGCGTAGACTACTTCACTAGCCTTTATATTACGCTGCAGTGTATTTTCCATCTCTTTGTTCTTCTGTTTGATTTCTGATATCATTTCCGCAGCCATTCTATCAATTTCCTCATGAAACTTCTTAGCTTGAGCTTTTATGTCTTTGGTAGTTTCTTGAGTATTGCCTCCCAAACTTTTCACCATTGTGTTCAAAGTTTTGGTATGTGCTGCGATGCGTGGTAAATACTCCTTCGTATGTCTAACAGCTTTCCCGATTTCACGCTTCCGTGATTCGGCGACTTCGTTAATTTCCATAGTTTGGTGAACGGTATGGGAGAGTGTTTTACAGTCGCGGCAAATGATCTTTGCACATGGAATGCAATAAAAACGCAGTTCTTCTTGTTCGTGTTGATCACAATATTGCTTCTGTTGAATCTTCGGTTTTGACTTCGCATTGTCACCTGTGGGGATAATATGAAAATAATCAAGATAATAGTTTTGGTTTATTATGGGTTTTATAAACAAAATTAAATATTGCAGCATCTGATACAATTTTTTTTTAAATTGGTATTTGACTCCATATTTACCGGATTTTAAGTTGACGGCTGAAATATTCTTTTTTTAAAAAAAATTTTGCGTATTTGGGATTAAAAATTTATCCCAATTTTTTTCGGTACTCTGTCAAAGTGTTTTAAAAGTGTACCTTTTGGGGGCATTTCCCGTAAACCCTTGGGGCCTTCATCTTACTTTTGATAAAAAAGGGAAAAAATTGTCACTGTTTTCTTCACAGCCCAAAAACATTTTTCCCGAGACCCGGAAAACCCTGATCAAAAATATATCAAGGGTTTGGCGCTTTACCCCGGCTCTCTGGGGCCATAAAAAATACTTGTTAAAAAGGCAGCGACTTTTTTTAAAGAAGAAACAGTCATCAGTTTAAACAAAGTTCACTCATGATAAGTTATTAAGTAATATTATAAGTTGCAACATTCGTCAGAGAAACTGAAATATTTTTAGAAAACTTTTACTCGATATATAAAGTCACGACTATATGTTCAACAAATTGGACTGGGCGGTATGATTTGGTATATTTATAAACCACCGTGCATATCCTTTTACGAACTATGCAGGAATTATGCATAACTTATGCCAAATTGGACAAGCAAGAAAACAGGCCGGTATATCTTAATTAAAAGTCAAACACTAGACTTTAAAAGCTAACAGTTGGCGCCAGGTACGCTTCGTTTTTATGCATGTTTCACTTAAGGAACACTTCTAAAAAACATTAAACAAAACTGAAAAAAAAATGAATTAGCGCTTACAGCTGTTAAGTCTTAAGCCTTTATATTTTAACCATAATTACAAACATTTTCAGGAAAGTCTTTGCTTTTCAAGGTCATGTGTGAAAATGTTGACCTAGCTACGTATTGAAAGCGACTAAAGTTTGTCTTTCGTCGATATTGATTGATATAATAACGCATATGATAATACACTGATATAAATCGTACCCTAACTCCTCCATTTTTCGGTAGGTCAATACTTCTAGTACATAAAGGGCACGGAAACTTTGTCTTGTACTTCCCCTTTTCCACATACCTCCGTAAACAGTTACTACAGAATGAATGAAGGCACGATAGAAGTTTCGGGTCATGAAATTTATCTGAACATATTCCGCATTTCAGCTCCTTTTTCGCTTCATTATTTCTTGCTGTCTGCTTTCCGGTTTGGGAATTTGGCTTGCTCGTCTGACTGTTGTTGTTGTTGTTTTCTCGCTGTGGTTTTGACATGGTTTTCCGCTGTGTAACTATTCTTTTATCTGAAGGAGAAACTATCCGGACTTTCACATTATTTACAACAGTTTCAAGTTGCTTTCTTGGTGAAGTTGTTCGTCTGCAAAATAGAAGACAATAAATAAGCGAGTCACATATTCTTATAAAATAGCGCTATTCTGCTTTTATATTTTAACATTTTAATGTATTTTGGTAAAATGTGAAGAAATGTTTAAAGAATTAAATGTAAGAAAAGTATATTGCCAGTATAAGAATTGTATGAAAATTCATAGTAAAAGAAAAAAAAACATGTCAAGATACAAAATAATATTTTAAATATGATTGAATTTACAAGTTTTGGAAGAATAATTCTACCCTGGATAGGGCTAGCCTATATTTTGGGGGTATAGTTTAACATGTTATAAGTAATTTCTGTCCGTACACTATCTTGACATGTCAAATTCACCAAAACAGAACAAATTTTCAAATTCTATTAAAAAAAAAACAAAAAAAAAACTATAACTTAGGTCAGAAGGAAAACCTCATTAAATTCGAATAAGATTTATATTGTTTTATTTTTGCATGCTTTTAATCTATTAAATATTCTCTTATCGAATGTCTTTACGGTAATCAAGCACTTGCGAATGGAAACGAAAGAAAATGTGTCGAAGGAAAATGCTCATCATCTTAAAATCTTAACGAAAAACAAAATAATGTCAATAACTAGTAGTTTAAGCTTAAAAATGAATTAAAAAGCCGTACCCTACAAACACTATAGGTTCCTTAGGTCTTTCCTGTAACTTTAATGCTCGTTGCGGCATTCCTTTCCGACGCCCCATTCGTGTATTGATATTTGGTGAAATCGAAACCTTTTGTGTAAACCCATTCAAGTAATGATAAAAAACAAAAGCTTATCTGTTTGTTAAAACAATGAAACCAATATCCATATTGTTCGATAGTGTGTAACCATAGGTTTTAATAGACACCTATATAGTCTAGTAGAGTGTTCAACTGAAAATAATCGGAAAATGTCGTTGAATACACTTTAACATAAAGTCGACGGAAAGGTCGAAACGTTTGTGGTTGTCCATTTGGAACAACTATGCGAAAACTAAAATTGCAAATTTTTAGTTATTTTGTCAATTGAAATTATCTACAGACTAGCAAGGTTTCGTCCATATTTGTTCAATGTACGACATAAAAGTGCATATTAGCAAATCGAGACAGCGGCCCAGGGGAGACAACTTTAACATTACGTTTTCTTAAGTCCGTATAGATTACTATCCCATTGAAAATATTGCAGGATGATAGATCGAAATAACACCATGTGCTATATGGTAAAAAGTTTACGTGAGGCAAAATAACAATGTTCAGCATATTATCCAAACATTATATTAATAGCCGAACATGAGACCCAAGTAGCTTCATTTAAAAAAAAACAGGATCGGTTTCAGTTATTTTCATCCTATTTAAACAATACCTAAGAAAATGCAATTAATAAATAATTAATCTTGTCTGGAAAACAAAATTCCGCATTTAGAGAAGCGTATATCACAGAGGCTACAATTTTCAAATACGTCGTAAATCCATTAGCCGTTTCTTTTAGCTCCTTGTTTGGCATTAGATTGAGGACACGTGAATCTTAATCTATTCAAATATAAATCATGTACAGCTGAAGATCAGTCCAAGGCAAAACATTATAATCGACTGGAAATTATTTATTCATTTACTTATTTTATAATTTAAATTACTTCTGCCATCATATGGAGATATTCGAGCTCATCGAAAATTTCTAGTGTTTTCATGTGAAAAATGGTATCATCTTTACGTGTTTAATGTATTGTCTCTTTCAGTGTGGCCATACCACGTGACATTGACGTCATTTTCGGCATCATTTCCAAGACAAATGTTGCTCGATTCGGAAAAGAAAATAGCCGTAAATATTTTATTTCTCTACCAATTTCTTTGGGATATGCACCAGTCTACGGGGAAAAATGTAAGCTTTCCACAGAATATTGGATATTTGTCCGTTTATAAGACGTTTTGTCAAACACTTTGCATAACCTTGGAAGTTGCTTGTATCAGAGCGGGCTTCAGTTGCAAGTTATTTCGTTTTCTGGCGTTATCTGGTCTACGCCATGAATAAAAAGTCAGGTTTACACCAACCGGGAGTACGGATGGCAAAACTCTACCTTAATATGTTCATATTTTTATTATGAATGACATAAATCATATATTTTTCTTCAATTGTCATTCTGGCACCAAGTTCCAAGTCGAAAAAAAAGGACTACAGTTTAAAGCAGATTTTTAGAATCCGTTGCAAATGCAAAGCAACATGCCTACCGTTCTCTTTCTATAATTATGTTAACCATGAAACACATTTTATTTACTATACAATTTACATAAACACAAATTAATATTTAAATGATTTTTACTCGCTGCGCTATAAGTGATTTTAAAAGTCGTAAAATTGTTGTCTGTACTTGTAAAGAAATTGATTTGCTCTTTAATCATTGTTCTTTCACGGTAATGATTATGAAAAAATCTATTTGTGTCATATCACAATACTAAACGTGGAATAGAAAACATAAACCCTAAATATCGCCCAAAACGGCAAAATTGAAAATGTTAATTGACTTAGCTAGCCTGTCCAATGAACGTGCACATTCAGGATCACTTCGATTTGTATGCTCTGAATAAGGGTTACGCCTCAACGCGGCAATTTTAAAGTAAAAAAACGAGCTATTTATACGTATAACCATATACATGTATATATAAAGAACCTGTAGCAATGTTTTAGTATGATAGATTCAGATTTTTAACACAGTGGCACTCGTTGATAAAAAAATATTTTTACATCCTGTTTTCATACCCACGGTAACCGTTTTTCGTGAACTGGATATAACTTCGTTAACTTAAGAACACTTTTAAATACTATCTATTTTATAATTGCATTTATTTCTGTTGATAAACTGCATATCTGACAAATTTAGTTAATTATATCAGTCAACTCAGCTTTATCAGAGAGCTCACCAATATACATTGTAAAGAGAGGAAGGGAACGGAATATTTATGGTTTGAAAAGATTTAAATTGAGTAGGACCTTTTTAACCATTATGTCTCTTTCAACTGAATAAAAAACGATAGGGCTATTTGGGACTATTTTTATCGATGTGGTCATTGGCTGTAAATGCATGGATTATTACACGCGGCATGACCTGCAGATGTCCTCAACTGGCTTTTTGTAGCATTTTAAAATTTAAAAATGGACCACACATTAAAATCTAAAACAAGATAAGCATGACGCATATACAAATAAGTGAATTATCTGATATGTAAATAAAGCAGAAAGTCATTTGACAGTTGAAGGATAAAAATTGAATATACTCTTCAAATGTAATCGCAATTTTTGTAAGCTTTGTCAGTGTCATATGGACCCTAGTCTTAGAATCTTGCCGATGTTGCTATTACAGATGTTAATGTAAATATTTATATAATTATTGATTATCATTGTTATTTCCGTCTTTTTGAATGTTTTGTTTTCATGAATTTTGACTGTGATCGATGGCTATTGGTTTGTAAAATCATTTATCTGTTTACTATTTTTCTACTTTTGTTTACTCCACATGGGCGTCATTCTTGTTCTTATTCATGGCTATTTTGGGTCTTTTTGATAAATAAAGAATCATAAGTAATGCAACTAAGTAACAATACTATCAGGTTTACACGGCAAAGTTCCAAGTTCAAATTGTGATTTCGTTTATCAAACTCTATAGAAATTTATTATACAACAATTCCAGAAAAAATATATACCTTTTAAAAGTCTCTCTTTTGAGGTCAGAAAAACCTATTTGTCACATTCACGAGTGTCATTGTTTGTCAGTAACTTAACTCTTGACAAAAATAAAGTGAAAAAATACCTTTAGCTTTACAACACTCGCGTTAAAGTGTAACCCTTTCCATAGCATACAAACTTTTTTTATTTTAACTCTTTCTCTTACTGAGAGCACATATATTTCTTATCAATTTCGCCATTTTGAAATAGAATAAAACACATTTTACTACATAGGATAAGATGAGCAATACTAAAAACATCTTCAAAACGAAACCAAAATATTATTTTCCGCCAGGACTAAATCTAAGTGATTTGACGTGCACTTTTGCGATACAAGTACAAGTATAAGTGTTATTGCTGTAAGGAACAATCAGTTTTTTCACAATCTCTCTGTGAAAGATCAACAATGATAAACTAAATTGTAGAAAGAGAACGGTAGGCATGTTGCTTCGCATTTGCAACGGATTCTAAAATCTGCTTTCCCCGTAGACTGGTGCATATCCCAAAGAAATTGGTAGAGAAATAAAATATTTACGGCTATTTTCTTGTCCGAATCGAGCAATATTTGTCTTGGAAATGATGCCGAAAATGACGTCAATGTCACGTGGTATGGCCACACTGTCTTTGGTATATTTGAAGCAGGATCTATTTTTACGAAAGTGTTATTAAAGCTATATCGAACGTTTTTTAATGAAAGCTTTTAAACATGTTCTATAATGTCATGATCAATTTTACAAGTTGCTAAGCACTGGCGTACAAGTACGTTTTCTGGATGATAGAATAGAATGGGGTGTTTCTTTTTATAAGGCTACTGTTTTAAGCCGTTTTATTAAAAATGACTTACAGCCATTTGGGGTTTTATTAGCAGAAGGTAAATGATCGTAGATTCCATCTCAAAATGTCGTCTTGCTTGTTTAATTTCGAACACTATGTCAGGAAGTATATCTGTTTCAGACGAATGAATAACAAGTTTAAAAAGTTTATTACTTCCGTTATCAAGACAGTGACTGAGGGAAGAACTTTTATTCGTGCACGGAAACCGGCGTGTCTTAGACAGATTGTGAGGTGGATGTTTAAATTAAATTGTGAGCCGAAATCCACCATTTTCTGTAACTGCTGATGCGATATCAGAAATATTGTTCTAGAAGTAACATACAATGTACAAGATTAATAAATGCATTTACTGGCAATTCAAATATTGGCGTTCATTTTCTAAGATTGGATATTGTTGTAAGTGTCATGGTCGGTGGAAGTCAATTCGACCGTAGCAAAGACGGCTATGTTGCAGATTCCTTGTGTAGAAGAAAGACGTCTTCTTAAATGACTTGGAAAGTTGTAGTCATTTACCATTCCTGAACATTTTTACACATACAGGTTTGTCAGGCTTAAACATAACGAGTTATCAATTTTAGTTAATTAAGGTCATTGTGAAGATTTTAGGGAAACTTGTATGTTCATACAGAAACTCAGTCCGTAAAGGTGTTCACAAACCATGAACTTCGAAACTCACAAGTTTATTGCTTTTTTGTTTGCATTATAATATATAGCCTTTGGTGCTAATTTAGATACATTTAACTTTCGAATATTAGATACCATACCTTCTTTTTAATTAAGCTGCAAAAAGGACGAAATGAATGAATACCACAGTCGAAGATATTTAACTCACCAGTATCAAGGATGTCAGTTGATCACTTCTAGTATATTAAGACATTTCAAAATTGGCAACAATATAATTACTTGTAGAATCTCGCTTATCATACATGTATTTAAAGACTATCTTATAAACATTCTAAGGGACATGATCAAAACTGGTATTAGGAGTAAAACATGCAAACACTTCGCACAAAGTTTGACGACATTTTACGACAAATGCAAATGAGGTTCCAGACGGACGCCACAGTGCTTTCACTTTTATGACAAATTGCCAGAAGAGACTTGAAAATGGAAACTGCATTCTGTTGTCAAAAAGGACTTTTTCAATTTGACCAAACTTTTACTAATGCTCAAGTTGTATTTAATTAATGACCTAACAGAAACGGCTGGATTGCAATTGCATTAGTGAAGATTTTGTTCAGATCAGTTTTAGTTGTAGAGATGATGCACGGACAATATTGTACCACTACAAACTTGATGTGTGACGATTCAGAAGGTCACAACTACATAACTTATCTACATGAAACAATATTTCAGTGAAGATTGAATACAAACCACACAAGTGGTCCAGACAATGGCCATTGGTATAACATTAAATTTATTCTCTGATACTCAATTATTGCTTCGGCCCATATTTGTTTACGTCCCAGTCTTGCATAAAAGGACATTTTAGTTCAGCAATTTTCCGAATTAAGGATTTTCCACAGGTAAATACATATATAGCATAAAAAGCTCTCCCTATTTTTAGAATAACTTTCACCACCATAAATAACTTTGACCACCATAATCTGTTTCAAGAAAACACAGTGTAAGGATTTTTCTCTTTATTTTTTAAGCCTCATAACTTATTTAGCACAGTCTATACAGAGTCAAGTACTGGAGGTTCAAAACCATCTACTCTCTCGATCTTCTCTCCGGTTTCCGTGACAACGGTCTTGGTACCACCCTCACCATGCATTTCCATCAACTTACCAACTGTAAGATAGAAATATAATTGTTTATTAATCAAGTACCGCTGAATATGCAGTACAATATCATGGTGTATGACAATTCAATGGAAGGTCATGTTTATAATAAATTTTTATTCATGTAACATGATATTGCAAACTACTACATACAAATTTCTATCAAAACATGCTAACTGGAGGTTATCTTCAGTATGCAGCAGGATATAATTAAAAGCCACAGCAACATGTGCTTGAATGGTTATTATAAGGGTGAACCAACCAAGTTTCGACAGTTCTAGTGAAAAGATCAATTCATAGATTATAAGGTTTTTTTTTCTTTTTTTAAATAGTCAGACTTTTTAAGTTTGGAAATTTTAACATGGTTTGCAAAAGATTGATAAAATTAAACAAACTATTTCAAGCAGTCAACTTTTTGTCCATTTATAATAGACATATCTATTAAAATGTTGCCTAAAAAGTCAATCTGGTTTGAGGGAAATCACAAATTCTTGCAAATTCTCCAGCCTCCAAATTGCAATTATAACCAGTATCTTTATATTACAAGTACTTACCATCAAATTTGGGTTTTTTCAGGACCTTAACTTTCCTGACATAGACATCATGGAGGGGATAGATTCCCTGGCAGGCCTTTTCAATATCCTTGCCAATACTGTCTGGGATACTGTATAAATACAATTACAAAAAAGTTTATAAAACATTGTTCAAAACAAATTCATTTAGTAGAATAAAATAAGCAAATTACACAAAAAAGAACAATCTTAAAGCTGCATGCCTCCAATAAGCAAAAAAATTTCAATAAAATCAAACCTGAGAAAAATGTACTAAGATTTTAGGAAAAGTAAAAAGGTTAAAGAATAAAATAATAATTTACAATGTAATATGTGATAAAAGATTGTTTTTTCCCCCCAGTATTTGTATAACCATATTCTAAATTATAAATTGCTTCCTTTTGGTTACTTCACAATATTTTACTTCTAAATACATTTTCAAAATGTTCACGAAAATAAGTATGAATCTGGAGGCATGCTGCTTTAAACTGAAATATGAATTATTGAATGACCGTATATTTATATAGTACACGCCTTAAAATTTTCACTCATCTTTTCAAGGCTCTGGAACAACCTGGGCAATAATTGATTTTGCTGCCCCTCGAGCTTATAGCTACTAATTAGATTATGTACACATGTAAACTTAAAACTGACTGCTTCTGTCAAGAAATGCTTTTAATGTAATAAAAGTGTAAATAACTTACAGTTTGTTAACAACTTCCTTCATGTCATTGGCAGATACCTCTCTTGTGATAATGTCAACCATCTTCTTTCTGATCAATTTGATCTGAAATATGTTCATGTATTACTTTAACAACAGAACTACAAATGTCAGACTAATTTAGGTCTATTTTGTATAACTAAGTGATTTTTCACCTTCTATAACAGAGGCCTATAAAAGCCTTTCCCAGTCGAAATTTTCTTTTAAATCATTCAGTTTTTAAAAAAAATCTTAACTTACAAAAGCTTTTTTTTTTACTTCCTAAATAAGCAATTTTAGCAGTAATTCTTCCCAAAATAAGGAAGCTAAGGCCTCTTTTCAAAGAAAATTGGTTCGCAATGGAAGGTATGAATACAATAAATAATCAGTGGTTTTTCTCACTTAATTGGGAAGATGCCTTATAAGTGATACAATTTTAACACATTCTACTTTAAATAGAAGAAAAGGAAGGGTATTAATTAACATTCAATGAGAAGATCAGTATCTTTAATAAGCAAACTCTCCAACAAATTGGCCATTCTTTCATCAGTTCAAATATTGTAATGCAAATTAGCTACTGACCTGTGCATGCTGGGCATAGCATGTCTTCTTGACCTGGTATGGCTTCTTCTTTGTGAAACCAATAGAGAACATACGTAACAAGTAGCCATCTGTTGTCTTTACATCAACATGGGCCTCAATGAGCGACTGCCATTTCTTCACCATGGAGCAAAGCTTATCTCTGGTCAAGTCCATGCCGTGGAAGTTGGTGAGGACATTACGGCCTTGAACATCTTCAGCAACAAGTTTGAACTTTCTGAAGGTGATTTCATCATTCTGTAGATCAGCTAGAGATACTTCAAATACACGACCCTTAAGTCCATCAGAGGCAATTTCTAAATAAAACAAGATAATTATTACTAATGTTTCTATACAGAAAAAGAAATATGTTTACCCAAAGCTTAAACCAACAATTTGATTCTTCAGTTACATGTAACTCTTCTGTTACTGATAATCAAGTATTTTATAAAAGCAGTATTCATTTTTTATAATATAGCTATATCGCTTGTAACCATATACTGCTCATAATGATGCTGTTGCCGCGGTCCCAACTCTTGTTTTAAAATTGGTTGCTTCAGTGGTCCCTTAATTTAACCAGCAAAATTTTACATGATGCTTATTTAGTACCAAAAGGAAGACATGTCATATAATCATTCATTCGTTATGTTGTGAGCCTTCAGTACACGGGTTGCAAATCTGTGGCATTTGGAAAAATTAAAGACCATTCCAGGACCTTTACACCATTGTAGAGGACCTTTCAGCGCCATAAAATTCGATAATCTGGTACAATACATTCGCCTTTAGAATGTGTATGTGTCCATGTTTAGGAAGTTAATTGTATGACATCATTTTACTTATTAAGTTTGTTCATGATGTCAGCCTTCAAGAACATCTACAGTTTTGATGACTGTAATTTTGAATTCAAGATTTACCTTCCCGATTGGGACAGACTAATTTCAGTACCTTCAAACACTTTACAGAATCAAGTTTTCAAACTTTACTTACTTGTACCCTGTGTTCTGGTAACAAGGGTTTTTCCAATCTGGCGAATATTGAACATGGAAGGAGCTTTAACATCATACCAGTCCTTTTTTGTGAAAGGGTCAACACTGCAAATAAAAATATGAAAACAATTTAAACGCTAACAATCACATTACAGTACTACATGCGTCAAGGTTGTTTTATCATTAATGTTGACAGGTATCAGAATGCTATCCAGTCGCTTACACATCTCCCTTTAATAGCGAAATGTTAAGGACTGTGACATATACTCCCCCCCACCCCCAGGCCCGAAATATAATTTTATTTGTTTCTTCTTCACTACCTATCCAACAAATTTGCCCCTACCCAAAAGATTTCTTCAGGTTCTTAGGGAATGAAAGTATTTTTTTCTTTCAGAGTACAATAGGTACAATTTAATCTGATATTTTAGACAGCTAGCATAGTTTATAAAGTGTTGCATATGTCAGTTTTGAATATGGTAATGCATGAAGTGTACACATACTATTGCACTTAATAAATTAACTTTAATAGTTCATTATACACATATGCATATTATTTATTATTATGCACATAAAAAAAAACTTTTCTTAGCTACCTAACCAGCCCTAAACTTAATGGGTCGGGAAGGGAAAATAAACAATTTTATTCATCTCAAATTTTGGTCCGACATTAGGGTTTCTTAATCTGACAAAAATCATAATCTACCATGTATTGTAAATTTTTACTAAGTCAAGGGCAATAACTCTAAAAATACTATATAAATCCACGGTAAAAATACCCATGTGCACAACTTCACATGCTGATGAACATTCCTGTAAGGTTTCATGACTCTAGGTCAATTACTTTTTGAGCTACGTGCAACACAAAAAGGGAACGGACGGACTGATGGACGGACAAGGGTAAATCTAAATGCCCCCCCCCCCTATAGTGGGGGCACAAAAAACACTGCACCAGTATCCTTTCATTTTAATGAAAATTATTGTGTCAACCAAAGCAGGCTTTAATTTAGTGTTGTTATAATTCTGAGCTTAATTCAGTCACATCCCTAATTGAGTGCCAAATGTCACTGGATGAGAAAAATGTGCAGCACGTCCAGGACTTGAACCTGACCCTCAGAATACCTCCCCGGGTCTGCAACTGGACTATCTGATTTACTATCAATTTTAATGACGATTCTTCACAAAATTCATCAACATTTTTTTCCTGTGATAAGACTTAACGATATACATACTATGCAACAAGTGGTATTTAATAAAAATAATGGGTAGATCTACTACAGATTTGAGCTGGAACAATGTTTTTGTCATTGTTTTAAAACAAGCAACTTAACAAGATTTTTTTAAAACCTGACAACTTCATAATGGATAACGAATTCAACAAATTAATGTGCATGTCTACATAAAATCTTGTTAAATATTCTCTACCATCTTGGCTGTGGTGGTAAATATATTTCTCAGTATTGAAATCTAGTAGGCCCTATCATTTCAATCCGTCAATATCAGGGTAAATATATATACATCCATGTGTAAAAATACACAGGAGGTTTATACTAAATCTCCACTATCAAATATTTCAAGCATAACAACATACATCTTTTTCTTTGCACCCTTCTTGCCTCCTTTCGTGAGCCTTTTATTTTTGCCCTGCGCCATGATTAAATTTAGGCTGAAAAGGAAGCGGAAGTGTCATATTCGGAAACTTATTAAAATAGACTGGTTTACTTGCTTATTCTATTTGTATGACATAAATTTTTATTAATCGTACACGCAGTCTAACTTTGTTTTGGTGGGCAAATTTTGTGAAAATGAAAAAGACAGAAAAAGAAACGATCAGTTCAGTATGTCGACGAGAGGGATAAAATTCAACTTTCTTCCAGGAGAGAGCGTACTTTGCTTTGAACCAGATCCCACAAAAGCTCGTGTTATATATGAAGCCAAGGTTTTATAAATTATTTATAATTTAGAACTTTGTCATTTTTGGACACAGACTGAGACTGGCAGTCTAGTGACTGGTCTACTCTAGTCTCTGGTCTTGTCACTTGTACCAGTTACGCTTTTTCGTGTCATATATGGCATTGATTTATTTATATAATCTAGCATTATTTTGCAAAATGTACCACCTGCTATAAATTTGTTCATGTTGAATGACGGACTATTCTCCCAAAACAATTTCCTCCCCTGACAGTTCTCCCTCAAATTTACTTCAATCAGGGATTTATATTACAGGGATCGGACACTCCCAGTTAACCCTATATAAATGCTTAAATATCTTATCCTGCACCCGATAAAGGTACATCGATTGATAATTTACCGGCGCTAAGCGAAAATGCCCGTTTGTAACGGAAAAGAGTCAACTCGGCCCTATACCAACTCGGCACGGGTCAACTCGGCACGGGTCAACTCGGCCCACTTTACAAAAATATATATAACGTATTAACTTTGCTTTGCATGTTGTTAAGGTAAATGAATAATGATAAATATCTTATTATTATATAATTTTACATTGTAGATCTACTTCTACGGAAATAAAGTATATAAATTTAGAAAAAAAAGTTATTTATATTTGTCTTGCAGATTCGATAAAATTAATATAGATCTAATGAAAATGTGTTTCCTTAGATGCATTTTGTTTGTATTAAAAGTACTATTCAAAAAATAAGAAACAAAAACGTGTTTACTTAATATCATAAGCTTCTAATTAATTGCAGGTGGTCACTTATCAAATTTGAATGAATGAGTTAGTTGGACACTGAAGGTATTTAAATTTACGGTTAAACCTACCACGAGTCAGAAATACAGTGAGATACGCAATCGGTTATCTTTACTCACTATTCTACTGATAAGAATGCCTGTCTGCTGCTAGTTCGGAAACTGTCAATCCATGTATTATAAATAATTCAGGGTTCTCACTAGGACTTTAAAACATGGAGTCCATGGACTCCCAACCCTGAAAAAGTTGGAGTCCAAAAGCGTGTCGCAATTAATATGTTTACAGATTAGTCATATAATGCTCACAATAGTATTGCTGATATTTTGAATCTTCAAGAGACTTCCAAAGTTTATAGTTATTCAAAAGAAACTCTGAACTACATAGTATAATTATTGTTTATTGTTGTTAATATTTATTATGAAATTGCATCAACACATGGAAATCGTTTTTTTTTTTCACTTTTATACCAAATCAAATTTTATTCTGGTTAAATAAGTGCACTCTAAAGACAAAAAGTTTATATTTGTAAAAAAAAAAAACGTAAATGTATATAGGCAGCATTTAGCGGAATGAAAAGGAAAATCGTGTACAGCTTCACACAGTGTGTAAGAGATTCATCCGATCGATAATTATTTTAGCAAATATCTTCAAAAGGATTAAATTGAAGATCGATATTTAAAGATTTAATTTTGATTAAATAATTAAGGGAAAATTCTTTCGCATGTTTGGCTTGGAAACCAAATTTTTTTGCGAAATTTTAGGGTTTCTGACGAACGTGAAATCGCCGATGTTCGGGTTTAAATCTAAATATCAAAGAAAAGCGTATGTGTATTTTGGTTTGTTGTCCTGGCATTTCGGCACAATATCTTAAATTCTTAATACTCTTATAGAAAGTTTTTGCAAGAATGAAACTAAAGCAAAATTGTGCCTAGAAAATGCCGAAAATATTCGACAATCATTCAAAATTACACTCATTTGTAATTTGAGAAAACCGTCTTTAAACTTGCAGCGTAAATAGTCGATAATTTTATCCTTTTGTCGGTAAAATTTGCTAATTTCCAATCAACTGTTGATCAAACATATAAAATTATCACCTCCTGTTATATCTGGTAATTACATGTACAGCACGTGTATACATTAGTCTGATCAATTAGCGTGATTATGATCGGAAGCGTTATCGCTGATTGGCTAATCGCTTCACGGGTCGATGTGCATAGGACCACCTATCTATAGACTGACACGCGCTGACGCATTTGTGTATTTGCGGTTGTAAACAATCGGTAATGTTTATGGGTCCCCAGGCAAAATTAAGCGTACGTGGAATCCTTGCTCTGAAATATTTGCGTCCAGCTGTAATTAACATGCGTACCGGGACGCCGAAATAAGCGTCCCCGAGAACCCTGTAATTACAATACAATAAATAGTGATAACACAAACCTAAATATTATCAATTGAAAAGTGGGCCGAGTTGACCCGTGCCGAGTTGGAATAGGGCCGAGCTGACTCGGGGGCCGAGTACGTTTTAGGGCCGAGCTGACCCGGATACCTTCTTTACAAAATACCATATAGCTTTTCCATTTATTATCCGGTTTTGGAAATTTAAAGTTTATTTTCAAGATAAATACTTGTTTAATTCAAATATCTAATTTATTTGTTAAAGATACAGACTATCTGTCGGCAATGACGATTAAAAAATTAACTTGACGATATCCGCGGTAAATTTACATTTTTTATATAAAACGCAGGTATTTGACATTTATTATTACGGTAACATAATAAATTCAATTTCAAAATAAAAAAGAAGCTGATGTAAGTTATTCAAAGATGATCAAAGATGCAATACTTAAGATTTATTGGGTTATGTAGTCAAATTAATTGACACACAAAAGTTTTACGGGTAATGTATTGCGGCCTTTACAATTCGCTCATAGTGAAGTAAATTTATTCATTTTTTTAATACAAGCTATTGCTGATATTGTCAATATTGCCATTTTCATAGAATATTTAAATTTCCTTCATCATTAATATCATTATTATTTTTTTTGTAAATCTGTTTTCAAATGTCGGTGCAGTGAAGTAGACAATCATCGTAACAGTAAAGTACACTCGTGTGGCTGTCTTGATTCCGGTCTTTTTAATGTCACTCGTATATTTCAATTATTTTTTTTATTTGAATGCCTGTACATAGAAAGACATTTCTGATATTTTTAGCTCACCTGTCACAAAGTGACAGGGTGAGCTTTTGTGATCGCTTTTCGTCCGGCGTCCGTCCGTCGTCCGTCCGTTAACTTTTGCTTTAAATGACATCTCCTCATAAACCACTGAGCCAATTTCATCCAAACTTCACAGGAATGTTCCTTTGGTGGTCACCTTTAAAAATTGTTCAAAGAATTTAATTCCATGCAGAACTCTGGTTGCCATGGCAACCGAAAGAAAAATCTTTAAATATCTTCTTTTAAACAACCCTAAGAGCTAGAGCTTAGATATTTGGCATGAAACATCTTCTAATGAGTGTCTACCAAGTTTGTTCAAATAAAAGCCCTGGGGTCAAAATTGGCCCCGCCCCAGGGGGTCATTGATTTTCCCTATATGCATATAGTAAAAACTTAAAAAATCTTCTTTTAAAGAACTGTAAGAGCTAAAGCTAAGATATTTGGCATGGAACATCTTCTAGTGAGTGTCTACCAAGTTTGTTCAAATAAAAGCCCTGGGGTCAAAATTGGCCCCGCCCCGGGGGTCATTGATTTTCCCTATATGCATATAGTAAACACTTAAAAAATCTTCTTTTAAAGAACTGTAAGAGCTAGAGCTTAGATATTTGGCATGAAACATCTTCTAGTAAATGTCTACCAAGTTTGTTCAAATAAAAGCCCTGGGGTCCAAATTGGCCCCGCCCCAGGGGGTCATTGATTTTCCTTATATGCATAAAGTAAAAACTTAAAAAAACTTCTTTTAAAGAACCCAATTAGCTAGAGCTTAGATATTTGGCATGAAACATCTTCTAGTGAATGTCTACCAAGTTTGTTCAAATAAAAGCCCTGGGGTCAAAATTTGCCCCACCCTGGGGGGTAATTGATTTTCCCTATATGCATATAGTAAAAACTTAAAAAATCTTCTTTTAAAGAACCGTTTGAGCTAGAGCTTAGATATTTGGCATAAAACATCTTCTAGTAAATGTCTACCAAGTTTGTTCAAATAAAAGCCCTGGGGTCAAAATTGCCCAGCCCCAGGGGGTCATTGATTTTCCCTATATGCATATAGTAAAAACTTAAAAAATCTTCTTTTAAAGAACTGTAAGAGCTAGAGCTTAGATATTTGGCATGAAACATCTTCTAGTGAATGTCTACCAAGTTTGTTCAAATAAAAGCCCTGGGGTCCAAATTGGCCCGCCCCAGGGGGTCATTGATTTTCCCTATATGCATAAAGTAAAAACTTAAAAAATCTTCTTTTAAAGAACCCAAAGAGCTAGAGCTAAGATATTTGGCATGAAACATCTTCTAGTGAATGTCTACCACGTTTGTTCAAATAAAAGCCCTGGGGTCAAAATTGGCCCCGCCCCGGGGGTCATTGATTTTCCCTATATGCATATAGTAAAAACTTAAAAAATCTTCTTTTAAAGAATCGTAAGAGCTAGAGCTTAGATATTTGGCATGAAACATCTTCTAGTGAATGTCTACCAAGTTTGTTCAAATAAAAGCCCTGGGGTCAAAATTGGCCTTGCCCCAGGGGGTCATTGATTTTCCTTATATGCATATAGTAAAAACTTATAAAATCTTCTTTTAAAGAACCCAAAGAGCTAGAGCTAAGATATTTAGCATGAGACATGTTCTAATGGGTGTCTACCAAGTATGTTCAAATAAAAGCCCTGGGGTCAAAACTGGCCCCGCCCCGGGGGTCATTGATTTTCCTTATATACATAGCAAAAACTTAAAAATCTTCTTTGAAAAAACCCAAATAACTAGAGTTTAGATATTAAGCATGAAACATCTTTAAGTAAATATCTACAAAGTTTGTTCAAATAAAAGCCCAAGGGTCAAAACTGGCCCTGCCCGAGGGGTGTCATTGTTTTTAACTATATGTGTATAGTAAAAACTTAAAAAATCTTCTTTTAGAAAAGAACTTTGATGTCAACCAAGTTTGTTCAAATAAACAAATAAAAGCCCTTGGGTAAAAATTGGGCCGGGGAGGGTGGGGGGCTATATACAGGTGAGCGACCTCAGGGCCATCATGGCCCTCTTGTTTAATGTAACGCTAGAAAACAATAAAAATATTTACAGTTTGAGTAAGTATTTTGCGAAATACAAGTAAATGTTGATTATTTTTTACACATGGCTTTTAAAAATTTCTTTGAAGTTTTATTACTTTTGAAGGGGGTTAATTACAAGGTAACAAGTGATAATTGAAAAACTTTATTTTCAAACTTTCATTACCAGGTTACATGTGATAATTGTTGCAATCTTCAAAAAACAAATAGAATTTGAATGTATATATTTTGTATGTGCCCGGTCTTTAACTACCGTCCATGGTACGTGTAATAAGAAAATGATTCTGAAGAGGACAGGGCATTTTTTACCAAAATTGTGAAGGGGCCTGTGCCTGTTCATTTTGTGAAAAAGTGTGATATGTCATAAAATTGTAAAGAAAAACAAATGACATATTACTTGGTATTTCGTGACATTTTGAAACTGGACATGGTTGATTATAATTTCTGACCTGTGTAAAATCTGCTTCAAGTCCGTACATTAACCTGGTTAACATGCCCAAAAACCATTTAACTTGATTAAAACTATTTCTTTGTTATTGCAATTGGCAAAAATTAAGTTTTAGCGGAAGGTTAACAATGTATTTCGAAGACAGAGTCCAAACATTTTGTGAAATTTCTCTTGATATTGTGAATTTTTTTCTGCCGCTTTGTGAAAAAAAATGCAATTCTAGAAATGTGAAGGGGCCTTTTAGCGGCCCCTGTTATAGAAGGGAAAAAGTCGTGGAGGATATATATAAATACAATGTAAATGTATTTTCATTATGAACATTAATTTTATAAATGAAATTGAAAATATACATCTAAATATGTATAGCTTTCTTTGAAAAATAATGAAAATAAACATATGACAAATAAATCATTTGACGTGAAGGATAACTATGAAAAAAAATCATTCTGTTTCAAAATAAAAAATAATATTATAAAACAGCTCTTCTGTATGCCAATAAAAGTTTCTTCCTTGCCAATCTAATGAATTCATCTATATATGAACGTTTGTCTTGAATGATCTGAAAATATATTTAATACACTAATAAGTAGAATATTTACTATATTTATACTAATAATATTCAATTTCAGGTAATACCGTAATCAAATAAAAAATGTACAAATTATTTGGAAATAATTCACAGAAATAGACAAATTTCAAACATGAATTTCTTTAAAAGTTAATAAGCAATCAAGAAACATTTTTTTGCAATGCAACCATTAAATCATGTAAAAAATAATTATCTTAATTTGAATTGCGGTAATAATTTGTGCTTGAAGTAAAAGGGCGTCAAAGTGTAGTGAGTATGCCTAAACAATAGGCGAATATTTTTTAGATTAGGTACTTTTTTAACTCAGCGTTGCAGCATTCTATCGGCATATTTTCATATATTAATACTTTAGCGGCACAAAATAATACTGTATCAATACATTCATTTGTGTATAATTTTTCACAAAGCTGCAATAACACCACATACTCTAGTGAAAATCTGTCTTATGTCGCACTCCGCGCGTTCTGCCATCTCTCATTCTGTCCACCTTTATCCGATGTGCTATTCCGCGCATGCGCGCAACGAGATTTTAAGCTAAACGATAGTGTCCAATCCTTGTAATATAAATCCGTGCTTCAATAAAATAAAAAAGAATTCTCTAATTTATATCAATGAATGATAAACTTATCCATTTATTAAACATCTAAATTCTTCAATAATTTTCTTTTTTCTCTCTCTTATTTATATCAATTAATAATAAACTTACACATTTATTTAACATCTAAACTCTTCAATAAAATATTTTTTTTATAGCAATTATTACCCATCACTTATAAAAATATTAATGGGGAGGAACTGTCTGCTTTTTGCAAGTATGCAGACGGTTCTCCCCCAAAATAGGGAGAGAACCGCCAGGGAGGAAACATCAAGGAAGGAATTGGTAAGGGAGAGAATTGTCTGACTACCCAGAAAGGTGCTCCAATTCCAGAAGCTTCTCCTGGTCTTTAACATGCTAAGTGTTTAAGCACTCATACACAGGACCTCGATTTAAAGACTCATCTGAAAGACTGATTAGTAATTTTTGTCGGCTAGGCTAGCTTGGGGATCGAACCCACAATGTTGAGATTACAAATTTCACATTCTAACAGAGTGAGCTATGCAGACTGGCTTATATGTCAAGAAAACTTGCTGTACTTTTTAACACCCTTTTCAGGTATTTTAATCCAACCAATACCTTGTCAACACACATTGTCAGAGGTTAAAGTTGTATTGTTGTGATTCGTTTATTAACACCTGCATTTATCATTGTGGTCTAGTGATAAATCAATCAACTCCATTCATTTGTTTAATGTTTAAATAGCAAATAAACTAAAGTGGTAATTATAATAAATTTTAATATAAAGGTACATGTATGTTCTGCTTTTGGTATGTCATAAAATATTAACTGTTTCAGTACACTTATATATCAATACATACAATATATTACCTAATCCCGTTTATAAATGTAAAATAATTTATAATGAAACATAATTTTAATTAAATGAAATGTCTAGAATGATAAACTTATAATTTGTAGTACTGGTAATCTGTTCAAAAGAATTTTTTATCTCTAAAAGAATTTCCAACTGTCAATTTGTAAACAAGTGAATATAGGGAAATGTTTTGAAGTATAAGGGTTAGTAAACAGGCCATTCCAAATCTTGATAATAAGAGTCTCACAACAGAAATAATTTCAAAAAAAAATCTTAAATATCAAATCTGTTAGTCAGATATACAATGTAAGTTAGAATTTCTTTAATTGAACAAAGAGTTATTCTAAGAATAAAATTTCAAAGGTTTGTGAATCTGGTAATACAGGAGCAGGGGAATATCTGTATGCAATTGTCATCAGGCAACCCATGAAGTGTCTGGTTATTTGTAACATCCCTAAAAATCAAAGTGTTACAAATAATTTTCGAAGTTGCGTGAAAGAGTTGTCCTTCTTGTTTTACAAACTCAGAGTTTGTCATTTACAGTACATTGTGTATTGTGAAATACATGTATTTTAAATTTGCTTAAAGTCATTTAGATAAAATGTTTTTCTTGACTTTCAGATCCTTGATACAACAGTGTATAAAGACTTAGATGGAAAAAAGAAACCTGGCTATCATATACATTTTCTACGTTGGAATAATAGGTGATTATGTAACAAACAAATTTTCTTAATCTTATATTCGTTTAAGTTTTCTCATGCTGAACATAGACCCTGTAATGTTCAAGAGAACCTTATAAGATCTGAGATAAGGTGTTCTTTCATGCAAAAAAAAGAAAAATGAGCCGCGTCACGACAAAACCAACATAATGGGTTTGCGACCAGCATGGATCCAGACCAGCCTGCTCATCCACGCAGTCTGATCAGGATCCATGCTGTTCGCTTTCAAACACTAAAACAAGTAGAGAAACTGATAGCGAACAGCATGGATCCTGATCAGACTGCGCGGATGCGCAGGCTGGTCTGGATCCATGCTGATCGCAAACCCATTATGTTGGTTTTGTCATGGCACGGCTCAAATGTTATGAATGGAGCCTGTGTTTATACTTCACTCAGACTTTGTCAAAAGTACAAATTAGTGATCATAAATTCATACTGATGTTTTGAAACCAGGGTAGGTTTAGGTATCATATGATAAAAGGAAAAGAGTGTTCATTAAATATTAACATGCTTTTACAGATTATAAATACTTGGTTTAAGATTTATCTTATACTTTTTACCATGGTCAAATTACTTGAGTATAGTATGCATATCTTAGCTCCAGCAGGTGACTGTGAGGTGGTTTTGACCCCTGGTGTTGCTTTAACTTTGTAATAGCCAGGGGAGCCAAAATCATCTTTTCCTGTTTCAACGCCATAAGACCTAAATTGTGTTGGTGCACCATAAAAAAAGTTGAAGTTTTTGAAGCTGTGTTACATTATTTATATGAAATATAATCCTTCAATCTTTGAGATAAAAGAAACTTTAAGAGGTATTGATAATTAATGAAGGGTGTTCATTGATTTCAGTTGGGATCGTATTGTTGGAGAACAGTTGGTGTTGAAAAGTTCGGAAGAAAACAAAACACTCATGAAACAACTTTCTGAAGTAGCCCGGAAATTGTAAGTTATTTACTTTTCTGAACTTATTTTGGCATTTTTTAGTATTTTATTGTTCAAGTAAGACAATACTCACATGTTCATATTAAGCTCTTGAGTGTAAGTCAGTTATCACATACTTGTGCAGTTTTTGTGACTCCATTTAAGCTTGCACTGGCATGCATATATTTTGACATGATGTCATATGGATTAATTATATAAACAAATATCAAAAGTTGTGCAAGATGTTAGTGCAGAGCAAAGAGTGTAAATGGAAAAATGATACATTATGGAATGTGATAAATAAATATTATATTCATATAGCTTCTTTTCTAAATTTGTTGAACTTGAAGAAAATGCTGGTATAATATAATAATATTCAATATGTTCAATTAATTCATAATGGAACCTACACTCATTATATTAATATGCTGTATATAATAGACTATGCTCCTTTGGGAATTGAAATTTTTATGCATAGAAAATGGTATGCATCTATAACTTTTTTTCATCATTTTTCACATTATTATAGTAAATTTGCAAGAGTGTAGTTAATTCACAAGTATGTATGTCCATGGTCGACTGATAAATGTTGTTGACTTTAAACCACTTGTCCCTCACCTTTGTGCCAGTTTGGGTTCAAATCCCGACAGGGACTTTGAATTCTTTCATGTGAGAAAGCTATCCAGTAATGAGTATATACAGGAAGCTTACAGGTAGTCAGTGGTTTTACTCAGGTGCTAGTTCTTGCCTGAAATAATGCTTGAAAGGGCATCTGAGGTCTTCCTCCACTCAATATTTTCAAGAAGTTTTGTAGATAGAGCTGGAACTTTATTCAAGAAGTTTTGTAATAGAGCTTGAACTATTTGTGCCCCCACTATAGGGGTAGGGGCATTTAGATTTACCCTTGTCCGTCTGTGCATCAGTCTGTCTGTTCTCTTTTTGTGTCACACATAGCTCAAAAAGTAATTGACCTAGAGTCATGAAACCTTACAGGAATGTTCATCAGCATGTGAAGTTGTGCATGTGGGTATTTTCATGTGGATATATTTAGTATTTTTAGAGTTATTGCCCTTGACTTAGTAAAAATTTGCAGTTTTCAACTTGTGTCGCACATAACTCAAAAAATATTTGACCTAGAGTCATGAAACCTCACTGGAATGTTGATCAGCATGTGAAGTTGTGCACCTGAGTATTTTTGTGTGGATATATTTAGTATTTTTAGAGTTATTGCCCTTGAATTAGTAAAAATTAATAATTTTCAACTTGTGTCGCACGTAAATAAAAAAGTATTTAAATTAGAGTCATGAAGACGTACAAGAATGTTGCTCAGCATGTGCATTTGTGCACCTGGATATTTTCCTGTTGATTTAATTAGTATTTTTAGAGTTAAAGCCTTTGACTTAGTAAAAATTTGCAATTCTCAACTTGTGTCACATGTAACTTAAAAAATATTTGACCTAGAGTCATGAAACCTTACAGGAATGTTGATCAGCATGTGTAGTTGTGCACCTGGGAATTTTTGTGTGGATATATTTAGTATTTTTAGAGTTATTGCCCTTGAATTAGTAAAAATTTCCAATTTTCAACTTGTGTTGCATGTAACTCAGAAAGTATTTGACCTGTAGGCCTAACAGTTTACAAGAATGTTGCTCAGCATGTCTACTTATGCACCTTGGGATTTTCTTGTGGATTTATTCAGTAATTGTAGTATTTGTCCTTTACTTAATATAAGATTTTTAGTTTTCAACTTGGACACATGTAGGCAAAAAAAATTTTGACCTAGAGACATAAGACCTCTATTGACAAATCGGTGGAGTGTGGGGAGGGGGGCACCCAAGTCCTTTGGACACATTTCTAGTTTCAAGAAGTTTTGTAGATAGAGCCGGAACTTTATTCAAGAAGTTTAGTAGTAGAGATGGAACTTTATTCGAGAAAGTTTGTAGATAGCGCTGGATCTTTACTTTATTTACTTCCTAGCAGCAAGAACAAGAAGCGAAGGAAGCGTATCCATGAGATCCTTACAGAGGCATTTAATGGAAGTCCACCATTTGAAGATGTTGAAAATGAAGAAGAAAACACTACAGATACTAATGATACTGAAGATGAGGTAAGTTTGTTTCTTTTCAAAATTATAATTTGAATTTTCTCCATTAGTTGGGGAAAAAAAATGTCTTGGACCATTTGTGGCCATTATTCCATGTTGCTGAGATACAGTCAGCCATGCAGTCACCTGTGTTGGCTTAACATTTGCAAGGAATGCAGGGACAATACTTGCAACTTATAAGAAGACTTGTAGGTCTTTGCAGGAGATTGTTTTGCATGTAGTAAAATAGACAACCTCTGGCATCTTCCTTAACTATTTAAAGGGATTAAGTTGTACATGTATTCTAAGGTCAAGCAAAATATGAAAAAAAAGAATAGCCTGAATAGGTAATTTATGTTGTAAGTAAAATAAACAGGAAAAATATAAAACAAAACAATCTTTTCTTGGAAGTAGATATTTAACTTAATAAACTTTTGTAATGTGGTTAGCGATATGATGAGCAGTATAAAATTGTTATCTTATTATTGTTTGTTAACCTGCTGAAATTGAAAGTGATAAGCCTTTGCCACCAAGATAGAGTCAGGCTAGCCTGCATTATCATGTAGTCTGACAAGGCTCTATACTGTATGTGGCTCAATATTTGTAATTTGATACTGAAATTCCATTAACTTTGAATGGAGTGTTCCAAATTCAACACAAATTCAACAGGTTTTGGGTTAAAGGTATAAAATATTATTGATAGTCATCCAATACATTTGATATGTTAGTAGGTTAGAATTTAACAGATCATGTACATGAAATGTAATAAAATGACAATCATTATAATTTCAGAGCACAGCGGAAACGGACAGTATAGGTAGTGAAAGTAAAGGTGAAGATCTGAGAAAATCCCAGGTATCATAAGACGAAGTGTATAATATTTTTCTGTGATGATTATTTGTAATGAAGATTTTAATAAACTGAATTGTTTAAAGGTTTTCTGATAGTCCTTAGTACAGTGCTTGAAAGTTTTCATATCTTTTATTGTAGTGTAAACATCAGTGCTAGTTTGTTGTTATTTTGAGGTCATTTATAAGATTATATTGATTAAAAATTTGATTTTATGCAAGAGCTGTCATCTGTAGAGACAGTATAGATGTATCACTGATATTTTTCTGTTGATTAATGATCAATACACATTTGAAAAAAACAATAATTTTGATAAATTATTTAATTGGTACTGTCTTTCATGTTTCACCAGCTATTTGCAGTGATGTTAAATAAAACTGAGCTAATTCATTTGAATTCACTCTGTTTAATCCGTTGATGTATTAATTTTTCAAAGAATCTTGCTTTGAACTTGCATTTTGTACTTTTCTTTGAAATGAAAAGAACCTTTAGTATATTTTTCATTATAAATGAATAAAATATTAAAATTTTAATATTACAGAGGCTTCATCCACAAGTAGATATAGAAATACCAGACAGTTTGAAAGCAGTATTAGATAAAGACTATTTTGCAATTAACCAGGACAAAAAGGTAAAATCTACTTTATCATAAATATGGTATAAATAAGAAAGAAAGAAGGGACAGAGGGAACAAAAAACAACAAAAAAAAACAACAACAAAAAACAAAAACAAACAAACATTAAACAGTAAACACAACTTACTTTGTTACTTATAATTATTAAGTTAAATGTTTTGATGTTAAACAATACCTTTATCAGGTTCATAATTTTACAGAAATATTGTCCTCTAAAGTATATAGAAGGATTGTTCAATATTCTGTTTGCATTATTTAAAAAGGACAAAAATGATAAATTGATAGTGTACATCAAGTTGAATATTAAGTCTTTCCTCTACTATTTTAAGATCCTGTAACACATTTTTTATGGTTTTAAATCGTAAATATGATTCTTAAATTATTGTAAGTTCCAAAATGCATTATAATAAAGGTATTACCGAATTTAACATTTCATGTAAATAAAGGGAGGTAAATAAAAATTTATTTTCTATAAAGTCTAAGTCAAATTTTGCAATAAGAAATAAATGCATATATTTTAATGATTACATATAATATGTACAAATATTTGCAGTCATATTTTACATATTCTTCGATGTTTGAAAATTGTTTTATAAGCATAATTATATGCTTAATTATTAAAAATTTAACTTTTACTTTAAACAACATCTCCTCATAAACTGCGAAGCCAATTTCACCCAAACTTCACAGGAATGTTCCTTTGGTAGTTAACTTGAAAAATTGTTCAAATAATTCATGCCAAGCAGAACTCTGGTTTCCATGGCAACCAAAAGAAAAAAAAAAAAGCTTCTTTTAAAAAACGCTAGAGCTTAGATATTAAGCATGAAACATCTTCTAGTGGGTGTCTACCAAGTTTGTTCAAATAAAAGCCCTGGGGTAAAAATTGGCCCCCGCCCCATTGTTTTTCCCTTTATGTATCACAGTATGTAGTAAAAACTTAAAAAATCTTATTTTAAAAACCCCAAAGAGCTAGAGCTAAGATATTTAGCATGAAACATGTTCTAATGGGTGTCTACCTAGTTTGTTCAAATAAGGGCACATGGATTAAAATTGGCCAGCCCCAGGGGTCATTGATTTTCCTTATATGTGTATATCAAAAACTTAAAAAATCTTCTTATAAAAAACCCAAAGAGCTACAGTTTAGATACTAAGCATGTAATATCTTCTAGTGAGTGTCTACTAAGTTTGTTCAAATAAAAGCCCTAGGGTCAAAATTGGCCCCTCCCAGGGGGGGGGGGGGGGAGTCTTTGTTTTTTCCCTATATGTATTATAAAAACCCAAAAGAGAATGGTTGTCTTCCAATTTTGTTCAAATAAAAGCCCCTGGTTTAAAATTGGCCTTGGCCCAGGGGCCTTTATACAGGTGAGCAATTTCAGGGCCATCATGGTCCTCTTGTTTTGAATTATAGCCCTTTGTGAAATGAAATTATACTCGGCCAAGTTTAAAAAAATCAGGAAAAAAGGAAACAAAGAAAATAAAGCCATACTTTAAACTCTGTGATAATATAGATAGGTGATTATATGTTGCAGGTTGTGAAGTTACCAGCAGATATTAATGTGGTCACAGTATTGGAGAGCTTTGTGAAGACTTTCATGATGGATTTCTGGAGTACAAATTATGATCGTTCCTATCTTTGTCATAATCCACCAAAAATAGCTATTGATAGAATGTAAGTAATGTTATATATATGCTAACACACCTTTGCTATGATATTAAAGTCTTAACTTGCTGAATATATGTAAGAAATTTTCCCTGTTTGAATTTTGTTTGGGAACAGTCCATTTGAATAGGGGATTTCGACAAAAATTAAACTACCAACAGTATAAAGGCTGGTCAGGTAAGCACGTTTGGCTCTATTATACTAAAAGCAAAGGCTAATTATTTCTGGTTTGATTCCAGCATATTGGGGGTCAAATATTCTTTCTGAAAAATTGTTGGTACAGGGTTTTTTTTTCTGGCCCATTTAGATGACCGATGTTGAGTTGTGCTCCCAATGCTCAAAAGTATGGGTCCCATCCCCACTACCCCAATTTCAAGGGGAAAAATTTCCAAGGAATAAAAAATAAAAGAAGTAAAATATTCTTACTTTGTTATATTTTAACTGCTCTGTGCCATAGAAAATTGTAATATAGCATTCCAAATTGTAATATATGCTTGTCAATGAAATACAAAAGGAGTTTAATTATTAATTAACCAGATATTTGATTTCTTTGTCTTATTTGATGTATACAATATGTTTTTCACCATTTGTATAAAACATCATAAAAATTTCCAATTCTGGGGGTCAGGTCGATGTTCCCATAGTGTTGAGATAAAACCTTTTGTATAATGTTTATTGTGTATTTCATTGTTCCCATAAAAGGATTTACCTTTATGAAAATGTGTGAATGCTGAGATCTAAATATGAAAAGATGGACAAAAATATAATGGATAAAAAAAAAAAATATATACATGTACTTGTTTACTTTTATATAATGCAAACTATTAATTTATATCTCAAAACGTCAGGAATGAAGATGTTTTAATTTTCATTAACCCATTGCTTCATGAGCATTTTGTGAAAAATGGCTGTTTTCATTGAAAAGTCTCCCGTTACAAGTTCAAATTGCTATAATACTATAAAAACTGCTTCAACACTAATCAAACTTGGCACAAATGTTGACTGGACCATTGTCCTTGCAACAACATGCTCAGACTTAAATTTTCTGTTACCATGGCAACGAGGGGACATCTCAAAATTGCCAAAAATCACTATTTTGCGTTGATTTTTTCCATCAAAATTGATTTCAAAGTGCTGCAACTTATCAATGGATTGAGATAGAGTCAAATGCTTTTCAGCGTTGGTTACACGTTACCTTATGATCAATCTGGGGTCATTTACAGCCTCTCACAAGTCCAAAATTTTCTTGGCGATGAGGGGGACTCCGCCCCCCTTCAAACCCCCCAAAACAGAAGGGGGCACATCCCCCTTCTGGCAACCCCCTTCTGTATCTTTTGGTTGGGGGGCCGCGCCGAAAAAGAGGTCATTTTTTTTAACAACATTTCTCAAACAAAAACAAGTGTTTGGGGCCTAAATAAGGCATTTTTTCATCATTTGAGACAACAAAAAGGGGGGGGGGGGTGAAAAGGGCGTTAAAAGGCGTGTATATGAAGTAATGGGTTAATGGATATGACAAGCTTCTAAAGCTTTTGTTTGAGGGTGTGAGAGGCCTGAGGGTGATTAACAATTTGGACCAGTTATCTAAGGCTGTGTGGGTTCGGTGATTCCAGGAGCCTGAAGATTGTTTTGTACAGGTTGGTTGGTTCTAGGAATGGTGGAGAGACTGTTAAATGAGGTTGTAGCTTCCAACACAATCTAATTAAACACTTTCAGCAAAAGCTTAAAACCCCTTTAAACAGCAACAGAGACAGACATAGATATGTAACAGTGTATTTTTGTAAATCCTTTTGTATTACATTTATTGAATTGTTGATTACAAAATGATATTTGCATATTTCAGATTACCAATGTGTAAAGAATTTGTGGATGGGTTAAGGATCTGTTTTGATTTTGTCCTACCTGTAACATTGTTGTACGAGGGAGAAAAAGACCAACATCTCAAGATCATGAACACCTTCAAGAGTAAATCACCTGCCAAACAAAAAATGTAAAAATAATTATCATTATAAATGTTTCTTTAACCAAATATGACTAGTATTTTGTTTTAAGTACATGTAGTATAAGTAATTTTTTTTTTTAAATGGTTAATAATATCAATGAAAGTGCAACTTTATATTGTCTCTAGCTGCCTTAAAGGACTGTTACTAGTTTTAATTTGGTGCCGTTCTGTGGCTTTTAGAATGTACAGAGTATGTATGTAGGTTTTCCTCCCACAAAAAAGCTGGAACTTTGTTATCTTACCTTACAGTTTAATTGTTAATCAAGAAACTTATCACAAGTTTGACATGTAATTTTGCAAAGGGAAATAAATTTTTCTTAATATGACTTTTGTTGAACTGTTTCATACAGACATATAGGAACTGTTCATATTCTATACAAGTAATTTTGTGGGTCATTTATATTGACAGAATCTATTTTGTACATTTACAACACACTGTTTAAGATTAACCTCTTCTATTTATTTGTTAATTGACCATAACTATCTAATGATTCCAGTTTTACTTTACAGATATATGCCTACTAAACTTTATCAATACATCTTACTCTAGGTGAATAACTGGATTAAAAAATTGTTGGAATGGAAAACAGTTGTTTGTGATTATAGCTTAGCTAGAATATAGGTCATCAATCTTATTAACTGATTTTATTAACCTTTTTCAGTCCCGGTGAAGATTCGCCACTTTTAAGGTCACCAAGATCGCGGACATCTGATCAGCATAATGTTGACGAACCATGGCCAAAGTTACCTAAATTGTCTCCCAATGTTGTTGATGAGGATGATGAAATAACATTTGACATTCAAACAACGCCGAGAAGAGTTACTAGAAGTAGAGTACCAGACTTACCGAAGAAATCGGAAAATGAACGCATTAATGTTAAAACAGAACAGAAAGAACATCAAAATGGAGGAAAATCTTGTAGCAAAAATGATGCAAAGCTGATTAGGAAAAGGCGTTCATCAGATCGCCAGGATGAGGGTTTGCGTCGCAGGGCGTTACGTAGTTACAGAAAGTCTAGTGAAGATTCGAGTGATAGCGAACAGTCGAAACCAGAAACAATTATGTCAGAGCCTGCGAAACCTGTTGTTAAAATTGAAAAGAATGAGAGACCACCACCTTTGTTGATCCCTTGTAACATTTCTGGTGCACGACAAAATGGTGCCGACAAGAATCCAGAGAAAGGTGCCCCAGATTCCACTGATAGTCTTGGTGATAATGGTAGGGAAGAAATCTTGGCAAACATCTTACATTGGCAGTTAGCACCACCTGAAGCCCTCAGTAAACTACCAACACCACCATGTATGATCTATGGTTCACAACATCTTCTACGATTGTTTGGTATGTGAAAATATTACTTTAATATCATCTAACATTTGACAAGACGGAAAGTAAGAAAACCTTCTACTGAATGATTTAAGTTTTTCTTTGAATATTTTTATCATTTACAATCTTAAGATCACTAGCTTCGCTCAACAGGGAGAACATTGGAAAGTTGTCCATTTAACTCTACTGCTTATTTAGAAATTGTGGGTCATTAATTGTAGGTCACTTGCAGAGAATTTTGTGAAAAAATTCATTGAAAAAAAGTCACATTGCCTCTAGGTGTAATATTTTTTAAATGAAGATATTTTTATTTACCTACAATTTTATGAAAATCACTAATTTTGTTCCCAGCTTAAATAGTTTTGTTGATTCAATATTTAGTTTAATAAAATGTTTATATGTTTTTGCAAAAACTTTTAAAGTAAAATTAAGATACCATGTTATGTTACAGTAAAGTTGCCCCAGTTATTAAGTGAGATGGATCTGGATGAGGACAGACTAGGTGTAGTAAAGAAACTTGTCCAACAATTCCTGCAGTAAGTTTTGACTTCATGTTTTGTTAATTCAAGTACAACCACATAGAAAGATCCTTTTACCTTGCTTCTGTTTGAAGTTAGGCATGGATCATACTAGTACTTTGATCTCCTTGCACAAGTAAATTTGAAAATTACTGTATGATGATGAATTACAGTACAATTATTTTGGATTTAAGAGCACCATATTGTAGTCTTATCACTGAGTGAGTGAAGAACACATATGTGAGGCTTATGAATTGTATGCTGGAAAATGTTGTACATGTAGCTAAAAACCATTCAATGTTACATCTTGAATATGTGATTAACAGTTATACAGACATCTCTGTAATCAGCCATGTTTGTATCCGTGTTTTCGGGGCTTGCAATTTTTATTTAAGAATTGTTGTGTTATTTAGTCATCAAAAGCATTGACGGAACTTTTTCCAGAGTCATTTATTTTTCTGCATAATTTAAATAAAATTTACATACAATTTTTCACAAAAAAGTTACACAACAATTTTGCAACAATTTGATTAAACAGACCCTTTGGGTAACAAGATGCAAGCAAAAAGTTAATAGATATAAAGTTCTTGATATTTTCCTATTGTATTTTTTTTGAGAATTTTAATAAAGAAAATCTTGTGAAAAAAGAAAGTTCATTTTTTGAAGACTTTGAATGAAGATTTGAATGAAGATTTTCTAATTTAAAACATAGGTGACTATCATTGTTGTAGGTGTCCTAGTGTGTGGTTGTTCAGAAAGAAAAACATTCTGCGGTAATAAATTTAATGTGAAATAAGAGGCAAGAAGTATAGATGTTTTCTGAAACTAAATTCTTTCCAAAATGGTTGTAAATTGATTGTAATTGTGTTTGAAACTCATCAATTTACTTAAACTAATTTGTATTTCCGAACATTGGACAGTGGTCTTTTTAAAGCATGCCTGTTATTTTGTTCATAATAGAAGACCTTCAGTTTACACGCTTTAATTCCTAGTCAAGAGTTTTCGCTTCTGTATCTCATAACATATTTAGTTGGAAACACATCTATTAGATGCCATTAACATTTTCCCATTTGTATTTCCTTAAATTGCTACAGTTTCAAAATGTCTTTAAAAAACACACTGTTACTTATCAGGAATTTGAGAATAATAGATCGCACTGTTAGGTTAGTAATAGTATAACACATTCATTAAAGTAGCATTGATACAAGTGTAAAGCAAGTTATTTTTCCATGTTTTTACAACAACTGGTTTTTAGTTCTTAACTAAGACAAACTGTTTCCAAGTTTCCTTTACCCAATCAAAATAACCAGATCATGTAGAAAAAGAACTTTGTAATCATTCTTTTCAAATTGCACACTTCATAAGGTAGCTTTCAATACATAAAAACTTAATTATAAATGACATCATTCATCCATTAAAAAGCATTCTGCTGGCTCGGAATTTTCATATCACTTCATGTATCGTAACCATGTTGTAAATAATCATCACTTATCTCAAAATGTGTTCATTTGCAAGTTAAGGGTTTAAGTACATGTACTATAAAAAGTTTTTTTTTCCACTTTGAATTTGATTATATTTGGATAAATATTTTTAATGATTGTCAATAAAAAATTGTTAAATTTGATTTCTTATTTGTTAGATGACCCAGTAAAGGAGAGTGAGTTCTGGGTGTTTATTGTAAGAGTTGAACAATGTTATTTGGATTTTGGTGTTTGTATAAGTACCTCATTTTTGTTGAGCGTATCATTTGATGTGGCATATATTTAGTTGTATGAAAACTTAATTAAAGTGACATTATGCTTAACAAAGTGTAAATAGTGGGTGCATAGGTAAAAGTCAAAATAAGTTTACACTTTGCATTAAATGTGTTCAATTATGTATTTGACTATGCAAAAAAATAAAATCAATAATTCGCGTGACCCACGGAGATTTCTATAAATATCATTCGGATGGGTAACGTTCAATTTTTAAATAGAGTGGACCAGTCTTTTTATAATTAAGATAGATTTAACATTATATCAATTATTGGTCATCACCATTATAATAGTCAATCTCTTGAAATATATTGATAATTCAAATTGACAGTAAAAAAAATGAGCATAATGTCACTTTAACATATTAATATGTTAGTTTTAAACTTTTGTTTAGTTGTATAGTTATTGTCTTTATTTGAGGACATTGTCCTGTTAAAAACAAATGAGCTGCGTCACGACAAAATCAACATAATGTGTTTGCGACCAGCATGGATCCAGACCAGCCTGGGCATCCGTGCAGTCTGATCAAGATCCATGCTGTTTGCTTACAAACTCTATAACAAGTAGAGAAACAGAAAGCAAACAGCATGGATCCTGATAAGATTGGACAGATGCGCAGGATGGTCTGGATCCATGCTGGTCGCAAACTCATTATGTTCGTCCATTATGTTCGTTTTGTCGTGGCACGGCTCAAATTTTAACTTTGATCTTGAAATATATGAAATGTAAACACAGAAAACTCAAATTTCTAAACATTAAAATCAAGATGTTAATAGTATAGGTCAGATGTTTAAACATTTAGAAGACAGGGTTGTTCTTGTACAGTTATTATCTTGAACTCTGGAGATATTTTTGTTGATTGTAGTATTGTTAACATCTTGTTCATTTGTCGTTATGAATTCATTTGAATTGAGATTTTTTACCTTTTCTGACATTATACAACACAAATATTGAAATTTGGGAAGCAAATGTGAGATTGCAAACAATTCCTTTTAGTTTGAAATCAAAAGTTGAAAATGAATATTAATAAGTGTTGAAAAAAAAGGACTGTAATAGTGGAAAAACTATTGCATTGAATTTTAAACGTTAAATTTAAAATATTGTTTTTTTATAAAATGAGAAAGGCCCAAAAATTTTATAATAAGCAATGAAAGAATACCTCTATTGGACCCCCTTATTTAAGCCACTTTGGTCCAGTCCTGTTGGTGGTCTTAATAGAGGGTTTTTACTGTATTAAAATCTCATAAATATGTTTTTATTACATTATAAAGGTTTCAAAGATCATGTATGAAAGTCAAAGATCTTTTATATTAATAAACTGAAAGACCACTGTTTTTGTAACATGATATTTTTTTATGGTTTTAAGTCATGCTGCATTTTTTCATCGTCCAATTTTAAATACTGTATTGATTTTGATAAAGATTAAATAAAATAATCTGTTAAGATATAAATTTTGATTGTTTTTTGTAAGTTCCAAGTTGCCAGCAGGTGTAAGGATTGTTGCTTTATTATCTCAGAATTATTCAGGTATACATCGGTGTTTAATGTAAAGATTTTTATAAAGTCCAGAACTGAGTATTAAGAATTTGTGTCGGATGGTTTTGTGTCTGATGTCAACAAAAAAAAAAAAAAAAAAAAAAAAAAAAAACGTTTTCAAGCATTATTTGTTTATTTGCTTGAAGTTCAGGTTTTCTCTACTCCTTAAAGCTTTTTTTCGATATAAGGTTATTATTATTATAAGGATATTATAGGTTTTCTGATATTTTTTTTTCTGATATTTGCACCCATAAAAATTACTTATGGAAGTTTCTTGCACGGGTTTCCAAGTCATGTAAATTCGTTTACTTTGTATAATTGGCCTAGTGTGTTTTTAAAATCCATGTACCAATTTAATTTGGTATAGAAACATATTTGAACCACTTTTAGAATTAGTATCTTTAAAAGCACATTATGCTCCAGAAATGAATGAAATATTTCCTCTTTAGAAAAGGCAAATATGAGTTATATATATAACGTTTGAATAATGGTTGAAGAGCAAGTTAGATCCTTATAACTTGAAGAAAAAAGCTCTGAATGTGACATTATTTGTAAAAAAAGTATTAAAATGTGAACAGAGTAGTATTTTCCTGCCATACAAAATACTTAATCGCTATAAATTTACTTACTGCCAAGAAGCAATAGAAGACAAAAAAAGTCCAGGTATTTGTCCAAAAAGTATATTTTGGAAACTATAAAAGAACACCAAAAAGAAAATGAAAAGCATTGAAAAAAAGAATAAAAGCATCTAAATGAGCAAAGAATCTTAAACCATTCATGATTAAACATGGTTTTTACTGGTTCGAGAGGCAAACATTAAAGGGAGACACAGACAAAATTTTCATTCATTCGTTTTGAATGTTTCATTCATCAATCTGTAAATGTTCTCAAAATGACACAACAATAGGCAGTCACAGGAACAAATCTATAAAGAATAAAATGGTTGTTTCTTAACTTGACCCACGTGGATCAGGTTAGAGCGTTAAGATTTCAAATAGTTGTGAAACAGTGAACTCTGGACACGTTAAAGAAATATTTTCGCTTCAAACCCAATATATATACATGTATATAGAATTTATACAGAAATTCATGCAGGGACTTTTACAAATGTCACTTTTGCGTGATTCGAGTGCATAAGTTAATTTTGATAAATTGTCATTAATTTGCCTGATTATCCCTTTAAAACATGATGATGTGAATAAAGTCATTTCTATTAAGGCTACCTATGCGGACTAAAAGAACTTAATGTTATTTGGAGGATGCATCTCAAGTATATTTTTTTTATGAAATTAGCTTAAAGGCCACACTGCGGTGTTGATTCCGAAATGAGATTCACTGAAATTTGTATACATCATTACAATATAGAAAAATCCTTGCTCAAGTGGAGTCCTGCAAATCCTGTTAATTAATATGTCGCCATAGAAGTTGGGATGCTGCTAATGTTCATTCATTTATACCTGTAGAAGCAAGTGACTCATTTACATCTTGTGAGGTTCAAGACAGATGTTTTTAATTCTAAACCAGCTGAGACTGAAAAGGGATCGGTATAGGGCAATGTAGTATAACCAACCTCTACACTTGATGTTGCTTTCCTGGATAACTAAACAGTCATTACGAAAATCCCAAACGATTTCTGACACAGCGGTGAGAAACAAATGACCATTACACTCAATGTCCAAGATCATTATTTGTCAGGAAGAACTTTGTATTGCCCGTGCCCCCCCCCTG